CAGCTGAGGCCTCCCTCAGGCGCAGCTCTGCCGTCGGTGACTCCGAGGTCAATCAACCGAGCCTTTCAACCGATGGTATGCCGTCCGAGGAGAAGATTCAATAAAGAACACGGTTATCGAGAACAGACCGTCGACACAATCGTGAAGAAGGAAATGGATAAGGTCGGTATCCCTATGCAGGGTCTCGAAGTAAACTTTCAAGTTGATCTCGGGTTTGCGTACGGCCAGCATGCATCAAACCCGGATTCGGGGCGCTGGGGGAATGACCAGCGAGTCGCACCCAAATGCAGGATTCCAGATAGGACGATCATCGAGCGGAGCAATTGCCACTCAAACATCAATGAAATCATCAAGGCAGTGTGAGGAGGAGTTTTCTCCGATCGGAAATAACGTTTGAGGTCTGATAGAGTATGGAGAGGGGCCCTCCAATATTGACCGGGGATTATTGGCCTAATTGACGCTTGTTCATCGATAGGACGAACCATGCAGGAACTCGACTGCGGTGTCTCTATCGACAGGACGACCTCATGCGGGCGGCTCGACAGTCGACGCCTGTTCGGCCGTTCCTGAAAGCACTTTTTCCGAGCAGGTGGAGCGGGTGGAGAATTTTATGAGATGCGATCTCCAGTTTGGGTCTTGGAATGATGTATAAAATTGGAATAGAAAAAAGCAAAAAGGGAAAGCGCAGAAAAATTCAAAGACACGGCAACTTCGGCGGCCGGGCAGAGAGGGATTCCCCATTGTCGCCCTAGGGAGAACGGTGAGAGTTCAGTGTTGGAAGGGCGCTGCGCATATGTCAGGAGGGCCATACACTGGGTGAAAATGAAACCTAGAGACCCTTGGAAGCCCGAGCTGAGGAGAGGTTCGTTTTGAGCCCTGGAGCTGTTGCTGTTTCGAGTCACACAGCAAACGCGAGCTGTCAGAGCTGGTCTCCAGAGAGCGAGCCTGGATGCCGTCAGTCCACGGTAATCAGCAATCCTTCTGGATCGTGCTTCAGCTAGCCCTGGTCTCAGAGTGGTCAGCCTCTCCAGGTCCATCCCTGCCCTGATACGCTGGGCGGAAACTAGCGCTGCGATGGCGGCAAGGGAGTCCCGGCAACGAGGGACGCTGAAGCAACCAGGCCCAGTCTGCCACAATTTGGGAGCAACCAGATGCCTCGCTGACGACAGTGTGACATCTCGCCTGTCGTTTCCTGTACCGTACCGTCTGTGCCTAGTAGTACCTACGTGCCCCGATTACCTCCTGCTTCAGCCAGCGTTGGGGAGTTGATGGCCAACTGTCGGTCGCAAATAGTCGAAACGATAGAAGAGCATTCAGTAAGGATTAAATAAAACGAACAAGGACGCAGGCGATAAGTGCCCTTGCAAGTGGAAGGGAAATTCTCCGGGCTGTAAGTAAGCGCTGTACCGCCGTACCGCCGTACAGTCCATACAGTAACGCCCGCTCAAGCTCTTCTGAGCATCCATCTGGAGATCCCTCCCCACTTTCGTTGCCATGCAACAAGGCCACCCCTTCAGCTTCACTTTTCCACGCCGTTTTCCCTCTCCTCCTTCCTCTCTCTTCCTTCTTGAGAACCCTCACCTCCCCTTCTCCTCACTCTCTTAAGGCCGCAGTCTCGCCCGGGCTCGCATTTGGTCTTTTACCTCGTCGTCGCCTTGTTCCGATCCGCTGTCCGGTATCTAGCCCCATTGCATTAGCGTACCATTGTACCAGACTGATGTGCCTTTCCCCTGGCGATACTGCATTTGGGCGTTTTGCTGATGACTCCCGTGCTTTATACAGCTGCTCCCCCACCCTCGTACCTCGTCTCCCGCCGCCTACACTTTGCTTGATCCTGCCAGTCATGTCGCTGTAATCCTGGTTTCGTCATTTGGAAGTCCCGGGTACATGCTGGTCCGTTAACGGGTTCGGAGCCATCTTGAAGGGTTTTCTGAGGCCGGGATCTGAGTTTTTGCGATTGAGGAAACACAGGACGTGTAGTTGGCGTGACTGCATCCATACCTGCCGTCGTAGCGTATGCCCTGATAGATAGCATCCCCAGATTTGGAGGACCTCGCTTCTTGGCACTTTGGGAAGGGCTACTCGGTTTGGAGAGGAATTGTCTAGGGCAACCATGGAACATTCATCACCATTGGCTGCCATGCAGCCTCCATCTGTACTGCTTGGACATTGCTTTCGCTCGGATGCACCGTCGTCATACCATGGATTTAGTCCTTTGCCAGGGCTCGGTGGGGGTGGATTCAACTTCAAGGACTTGTCTATGAAGAGATCTCAAGGTGACTATTTCGGTACGAAATCGTTTCGGGGGTCATCTCCAACAGCGAGCCTTGCTGCGGACCTGTCTCAAAACTTTCACATCGACCAGAGGTTCGTCCTTCTTCGCGCTATTTTTGCCTGGCACCTCCCTTTGTTTTATTCACGTTACTTGGGCGAAAGTACTAACAAAGACAGTTTCAGCCCTCAGGTTGCTACGCCACGACGGTCTTTGTTCTCTGCGTGTTTGTTCGGGAATGGAAATAGGCATGGTAAGAGCTCATGTTTACACTACACGAAAGCGACGAGGAACCCGTCCTAACGTATTTATACCTGGCTGCAGAAGATGCGATGACTACTCCTCCGCTCCCATCTTCACCTGCTCCCGCAATGGATAGCATGGACATGTCTCCGTTGCCTCACAAACCACCATATACTAGCACACCTGAAATCGAGCTGAACTCCCCAATGCTCGAGAGCTCCCCAATGGACACGAGTATGATGTCGAATGCCGATAGCCTCGTCCCTGAGTCACCTACGGTACCACTAAAGGATGGCCAACAAGAGTAAGAGCATACTTCCAAAAATGAGGGATTGTTGTTTTGCTATGAGGGTCTAATCACTTGTGCATCTTGTAGGAGAAGACGCCCGACGTTTCTACGGCCCAGCCTAGCCAGGAGCAAAGCGCAGTCCTTTCAGTTGGGAATGACGAAGCCCGCCCCGGAGAGCCAAGGACCCCCATTCAAATTCCAGACCAGCGCTTCATCGGGCGTAGCAGTGTCACTGGAAGACATGTTCAACGAGTCCCCCCAGCGTGAACGACCTTTGATCCGGAATAACTCTTCCTGTGGTCTCTCCAGTTCGAGATTAAGACCGCCCTTAGGGAGCTGTGGAAGCCACGTCCGTGGAAATGGTTCACCATCGGCAGCATCAATCCGCAAGAGCTCGCACCCCCACATGCGCCCCCGAAAGCAATGTAGACGATCATTGAGTATGTTTGAACACCCCGAGGATGTTATTGCCGACAGCGAGGCTTCTTATACATCAAATGCACCACTCCAGTCCATCAGCGACTTCGAAGAAACACAGGCTCTGCAACTTCCTCACTTCATCCCTGAAGAGAAGGCAGACAACTTACCTCGCATTAACAAGGCTACCCTCGTGGATATCAAGGATGGGAAATACAATGAAAAGTTCGACAGCATCATGATCATCGACTGCCGGTTTGAATATGAATACGATGGCGGGCACATCGTTGGAGCTCTTAATTACAATGACAAAGAGAACCTGGCCGCACAACTATTTGCGAACCCCCAACCTCGAACTGCCATAGTCTTCCACTGCGAGTATTCCGTTCACAGAGCGCCCCTTATGGCCAAGTTTATTCGGCACCGGGATCGTGCCCATAACGTGGACCAGTACCCGCAACTTTCCTATCCTGATATGTACATCCTTGAAGGAGGTTACAGTAGCTTCTTTGCTGAGCATCGATCTCTGTGTTTCCCTCAGAACTACGTCGAAATGTCTGCGAAAGAGCACGAGTTTGCTTGTGAACGCGGCCTCGGGAAAGTTAAGCAGCGATCGAAGTTGAGCCGGGCCCAAACCTTCGCCTTTGGTCAGCAGTCCCCAGAAATGGAGGATAGCCCCACGGGAAGGTGCCGAAACAACCTTGGTGATCGCAAGCTTCTCGCTTCTCCCTTCAACGACAGTCCTGCGTCTCGCCTGTCTGGTCGCCGTATGCTCTCATACTAATTTCAGGCGGAAGGCACATCTACTATTCTACACTTCCTTGCGGGTTTATCCGCTCATGCCCTCTTGTAGGGTATTGTCGGCCTATGATTCTTGGATAATCCATTGGTCGAACGACTTTTATGACAATACCGGTGTTTGGGGTTCTATTTGCATTCAAGATCATTGAAAGACATCCCGCGGACACTCGGCTCGAGGAACCTCGCGTATTTACGGTCTAAACTCACACTCACTCGCTTCTGTTTTTATTTTCTTTCACCTTCACACCAAGCAATACTCCACCTGAGATCTCAGGTTACCGAGATGGATTCAAACATCTGATACGACAACTGCACCACTAAAACAGCTCTTCAGCACGCATCGCTTGCAATTCGCCTGCGCCATTTTACTTAAGACCAACTCTCCCTCATTCTCCTATGTCTCCAACGATACTTCACGGACCCTTAATACGCTTGGACACCTCGCCGAGTTACTTCTATGATACCTCATCCGCAAGCATTTTCTTTTCCAAAACATTTCTTTTTGACCTACCGTCTTTTAATCTGCCGCCCCGTTTTCCTGTATAATGCGAGGGAGCCCCATGCTTCGCCATGCACAGTACATATCGCTGCTTGGCTCGTCGATTAGACGATAATTAACTGTGTGCGGCTATTCCGGACCTAATATTCACAATTCCCCCTGGACAGTATATGAGACCTTGAGGCGTTCGGGATGCTGGAGCACTGTACATACAAGAAAACACTTATCGTCGGCTATTGTTCCGGCTTTAGGAAGAGCAGAAAGATGAAGACCTATTTCCTTTGTCAGAAGAATGAAACAATTCGAAATAAAATCGCGATCCTCTGCTGTCCTGGATAGATGTAATAAGTTAGTGTAACCAAAGCCACAAAAGTTAAATTCAACTAGGTGGACTCGGAGTATACAGCGGAGTTAAGAATGCCTGAGGCAGCGATATATTTCCTCCGCCTCCGCTCCGCCATTTCCTCCCACTTGTCGCATGCCATTGTCCCCCAACACACCAACCCCCAAGTAGTGGTGCATTTCGCCTCAGCCATGGACATCGACGATATCCTCGCCTCCGTCGACCGCTCTGATGTCTCTAGCCCAGAGTCCACGGCTCTCGACCACCAACTCCTCACGCGCTTCTGGGTCGCGGAGCGCACCGCCCCCGAGCTCCTACCCTGGCCAGCGCGCCTCATGGACCGAATGATGGAACGCGTACGGCAGCAGGTGCGCTACATACCTATCCAATCCAATCCCCCATGGGCCATTTCAATAACATATTCCAGATTGAAACAATCGAAGACCTCGCGGCCGCCTCCTCAGATCCAGTCGCCTCCGCAAGTAACGCAACCGCAACAGCAACACTCACCCTCTCAATCCTCCAAACCGACCTCTCCCGCACCCAATACCTCCTGCGTTCCCTCCTGCGCCAACGGCTCTCAAAACTCACAAAACACAGCATGTACTACCTCCTCCTCTCGTCCTCCTCACCAGCACCAGTCCCGCCCCCCGCCTCAGGCTCCACGGAAGCAAAACTCCAACAACCCGAGGACTCAGTCCCCGTACCAGACCCCGAATCCCTCCCTTCAAAGTCGCCGCTGTCGCCCTCAGAAGCGAACTTTATATACACACATCAGACTCTCCTAGCGCGGCACTTTGGGTCGAGCTTCCTCTCCTCGTTTCCGCCGCAGTTGAGACGGCTGGATGATAATGCAGGCGGGACGAGTATGGTTCAGGGACCGGATGCTCGGGAGGCCCTGTTTGTGAGATGTCTTGCGGAGGAGGTGCTTATTGTTGCGCCGCCTGGGGATGGGGTTGATGAGGAGGTTAGTGCGGCGACGATGAGGATGGGTGATGTCTGGGTTGTTCGGTGGGAGGGGATTAAGAAGGCCTGGGAGAGGGGGGATGTGGAGGTTTTATGATTGATATGCCACTTTTTATGATCCTGTCCTTGATTAATCTCTAGAGTTGGTTTTGTGACAGTTTGCGTAGGTGTAGGTTGCATATGCGGCGTTGATATTGCGATTTGTTTTTAGAAAGATACCTTGGTGGTTTATAGAGCTACAGTGGACATCTGTGATTTGAAAGTTTTTTAGCATTTTTTTAGAGAGCTGCAATGGTTTATTGATATGAAATGGACCAAGATCCCAATGGCGGCTAGCAGCCAACGCCAGACCAGCACCACTAGGCCAGTCGTGATAATATGAGCTGAAAGAGACTAGAAAGTAGGGCAAGCAAAGGACTGCAAAGACACGTTGATCCTGAGTCTAGGACACCAAAAAAGAACCACCGCGTGCGCCTCGCCATTACATCTAGACACTTAGTAGAGAAAAAGAAGAGAGTAGGAGAAAGTGGTGCAATCATGCAACGTAGCCGTATGTAGGTGGCTCCTCGGCGATACGCTCGAGGTATTCACGGTCAATCAGACTTTCAATTCGTCGCTTGACCATGTTGACGTCCGGGACAAATCGTGTAGATAGCTGACCGAGAACTTCGCTGATCAAATTTGAGTGAATCAGCTTCTTGCGTTGCCTGTGGAAAGTATTGGTCAGCGACAGCTGTTATATGTTGGAGATATATAATGAAAACTTACTTCATGATCCGTACAATGGCAGCCTCAATGCTAGCACCACGCTCCTCGCCCATCTTCTTTTCTGTTTCCTTTCTCTGATCCTGGTTCTCGACCTTGTTCCCGCTGCCGCTTACCACACCAATACGCACCTTCAAGAATGGACTCTGGAAGTCGTTGTTGAAGTAGAACTTATCTGTGGGTTTCACGTCTTTGCTCATAGGATCCTTCTTCAGGACTCGAGTCTTGGGTGCAACTGCCAGTGATTGCAGGTTTCGGATAAGATCGTTATCAGGGATGCGTGTACGCGCCTGGATCTCCTCATATGTAAGAGACTCGCCCGTGGGCACGTCATTGAAGAGTAGGAGAACAACCATAGCATAGGTCGACACATTCAGTTCATGGCGCTGCGTCTTTCCATTTGACTTCTGGAAAGTTGCTCGAATGTCTGCTGTGCCCATGCTCGGTTGCCAAGAAAGCTTTCGGCCGCTGTGCTTGCTCAAATAGAACTTCTCAAAGCTCTGCTTGACGATCTCGACTTCCTTGGGGAAGACGGATGGAAGCTCAACGTGACCGTCTCTAGTACTCGACATGATTTCCATTGGCCACATGGTGCTGGTGAGGACATTAATATCCAGGTCAAGTCGCTTTTGATCGGGATCGCCCATCCTCTGTACGTGCTGCTTGTAACTGCCGGTTAGATCCTCAGATATCGTCATATCCCTAAACATGGCTTCTAATCGTTGTGTGAACTGATTGCCGACCTCCATCTTCATCTTTGAGATCATTTGCCGCTCTGCATCCATGCTCACCGATCGCTTCATGAGAAGTCGACGGGAGAGATGCTTCTTGTAGTAGGCCTCAAAGAGGTCCTTGTCTTTGATGTAGCGGAGGAGTGTGATCCCGCTGTCCAACAAAGTATCAACTTCGGTTTCTGTTTTCCCTTTGATTCCCTTCTTGAGGTTTTCGTCGAAGAAAAGCGATAGGAACTCTGAGCTTCGTGGTGTAGAATTGATGAAATCGGAGAAACTGGCCGTAATCGCGCTCTGCAGCACCTGATCAGACTGAAGCGCGCCCTTCCAGATATCATCGAACTTCTTCTTAAGGGCTAGGATGTCATCGACCCATTTGATAGCAGATGTCGTCATTTGGTTCGCGGGCTTTTCCTTCTCCTTCTCCTTGTCCTTTTTCTGATCTGCATCGGCTCCAGTCGACTTCGAGGTCGTGGATGCTTGTGAGAATGCAGTTGACGCAGCATTGATCTCTCGTCCCATCTCTACGACACGCTTCTGTATCGCCGCGGTTAGATGGGGCTTTTTTGGATCAACCCGGGCGCTGAGTGCATAAACTTTACTCAGGGTATCTATTCGGTCGTGATCCAGCATGACTCGAACTCCGGTCCCCTCGAAATTGATGACTTCGGCAAGGTTGCTGCGTATCAGCTCATTGTCCAGCACTTCCTTGATCTTGGGCTCGCTAAGGTGGGAGAGCGTGTAAACACAGCGCTCCTTCTCCTCAGCTATTCGATCAAAGGCAACACCGCAGAAAGTGGCCGCATCTACCGTCTCCAGCAGTCGTTTACCCTCGGCCTGGTAGAAAGCCGTACTGGTTTCTAGAAAATCCGGCTCAAATGAGGTCAAGTAGAGCCTGGAAGACTCCTCTTCCGCCTCCGTTTCATATAACCCCTCCAACATATAGATGCAGTGGCGGATTAAGGGCCGATCAATCATATGCCCAGACCGCTCCAACTGGATCATGAACAGCACTGTTGATTTAAGCACATCGGCAACCGTCGTTGTCTCGCCCGATTGTATTGACGATCGCAAGACGTGGTCACGAAACAACGCCATAGCAGCAGAGTAGATAGAAACCTTCCGGCCCACAACGACTCGATCCTAGAATTCCGGATTTCCTGTCAGAAACACTCGGTCGTGAGCCTCAATGAACAAAACTTACCATATACATCAAGACGTCCGTAATCATCTGCATACACAACTGATGGTCCTCCCAGGCCTCCTTCAATGCCGTTAGGAACTTCTCTCCGGCCGCCCGCCTCTCAGTAGCTTGGTCCTGCATATCAACAATCTCCTTCGCAAGCAGCAGACCTGGAGAAATACCAGCGACAACTCGATTTTTCACCTCTCCGCATAGCCATTCTTTCTCAAGCTGTTTCGTCCGCTCATATAAATCGTCTCCGCGCTGGATCAAAACGATGTTGTACGAATTCCGGTAAAGTTGCTCGAAGGACAGGTCTGAGGCATCCTTCGTATGGATTTTTGTTAGAGAATTTGACAAGTCCTTCCAATTCGATTCAAAACCGTCGGTTCCGCTCGTCGCAAAGCCCTATATTCCGATACATTAGCAATTCAGTTACAAGAATCAGCGGGACTATGCCTATTGTCGGCGAGACCACAGGGCTAGTATGGGCGTAGAGGAATGATATCATACCCTTCGGGGAGCGCGGATTTTCTGCCTTGCTCTCAAAGACATTTTTAGAACTCCTCGAGTTTTGCCATCCACGGATTGAACACAGAGCAGTTCAGAGAAAGTGGCGGGGCAGCGGAAGTGTATGAGGTTAGGTGAGGGCGAACCACACCACCAAACTTAGATTGAACAACACAGTAAGTTTTCCTCAAGAATATGGCAAATAAAACTGTACTCTGCTCCCAGAATGCATTCTCTCCCCTCCAGAAGCAGATGTTGTATTGTGGTGAAAGTCCAGTGTTAAAGGCCGCGGAGGAAGGAAGCTGGAAGAACTAAAGTCCGGCGCAACGCCTTGGTCTAAGACACTCACTTCTTCAACGTTCTTCTTTCATTCATCCACGCCTTGATCCACACGTCATCGGGCTTCATTCTATCCTCACACACTATGCACCAGTCTCTACGCATTTCACAAGGCCTCCGTGCCGCTCACAGAGCCCTCCCTCGGCTCTCTGTCCGGGAAGCTCCTCGGCTCTATTCTCAACTCAATTGCCACCATCGACCATCGCTTCCGCGAAGCCTCCCAAGCTACAGTAGAATTGCTATCCCCTCGATCAACGTCCGCTACAATTCTAGCTCGCCCGATTCATCCAACTCCTCCACATCCAGTTCCGCTCCTCTTACCGATCGCCAGTCCGACCCTAAAACAGACGCCGAGCACGCCGAGCAGAACCGATTACGCCGGGAGCAGGAGCCCGCGTACCAACTCACATTCACCTGCAAGCCGTGCGGAGAGCGTTCCTCACATCGTGTATCAAAGCATGGATACCACCGTGGCACCGTCCTGATTCGCTGCCCGAGCTGTGAAAACCGCCATGTTATCAGCGACCACCTTGGTATTTTCTTCAATCGGAAAAGGACGCTGGAGGATCTACTGGAAGAACGTGGTCAGTCTATCACACGTGGAGAGCTCCAGGGGGATATGGAGTTCTGGGATGATGGGACTGTGACTCGGAAAGAATACGACAACGATACGGATCAGGCGAGGATTGTCTAAAGCTGCTTAGAGTTTGTTGTTCTGCTAAAGAAGCAACCTATGCAAAGGAGCATATATGAAGGGAGGCGTTCAAATTTCGGTTGTTTCTAATATGATACCTCATTGAAGTTCACTATACACTCGTCTCACATATCGAGAAAATACTTTTACACTCCAATCCTGTACTATAGTAATAAAAATGCTTTCTCCTTTCCCTTTAACGCCGAGTTCTAAATCCCAGATCGTTGAAATATGCAGCCATAAAGTTGGATTGTCCTTACCACCCTCGCCTTCTACTTCGGTGTTCCGCTCCCTTCTCCTTTCTCTTCTCGCGTTTGCGGTCGTTCTTCCTCTTCTTATCTTGTCCGTACTTCTCAGGCTCTGTAACTGCTTCAATCCGCCTCTTGACTCGTCTACCCTCACGTCTCTTCCTGATAGCCTCTTGAACAAGAGACATTTGATTAATGTACTCGGTAGTGCCGAGCTTCTTCTGCAAAAGGTCGAGAATCTCATGACAGTTGGAAACCAGCGTTTTGTATGATTCTCGGAATGCCTCTTCGGACGAACGCGGTGCCGGAATCGATGAGTCGGTCAAGTGTTGCAAAGGAAGGAGTATAATAGGTAGTGACTCAAGAATTTGTTCTGGTTCCAGGTGACGGCAAAGAGCAGCGATTAGGCCGATAGAAGCGTTCTTCGGAATCAGGGATGGCGCCTTGGTGCTAATTACCTCTCTCCGTAGAATAGAAGACGCCTGCTCAAAGATATATCGCACGGTAGATTTTGTCTTGGGGCCGACCTGTTTCTCTCCATCGGCAACTTCATCTTCGTCACTATCACTTGCATCTGACTCCTCATCATCGTTCCCTTCACTATCATTCAGGTTGAGACCATTTTGCGCGCAGCATCGGCCGAGGAATACAGTGTTGCGGACCGTTTGCATGGCCAATTCCTCACTGATACCTGGAGTGCGAAGAGAGCGGAGGCAGGCACGAAGCAATAGAAGCATTGTATCCTTGTTCATGGCCAAACCTGTGGCACCGACCAAGGGCAGGGAGCCATATCCAGTCGCGGCATTCGACTTGGCCAAGTCTGCTAGCCATATTCCAACAAGATTGGCAGCGCAGGTTTTCACCCAGGCATGAGGGTAGAACAGACATTCGCAGATTAGGGACCAGGTCTTGGCACAATCCTTAGAAAGTGCAACTGAGGGGACTGCTTTGGCAAGCTTGGAATAGAGCTGCAATGAGAAATACAGTGTCTGCCAGTTGTCCGTTTCTGCATCCTTGATAATAGGTCGCATGATTGTTGGAAGAGTTTGGGCGACAAAACCTGCTTCCTTGTCCTTGTCGGTCTCGTCCACTTCGAAGTAAATCCTAACGGCCTGCAATCCAGTGCTGGCAAGTAGCGGGTTCTCGGTCTGTTCAACCCAGGACCTGAGAGGCTCGATAATGGTTTTCATTGTCTCGCGGTCTGCTCTTCTGTAGAACTCGCCTAGAAGTGCACCGGCCATTTCTCTACACTCCGCAGCGTCGTCGTTTGCCATGGCAATGACGATGGGGAGGAAGAACGTGCCCACAATGTCCTGAGCTAACTCTTGCCCCGTCTTTGAGAGCAGCATATGGATTGCCTCCATGACAGACTGGCGGCCATCTTGATGCTTGTACTCAAGGTTTTTGGCCAGGAAACTAAGTTGTTTCGTCCAGCGATTTTTGGCCTGAGGATATTCAATGAGGAAGTGAACGTACACACCACGAGCCAAGTCACGCGCAGATCGAGTTTGATTCGTAACCATCATCATAGAAATGTTGTCAACAAGCTCGTACATCTCAGTCACCACAAATTTTCGAGTCATAACGGCACGGATGAAGTTGAACGTGACACCCTGACGATCTGGCTCCTCAATATCAGCTGTGAGCCGCTGAAGCAAGTAGGCGAGATGTCCATCTCTGAGTTTCACGTCCTTCCGCTCCCGAAGCAGGGCAGAAATTAACTTGAGCGACGCTTGTGCACCTTCAGAGTTTGTGCTCGGTGCCTCCTTGATCAGCTTGACAGCTTCAGTGAGGTAAACTGGGGCGTTGGTATCAATTTCCGCTAGGGGGAGTTTGACGATGGCTGAAAGGAATCGGATTGCCGCAATCTTGACTTCCTCGTGGCCCTGAACAAGGGCATCTCCAACCATAGGAATGTAGCCAGCCATGTTGGCGGGGGTAAGGAGAGAGTTGTATTTGCTGAGGACAGAGCGAAGAACGTCGAAGGAGAAGCGGACCAGCTTGTAAACATACGAAGAGGTGCTCCCTCGTTTTTCATTCCGTCTTTGGCCCTTCATGTTGATCAAAAAGTTCTCTTCCTGCGCAGACTTGGCGATTTGGGTGTCAGATTGGGTCGGCTCCTTGTAGGCTTCCTTCATGACTTCGTAACAGAATACCAGAAGGTCGCGGCTCTCGACCTCTGGGTTCCTGAGCAGACCGATACCAATTCTTCGCAAAAGTTCATCAGCCTTCCTCACAATATTAGAATTGAGCTTCTCTCGCAAGAGCGACTGCAACGGCTGAAGGAGACTGGCGAGATTCCGGATGGTCGAGTTCTTGGCGAGAAGCTCCATTGAGTCGTAGCTCTTGTTGCTCTTGACTTCCTTCATCTTACTGACATAGTCCTCGGCTTCTTTTTCTTGGCCAACAGTACCGAAAGTGTCATCCATGACCACGGAACTGAGATCTGCCAGGCAGTAGTCCAAATCACCTTGCTTGAAATCGTCGGTTGTGGCTACAAGAATAGAATGAACGGTGAATGAGAGGACGTGGAGCTGGTAGCCACGTTTAAGAGTGTGCCGTAGCTCCTTGAGTATATAGCCCATGTAGCCAGGGCCCAGAAGGAGAGCAATGTCATTAAGTGTTTTCCTGGCTGTGTCTCGGGAATCCTGCGCTTTACTTTTGAGGATACTGCAAACATCAAGGAGGACCGGAGGCAGACGAATGGCCATATCCTGCTCAGGTAAAATCTTCATGAGCTTGATGGTAGTGACCGCTGCTGGAAGACGCAAGCTCATTTGAGCCTCATCCTTGTGATGAATGAAATTCGTCAGCACAGGGATGAAGCCTGTGGTAAGCTCATTTGCGACTTTAGATGCAGAGGGTATTGATCGAGCAAGTGTGGACTTCAACGGCGGTGACACATCCATATCAGCATCGGTATCGTCGCTCTTCATCTCGGGTTTGGTGGGCTTGAATTGGCTCATCGCATTCGTAAGGGCATCAGACATCCTCCCCAAAAGCCTCAGCACGCTCTTCTCGATCGCGGATTTGCTTTGCATATAGCTACGATATCTTCTGAAGATGGCTCTGAACTGATTCCAATCCAGCCATTCGGCCAGCACGCCAATGGTCAACACGGCTTCCGCAATGAGATTGTGAGCGTTCTCATCAGCAGCTTCATCAAACACGAAATGTTCGTTCAGCGGAATAAAAATCGTGCTAATGTTCGACGCTTGGATTTTACCATTGGCAGCTTCGTTAGCCAGCCGTCGAAGAGCACGGAGACGGCGATGCTGCTGGATGTGGAGGACGTTGTTGAAAAACGAGGCCTCCTCATCGTCACCAACAAGAAGCACATGCAGATCGTGCACAGCAGGGTGCGTCGGGTTTAGCTTGACCAAATGGCCAAGCACTTGCAAGAGCTCGGTCCGAATGAGCTCGGACTTTTGTCGCATTCCAGCTTGCAACGCAGGGAGCAATATCTCGTTGACAAGTGGCTCGAATGACTGCTCAGCTGTGCCGGCCTGAGAAACTCGCTCTATGAAACGTTTCAGACCGAACGAAGCGCTAGATCGTACCGCCATCTCCTCCTCATCCTTAACGTGGAAGAGCATATTATACAGCAAGGGGCGCCATTGCTTAGCATTCAGGGAGTCCCAGAGGCCTTCATTCAGAGTTCTGAAAGCATGTAGCCGTCGCTCATAGTCCACTCCGAGTCTCTTGACAGATATGGAGTTCAAATCTTCGCAGAGTGAAGCTACTTGGGACAGCTCGGGCACATGGTTCGCGAAAGCAGTGAAAACCCGTGACAACACTTCCCGGTTCTTGTCGTCCCTGAAGTAGTCAAACATGGAACAAACAGCTTCAAATACCTCTCGAGACAGATCCTCATCTTCATGTGTATTATAGAGGGGCAAGAAGTGCTCCAAGCTGCGGAGAAGGTCCGACTTTGTCTTTGGCGAGACTCTATCAGAGGGCTGGCGGAGAAGGTACGTCAATATGTTGATCAAACTCGACGTCTCCTTCGACGACTCGACACAAGGAGCTAGGCGTGAGAGAGTATGGACGCCAGAAACTAGCACCGGTTTGGACGGGCCGCGCTTCAAAAGACGACCGAGGTGGGAAAGGGTATGCTCAGTATGAGGAGATAGGACTTCCGAGCGAATCTCATCGGCCGAGAAATCACCCATCTGCTCATCCTCTTCGAGCTCTTTGCCGGCGGAAAGGTCAACCAGTGGAGTCAGAATTTCGTCCATGACGAATATCTTAACTTCGTCACGCGCTGACTCGACGCTGAGACAGTCCACAATTTTGGTGAGAAGAGAATTGTTAAACCGGGCAAGGTAGAATGAAGACCTGGAAGCCGACGCCCAGGTGTGGAATAGCCTTAGCAGGCCTGAAATACCTTGAGCTGTCTCCACTGCGAAGTTATCCACCCGGGGGTTTATGACTTCGTCGAAGATAATGCGAACGCGCGAAGACCAGTCTCGATCTTGCGAGACGGAAAATATAAGGTCAAGGCAGCGAATACCTGTTTGCCGAATGTTCCGCAAAACGTTAACAAATTTACTCTCTTGGGAGTCTACAGTGGCGGCTTGTTGCTCTTTTGCCAAGGTGCGGCAAGCTCGAACAAGGCAGTGCAGCACAACATCCATAGACTGTTCCGCGTAAGGAGACATGCGAGTCTGGAGGGTTTCATAGACGGTTTCGATCAACTTTAGCAGGCCCATCTGTCTCCTTGGGCCGACTAGTTCGTGTAAGAAGGGTTCACCGTCAACCTTCTCGTTCTTGATCAGGTGGACGTCGCCAAGTGGACCGAAGGCAATTCGCATGAATATGTCAAAATCACGATCGGGGAGCTGGGCTAAAGTTCGTAAAATGGCTTTACGTCGTCCAGTCTGCCCTGCCTGGCCGGCATTCGCACTAGCCTTGGAAATCATCCGGCCGTAGAGAAGTCGAAGGATGATTGGAACGACATCGTCTCGGTGTTTCTCCTCAATCAGGCTGTCCTCTTTACCAACACGAACAAACACTGCTAGTTCATCGTTAAAGCGCGATTCGTCCAAGACATTCAGAAGATTTTCGCGATAAGGTACAACGCCCGCAGTTTTCCAAGTGAATACGGCCTTGAGTGCACACTTTTGGATTTCAGAATTTCCATGGCAAAGTAATCCCATAAGCGCATCGCGAACTTCTGGAGCTCGGTAGAGCACAGATGGGTTGATAAATTGTCCGAGAAGTTTAAGAAATGCCAAACGGTCGTGAAACCCCCAGGGTATGTATGAATTTTGATCCGGGTCCTGAGCCTCCGCAGTGGAATCTTCATCCTGCAGGGCCCACGAAAGGAACAGTGGCACGATCTGGCGGGAGCGTTTTTCTGCTATATTGGGAATAGCATTGAATACACGAAGAGCCTGGGTACGTGGAGCAGCCGGGACCACATCTAAAAATGTGTGGTCTTTTTCAAAATCTTGTATCAAAGTCGAAACTGGCTCGAAAGTCTGAAAATGGGATGCACATAACCTCTCAACTTTAGCTGCGTTAAAGCATTGGTAATATCCAGACACTTGGGTGTCTTCGTCATCGTCATCCTCCGTTTCACTCGGAGCGGTTGACCCCCTCTCTTGAAGCCATTGTGTCGCCAGATCCGTGATAATTCTCTCTCCTTCGGCGTGCTCGCTCATGGATTTCAAAGCAGACGCAGAATCATCCCACAAGGGCGCCAACCTTTTTGAGAACAGCCCAAAACAAAACGTTGGGAGCAATCTAACCATCCACTTGCGCGAGACAACTTGTGGATACGCTAATGGAAGTTTCCGAACCTGCATCGACAATACACGCGCGCTTTGAAGGGTTAGCTCGCTCTCGTCAATCTCTATGGCTGTAGAGATAAGCGAAGCATCCTCGCCTGAGGCCGTGACCAAACCACGTAATATCCTCAGAGATGCTAGGCGTAGCTGTTGAGAGGGTGCCGCCAGGTTGTCTATTAAAGCACTCGCAAATTCTTCGATGCCAGATGTGCTGACGTCGACCTTTTCAGAGCATGCAGATATGTATGCCAATGCTGCCTCGAGAAAGGCATATAGCCGGGAGTGTTTCGCAGCAACAGCGATCACCGGCTCCCAAAGGCTCGTATCAAGTTTCCCTAAAGTTGAACCCAGATTCACATAAGTTTTGAATCCTTGTCCTAGGAAAAAGTGAGTCCTGGGCGTGGGGGAAGCTTCCGGGTTTCTCAACACTGAAACCAAGTTGTCATGCAAAACGTTCGCCATATCGGGTAAAAGGGAAGGGTCCGCTGATAACGAAAGGGCATCAGGAAGCTTTGTGTACGCATTTAGGAGCGCCACGCCTGAAGAAGTTGAATCAGATTTGCGCAATGTATCACGGATTCGGGACTTCCAGGAGGTCGGGCAAACAATATAACCAGGCTTTGAGACTTCGGACGTGATACATCCAGTTCGACTTAGGCGAAGTAAGGATAAGCAGAGATCGTACTCATGGTCTTCCCATGAATTATTTACAAATCTAAAAAAAGAAAATTAGTACAAGCTGAAACCACCAAAGCACACTAGACCAACCTTTGAAAGTAAGGCAGAACAACACCGTGGAACCTTTCGGCACCCCATTCGGAGAAATTAGCGCAGAATGACAGAAAATAGGTCGACAATCGCTCGGCCGTTACAGCCTCCATGATCGGGCGCATTAATGGTAGCATTTCGTCCATTGGCGATACCTGAAGGGCGTATGAAACTGCAGCAAGCAGTTGTGGTATAGAATCAGTATACGAACCAGGTGCATTCTCAGCAGCCTGGAGCAAAGATAGTAAGCTCTCGAGTACAGGTTTCCAGTTCTTCACTCGGGTTCCTTTGCGAGTAACAACACAGAGAAAGGCCAACCGACAGCATGCAATAGGGAAATGGCTGCTATCATTTCGACAGTTCGACTGGATATAGGAGATTATCAAGTCAATAATGGGTTCAAATGTTTCAGCAGTCGTACTATGAATGACATTGATCAACACCCCGTTGACGACTTGAAGTGCAAGGCTGCTCCGGAGGCTATCATCTGTGCATATCGACTTTAGAAGACATTGGAAAATATCCGTTCCGTTCGAATGTAGCCCGTTGTTTATTCCCTTTATCGAGTCGGAGAACATCGCCATAAGGCCCGATTGGTACAGTTCTACATTTTTCGAGTCGAATCCGGCCTGCCGCAAGTCGTCGAACAAGAATGATATCGCCAGCTGAAGAGGCTCGGGGTTTTTATAGTAGACCAATCCCGCCTTCCGAATCAGGAATGACATAGACTCCGCAGCAAATCGAGCAACAAAAGGTTTTTGTCGTTCTTTTCCAAGGTATGGAGTCATAATACCGAGCAGTTGCCGCAGGTCCGGAACCAAAAGCCGGGAGAGAAATTTGAAAGTCCATGCCAGGCAAGTGAAGCTCCATTCAACCACCTCAACATCGGGATGGGTGGCCGCGACGGATGCGACCAAAGTTACCGAAGTAGCAAAATACTTCTCAAACCGCACACCCAAGTCTCGAGCAAACTGAGAGAGCAGACTCAAGAGAGGCTCTATTGAGAGACTATCCCGCTTATCAATGTATTCCACCAGTAAGTTGAATATCTTCTCTTCGTAGTAAAGAATCTGCGCCAGACTCTCGCATAGCGGGTTCACTCGACGGGAAAATGCGACAAAGTTTTCCGACAAATTCAACTCGGCCCAGTGGTCGAACGCCGATCGAAAATGAGATGACGTTTCATCTCCTTCTTCTCCAAAGCTGGGTCGCCGTACTCGGTGGATAGGATCGATCTTTAACCTCGTTACACGCTGCGAAAACGGCTCGAATCGATGTTGTTTGGTCGTCTCCGTTCCAGACTTCACACGCTTCGCGGGCTTTGACCGCGAAGCTTTTGATACTGCTACCATCTTTGATGATGACGGTAGCAAATTAAAGCAGCGCCGCCGAAAGTGCGTGGCTCGTACTATGTTTCGAGCTTCACGCAAGTATCAAGCGCATCCATCAAAAAAATTACTCGGCGCCGTAACTTCTTTATTCCGGCGCGGAGATTGGCGGTGATTGTGGCGGCACGTGCCATACTCAAAGAGGACTCGCGTTGTGTCACATGATATGGAGCTTGGTCCAAGCTCTTGAACGTTTTTGGTCAAATTCCATGCGAAATCAAGCCGAGATCACATATTTGAGCCAGCAATTGCCTTTGACAGCTGGCGACATTAAATAATTAGCATTTCTGACATATTAATCTCTCGTGATATTTACCACAGATAACTTTTTTGTTTGTTTACCGTTCTACTATGTGGATACTCTTGTATCGTACAGCCTGAGAAACCCTACACTAGCTGAACAATATGGCTTCGAAGATGTAAGTAGTGGAAGCCTAAGAAATAACCATCTACATACTAATACCAAACAGAGTCGTTGTTGGGAACGTCAACTGCGAGTTGCAAGATGTTTTCACTAAGCTCGCGAAACTGCATGTCAAACAGAGTTTCGCCTTTGCCGTCATCGCTGGTGACCTATTCGGCGATTGTTCATCGGAACACGAGCTTCAACAGATGACAGCACTGCTACAAGGAAGCATATCTGTTCCACTTCCGACATACTTCACCTTGGGAAGCAAACCTTTGCCCGCTCGAGTAATCGAGCAAATAGAAGCCAATGATGAAGTATGTCCCAATCTTTACTTCTTGGGAAAGCGCGGCACCTTGAAGACGTCAGAGGGCATTCGAATTGTCGCTCTAGGTGGAAAGCTAGAGGAAACAAGTACTGCAAGCGATAAGTACCACCCGGGATATAGCGAGTCAGACGCCAGGACACTTATTGGCGCACACCATGCCGACATCCTCCTCACGCACCAATGGCCCAAGGGTATTCGAACTGGTTCTAAAGTAGAACTAGCAGAAGGCGCCAAAGTACCTCAAGAAACGCAATGCATTGCAGACCTCTGCTCGGCTCTCAAACCCCGCTACCACCTCTCATCAACAGACGGGTTGTTCTACGAGCGTGAACCTTTCTTTCACCTCCCTACAGAAGACAGCCCAGATGCCAAACCACTCACGCGTTTCATCAGCCTAGCCTCATACAGCAAAACAATCAAGCAAAAATGGATGTACGCCTTCACACTCGATCCCAAGGCACCACCACCTCTGAGTATCCCAGTCGGCACAACAGCACCCCCTTTCTCCTCTGTCCCCACCAAACGCAAGCCACTGCCCGACCAAAACGCCTCATTCAGCCGCTTCGCACCCACCGACGACCATCACAGCCAACGTCCCCGCAAGCGTGCGCGCGCTCCTCCACCTGGGCCGGAACAATGCTTCTTCTGCCTCTCAAACCCCAACCTCGCTACCCATCTAATCACTTCCATCGGAAACGAAGCCTACCTAACAACCGCCAAGGGACCACTCCCAACGTCGAAAACATTCCAACCATCCCTCAACTTCCCCGGCCATATGCTCATCATCCCCTTCAACCACGCGCCATCCCTGAACAGCATAACCGACACGCCTAGCCGGCACAGCACATGGACCGAAATGCAAAAATACCGCACATCCCTGCACTCCATGCTCCAGCGTCGCTCAAACGGCTCTTTAGGCGCCGTCACATGGGAGGTCTCCCGCGCAAGCGGTATTCACATCCACTGGCAATTCCTAGCCGTGCCCGCAGACCTCATCAAGCGCGGACTCGTCACCGCAGCCTTCAAAGTCGAGGCCGAGAACCTCAAGTACCCGAAATTCGAACAACCAACTTCGTCCTCATCCCAGCTCAGTTCAGAGCAGGGGTCTGCAGACCCCAGCGCTGAACCAGGCGATTTCTTCCGTCTCTGGATCTGGGATCCGCCGGCTGCCACTGCTGCTGAGTCAGATGAGGATGGCAAGACCAGCGCCGAAGGTACAGAGAAAACACTACTTCTCCCGCTCGGTGCAGACTTCCGCTTCGATCTGCAGTTTGGTCGGAGAGTCATGGCGAAACTGATGCAGCTTGAGCGACGGATTAATTGGAAGGATGACGTACAGTCACAGGAGGAAGAGGAGGCTGATGCTGCGGCTTTCAAGGAGGCATATAAGGAGTTTGATTTTACGTTGGAGGAATAAAATAGTTCTCTTCTCTTGTTTTTATTACCAAACACTCGAGCAGGTTGATGTACCTGTAATTGATACCAGTGTATTTCTTCTACAGACCGCGAACAATACATAGACATGAACTGTCATTTATAGACATGGTAGAAAACCGGAAAAAGATGATATTGAGAGATTGTGTGACAAACAGGATATCAGCACCTTGGGTTCATAACTTTCGTCAACGGACAAGTGGATGGACCATGACCGAGCGTGGTAGGTGCAATTCATGGCATAAAAGTGGTATATACATTAGAAGAGAAAATATTTTGGTTGGAGACTTGCGCTCTGAGCGACGGATATGGCAGGGCCAAAATAAATTTGGTGGGAGGCGAGACCACTCCTAGGTTGAAGTGGCACAGAAGCACACCAAGAAAAATCGTGAAGTCAGGAGTCACGATCTTGAGTCGGTACCTCAACATTCCAAAAAGGGTATTTATGTAAGTCAGAAGTTACAGCATCAATGACCGAAGAGCATGACCACGGCCACATAATCAGGTAATAAGAGCAAAGGAAAGTAAAACGGTGCGCAGAGCACTTTGGTGCAAAGAGACTAAGGGTACTTAGTCCTTATAACCGGGTTTAGGCCCGCTCTGCAGAAGACTCGGGGGCCGGCCCGGGTCACTGATTTGCTGCGGGACCGAGGTAAACGGTGGCGGAGGTGATGAAGGCACGGTTGGAGACATCGCCCTGTAGCTTGGTGGCTGGTTAAGTCCCGGGGAGGAAGGCTGCCGGTACGGCATCGCGGGGGATTGCTGCCGAAGTGGAAGTCCCGGGGACGGTTGTCGAAGCGGGAGCCCTGGGGATGGCTGGCGAAGAGGAACCCCAGGAGATGGTTGACGGAATGGAAAATTCGGACCGGGGGAAGGCTGCCGGAATGGAAAGTTCGGACCTGGGGAGGCCTGCCGGAATGGAACTCCTGGTCCTGGTGACGGTTGGCGATACGGAATTGGACGGTTCATCTCTGTGTTGGGAGAAACTGCAACACCCACTGGGAATTGAGGACCAGGAGAATATGCTTGTGGGGGCGGTGGCATAGCATGGTAGTTTCCGCCTGGCGAGTTGTCTCTATACGGCTGGTCGTACGGGGATGTTGTCTGTGCATGGTAATCATATGGATTCTGGTCATCGTATCCATGTGAGTCGGGATAATAATCGCGCTGGACCGCTGACCCGGTCCTGATTGGTGGTGGGCCCATATAACCACCCACAGGTGATCTAGGCGCGGATGGTCTGCGATGCGGTGGTCGGTTGACTGGGTTCAACGGTTCCATCTCTACCGACTCAGGCTGTGGACTCGAATCTTCCACCCTCCGAGTGACGGCGTGGTCCCAGCTCGGCATGGCAGGTAACGCATCGTCATTCATCTTTGAGACGCCGGGGCTCGGAGGAGTATCGAATCGAGCCACTTGAGCTCCGCGATATGTCGGGAGAGGCTGAGGCGCCTGATATTTCGGTTGATATCCCTCCTCGTAGGTATTGTTTACCGGCGGCAACTGAGGCTGTGGCATTGGAGCTGGCGGGTGGTTGTACGGGTCCTCGTACTTTGGCCGCTTGTCCCTTGGGGATGGACAACAGCATGAACAGCAACAACCTGTACAGCAGCGAATACCACAGCACAGGCAATTTACGATACAGGCAATAATCGATATGAGGACTACACCTCCGACGATGATACCAACAATCACAGGCCATCTATATGTTCGTCAGTCATACGTTCACCGGATTTAGAAAACAGCGATTGACGTACTTGCAATAGGACTTTGCCATACATTTATCCCAGCTAGAGAGTGTATCGGCGGCGCTTGCGAGATCATCACCCGGACTTCGCGCCCATAACGAGTAAGAGAACTCCACCGGACTCATTTTGACGAACGGTTTGATACCCCCACACTTTAGTGAAAGGTAATGCGACGGGCGTTCACCCCTCGAATCAACAGTATCCCGCTCTCGACAACGGGGGGCAAAAGGAGGAAGGTATTAATCACGGGTTATAGTCGGATCGAGCGGCCTAAAAATAGGTGACCAGATTCCTTCTGCCTTGGGGATTTCGTGGATGGTCTCCGGGCGGCTGGATTGCGATCGCGCGACGGCTGAAAGTGTCTTCAAAGAGAGTGATATCGCATCCAATAAATATATTCTTTTATCTTCCAAAAGATCGTTTAATTTTTAAAAATAGGCCTTCCTTAAAAAAGAGAGAGATGATAAATTTGGAGAGCAGGTAAATGACTGGAGATCGGAGGCATTTAAAAAGCAATGGGTGTGTCAGAAAGAAGGCACTAACTCCTGGGGCATAACTGGACGCCTCAAGGAGGTTTCAAACCGATAAAAAAGAGCGACAAGGTGAGGGAGAGGAAACGAGGGATGAAGTTGTGAAGAGGAGGATAAACGAAAAGATGGATGGCAAGAACGCCAAGGGAAGCAAACGGCTCGAAGATAAAAGCGGTTTGCGGAGCAGCAGCAGACGGAGTAAGATAGTGATCATCGAGTCCAGTGCGCGTCTCAATATGCGTTCTGTGGCAGGAGTAATTTATAATTTCATACCGATACATTAACAAAAGTATGATAGAACACTAGGGATCGTCCAGAAATACCAGCGTGTTACACAATACCCGAGGGCCGTCGTGCACTCGAACAGATGGAGTTTGCAGGAGCCTGTCTCCCTGTCGATCAACAGTTGGGATTTTGTTGGCGAAGATCTCACCGTCAGATGTTGATTTCTCGGTTACTCGATCTCTAAGCAGTCTATTGTAGTCGCTCTATATACCAGCAACCGGTATGTCTCAGATGAAGGCCCACTATCTGAAGATGGGTTGGGAATAGCGACACTACAATCTCAAACAAGTTCACAGCTTCGCAAACTCCGAGGCAGATTCTGAAATTAGCATAAAAATAGAACTTTAGAATCGTCATCTCTGAACTCCACTGCCCCAGTCGCCTGTCTCCCTTGTGGCTTGTATGCAAGTTTGTGACCCAGAGCCTTGGAGATCCAGCTTAACAACAAGCGGGACTCACCCAGTAAGTACAATGGTCCACTAGACATCAAAGACGACACAGAAAAAGCAGCAATTTATACAAGTATATAACTTAACCGTAAAAAAAGCGCCATTGGATGCTTTGGTGGCTTTTCGTCATCCACGGAAGGCGGACGGCCAGTCCCGGTCAAATGTGGATAGAAATATATGTAATTATACTCGTATAAACTATAGGGGCGATAAACCATGTGTTTCCCATAACTGCTACTCTGCAGTATATAGCGTCATCGACAAGCACAGAAATCAGAATCCCAACGCACAGAAAAAACGCCCACGTAAGATATTAATTGTAGTATTCGTTTCCCTTCAACGCGATTTTTTTATTTTTTTTTTTTTTACACGTTTCATACTCGAGAAACCTAAGGCTTCCCGTTGAATCCGGGAGGTGGTGGGCCAGATGGCGGCTGGTAAACAGGCTGGCCTCCATACGGAGACTGTTGTCCCCCATAATATGCATTTGGTGGCTGCTGTAACTCAATCCCTGGCTGGCCTCCAAAGTATCCCTGAGGAGGTGGCTGTTGCGTGTATTGCGGAGGCGGAGGAGGCTGATTGTAGGGATCTTGATGTGTTTGTGGGTGATATGGTGGAGGAGGAGCCATCCAGGCAGTCCCAGCGTACGGGCGAAGGCCCCGTCTGCGGCGTCGTCGAGCGTTGAAGCATCTGCGATACTTTTGTTAGCATGCCTGTAATAATCCACGTAGGTTGAGCAACATACGATAGGGCGAAAAATGCGAGCAAAGCCACTCCAACAATCACACCAAAGGCGACCCAGCGACCCCAGTCATTCCATCGATTACAATGATAGTAACCACGATAGCTGCTGTAGCTGCAAGTGATGTTAGCCCGGCGCTTGATTTTTTGATTTTTTGATTTTTTTTTTTTTTTTAAAAAAAAAAAAAAAGAATAGATAAATGTGCAGACGTGTAGAGGTGGTGATAGACAAGCAGAACTCACCAACGGGCTCGCGGTTCTAATAGGACGCCCATAGTGCAGGGACCTCTATCGGAAATGTGCTGGTGGAGATGACGTCGATCAGAAAGTGAAGGACAGGGGTGATGGAGATGGCAAGTTCGATCTCAAAGATAGATGCAGAATCCGAGAAGGTGACGGCAAGTAACTGCAGGATATAAAGGTGACCGGAAAGGCGCGACCTGTTAGACAAAGGAAAGATAGAATGGCACGTTGGAGTGGTGTTGGGGGGAAAAACGAGATCTTAAGGCAGCAGCAAAAAAAGATCCGGGTTTCATGTATTAATGCAACAGTCACAGGGCTGGGCAGGCTGTGGCTGAGCAGGCAGAAAAGAGGCTTGGCAGCTTTACGGAGTCCGCATTCGCATACGAGGTTCACAGCGGATCCGGTTGCCTGCGAACCGCGGTTGAGTTGTCAGCAGCTCGAGCCGTGGCTGATGCTGCCGATTCTCCAAGTTTATCCGTCTTGCGATCGTATTTACGGGCCTTGGCTGGCTATAGCATTACTTGCTAAATTTCCATGGTAGTCCTGGGTAACATTGTCTTCGCTAGAATACCATTAATTCTTATTCAGTAATCATCGGACGGCAATCCCGGATATCGACTTCGTCAGTCCGAGTCTCAGTCGTCATCCTGTCAGCCCTATTACGCCGCTTGCCAACGACGAAGTACGAATCAATTACAAAGCATCACGCCCCCAGTTCCACCTCTGTCTGGAATCCCCATAAGCCACTCGCAGGCTGCAGCCGAGCGACGCTCATCAAGAGGCTAAGGAAAATGAGGAAATGAGTTTGACGATGCGCCGCCCCTGGTCCAACCATTAACAAGCACAACGACTGGCTGCAACAAACTCTCCCCGGGAGCTGGATTATGCAGCCATTCGCCTATGGAAGCGCGACTCTCGCAACTTGCAAGGTCGCTGGTTCCTTCGTAGTGTCGGCCGCTGGCGGGGTTGGATTTGCGGGAAGGACATGATTAGTTGCCGTCCTTCTGCATTGCCAACGCATCACTTGGTCTGTGTGTTGGCTGCTGGCCGCCTTCTTAAAACGCCAGCGGGAGGCTGGCGATGCGAATAAACAGGACGCGTTTTCTTCTGTCCTCAAACCTCTTTCGTCATCTTGGATTTCGATTTGATGGCTTTAGATGCGCTCAATTTGGTTAAGCTGATACCGTGACTCCTGGCTCCTTTTCAGGCCCAGGAAATGACACCTTTTAAGATTCCCTGCCTTTGACTTTGGTCAATATATACACCTTCTTGCCTAATGAGCGCATTGTTGGGCATAGACTGGGCACCAAATTTTCGCCTAAAATTGGCCTGGCTTAAATACACAAACACCGCTTGCTGATAGCGCATCTTCGGGGAATCGCGAAAACATCGAGTGAATGACTGACACATGAAAACAGGGAACAAGAGACGGAACAAATGGGTCGTGACGCAACTAAAAATTTCCTAGACACCAAGAGATGGTTCACCTAGTCAAATCCATTACAGATTGGCTATGCGCCGCGATGTTGGACATCTACATCGTTTCAGGGCATTCAGGGGTGGGAGATGAAGCCGGAAAGAGCCAGCTTGCCCGACCTCCAATGGACCAGTTGTTAACAAGTTACCGACTTGCTCGCGCGATTAACCAGTGCAGCACGGCGTCGAGGTTCGTCTCTTCCTTTGCACTAATGCCGTAGCAGCTCACTTCACGCCGCGTTATGGATTTGAGGTTCATCTGATCGATCAGCTCGTCGACAGAGAGCTTGTTGGGCAAGTCAGATTTGTTTCCAAGGACCAAGAGTGGGATCCCGTCGAGGGTGGACTTGTTCGTCAGCTCGTGCAGTTCTTCAGTTGCCACGGGCAAGGCCGCCCTGTCTGCAGCGTCCACGATATAACTATACGAGGTCAGCGCAGTCGCAGTCGAGACTCGACACCTGTGCTTACACGATCGCATTTACACCCCTGCAATATCGCTCCCACATCGGCCGAAACCGCGGCTGTCCCCCAAGGTCCCAGCTGCGAGAGGGTTAGAATACGTCGTGGAAAACTTTCCGGGATGCACAAACCACTTGAGAGTCACATGTCCCTTCTGGACTCGCTTCGTATTGAAACCGATGGTTGGGATAGAGCTGACATAGTCTCGTCTTAGCGGAGAAACGAGCGGGCCACTGAGAAACCCTACAACAAAGAACTTACTCTACAGTGAATTCTCCCCCCTATACAAATCATGAGTATTAGCGACACGATAAACAGGCTTTCTAGGTTCGTTCGGTTTGGGCCCAAAACTTACCGCAAGCACACGCAACAGTGACGATTTGCCTGCATTCTGAAGCCCGATCATCGTGACGTCCATCTCCGTCGCCCTACGTTCACGAAACACATAACAGTTCTTAGCCAACCGAAATTTGGATACTGCGGGGACGGCCCGGGGCTATTTCGGGGGAACACCTGCAGGCTGCAGGCGACCACTTATTGGAACGGCGGCCCACTTACCAGAACATCCTCAAGAGCCAGTCATAGATCGTTCGAAAAATACCCGCCATGTTGGAGACAAGTCACAGCGACTCCTGAACCCGGACCGAGTATCAATAAAGAAAAGGGATAGCTAGGAGGAAAAAAAAGAGCAAGGCGCGTGGGGAGGCAGGCTGGGAGTTGGGAGGGCGGATATATCGAGATCAGATTTTTGGACGATGAAGTGGGGGTAGACGATGGGTTGCAGAAAATGGGTTCGCTGACTGCTGGTACACCGGCAGAAAGCTAGATGGATGAGGTGCGAGCGTAGTAAAAACGACAGACGAAATTTAACAGTCCCGGGACAAGGTGTAGACGAGTTGTGCTGGGGCTATGGGACTCGGAAGCGCCGTCGGAGTCCCGAGAGCTCGAAGATGCGAGCGCTAGGTAGACGCTGCACGGTGTGAAGAAACGCCCCAAGACCTGAGCGTCAGACCCAGCGGCAATGAATCTCCCCGCTGCTTGTGCTCGTCCGCCGTGGAATGAAGACGAGGACGAGAAAAAGGAATATGTCCTCTGCTTTCAAGCCCAGGACGGAGTACTTGCGGTGAAACTCGACTACTCCGATCTATGTGCACGCATGACCGTGAGGGGATCGCCTCGCCGTAGTTGCTCGTTAGCTCTCCCGGTCCCTGTCAGTGCAAGTGTGTGCCGTCAGGCCGGTCTGTGATGGATTCCTTGTCTGCAACGCTGCACCACTAAGGCGACTGTTTAGCTTTTGATAGCTGAAGTTGGTAGTGATTTGCAACCAAACCGGTAGCTTGTTCGCATGTAGTCGTGGGGAGGAGGGTGGGACTTCAGCTCACGGGACAGGAGAGGGATGAGGAGCTGCCTGCTTCAGTGTTTGCCTGGCTTCACTTGGAGTAAAATGGAAGACTAGACTTGAATTATTAGAATAGCTTCAATGACGCCACTTATCCTCACGAGAACTCGAAAGACTCGCAAGGCTCACTTTTGGTCGCGACGATGAGCCACGATCGGATGCTTGACTGCCTTATCGCCTAAGGCACAAAAACGGCTCTTTCCATGCCTGAGGCATAGACAACTATCACCACGTGACGATATCTGTCCGGCAGTTCCACCTCAAAAAATTTCCCAGTCGGGACCTTGGACAGAGGCTTCAGATTCCAAGCCGGCCCTCGTGCTTCTCTTGCGAGTCGCTCTCTTTCAATTCTCTGGGGTGCCTTTCATTGATCCCGCACTTTGTGCAAGGGACCTGCTACCGATCAAAACATCTCCATTTTCAGTTCTTTACACCCTATTCTGACTGAACCGTCGCATGCAAACCCGCCTACTACTCCAGTGAAAAAGGCCGGCAAGGCATCCGCAAAATCCACGATGGCTCCCGCCGCGACAGATACCAATTGGTCCGTAAATTACGATATTTTGAAGCGAGAGAAGCTCTTTCGGAATCCTCCTGAGGACAAAACCGCATATCCTACCCTCGCCGAATCTATCAAGCCGCACGTCGACTCTTTCAATGCGCTTTTCGAGAGCGGCGGAATCCTAGAAGCCGGTCTTAAAGACATTGGAACCAAGACTTTCCTTGATGAGGTCGTTGAAACTGCCGACCAAAAGCAACAACGTCTTGCGGAGGGCCGGAAACCCCCGAGGCGGAATAAACTTCATGTTCGAATCAAAGAAGTCTTCCTCGAGAAACCTGCTATTCCCCCGACAAATAAATATACCGCTCGCAACCGCAATATATACCCATCCGAGTGCAGAGAAAGGCATGCGACGTACCGTGGAAAGCTCCGTGCGAGGATTGAATATCGGGTCAATAATGGAGACTGGACAGAGTCTCTTCGGGAACTTGGCCAAGTCCCAATCATGTTGAGGGTGAGTGACTAGCTTCCTGCATTGAATGTGCCGTCCCTTGGTTGGTGCTAGATCTGACTTCAATTGCAGACCAACAGATGCTACCTGGAAAAAGCAACCCCGGCAGAGCTCGTCCAGCACAAGGAGGAATCAGAAGAATTGGGCGGCTATTTCATCGTCAACGGTAACGAAAAGCTGATTCGTATGCTGATCGTCGGAAGGCGTAACTATCCCATGGCCATTGTCCGTAACACCTTCATGAACCGTGGCCACGCATACACGAAATTCGGTATTCAAATACGATCGGTACGACCCGACCAGACTTCGCAAACGAATGTTTTACACTACCTTAATGACGGAAACGTGACGTTCCGATTCTCATGGCGGAAAAATGAGTATATTATCCCTGTGGTGATGATTCTCAAGGCTTTGGTAGAGACGAACGACCGCGAAATCTTCGAAGCAATTGTTGGTGGTGCCTCTTCTGAGGGTATCAATAACACGTTCGTTACAGACCGAGTTGAACTTTTGCTGCGGACATATAAGGCCTACAAACTACACAGTCGTTCAGAATGCCGAGCATTTATCGGAGAGAAATTCAAGCCCGTCCTCGGTGTCGCAGCGGACATGCCGAACGAGGAAGCAGGCGCAGAATTTCTTCGCAGGGTTGTTCTGCCACATCTGGGCAACCAGAATGTAACGGAGACCCAGGATTACGACAAGTTCAAAATGCTCATGTTCATGATCCGCAAGCTTTACGCCGTCGTCGCCGGTGACTGTGCTCCTGACAACCCCGATGCTGTCTCCAACCAGGAAATCTTGCTAGGAGGGTTCCTCTACGGCATGTTGTTGAAGGAAAGACTTGATGAGTGGGTGAGGTCGTTTGGAACTATCCTCAGGGATTGGTCTAACCGGAACCATGGCGCGAGGTTCACAGATCCAGCTTTTGAGAGAGATTTTGTGAGCAGAGTCATAAAGAGGTCCAACGAGAACATTGGAGGTGCCATGGAGTACTTCCTTTCTACGGGTAACCTTGTCAGTCCTACCGGTCTTGATTTGCAGCAAACTTCTGGTTACACTGTCATGGCGGAGAAGATCAACTTCTACCGATTCATCAGTCATTTCCGGATGATTCACAGAGGTAGCTTCTTCGCGCAACTCAAAACGACTACCGTTCGTAAGCTCCTTCCGGAGAGTTGGGGTTTCCTTTGCCCTGTGCATACCCCTGATGGATCTCCGTGTGGTCTACTTAACCATCTTGCCCACAAGTGTCTGATTACCACCAAGGATACCGACGTCTCCCGCCTTCCAAAACTACTTGTCCAGCTTGGTGTTCGCAACGAATCGTCCGTCTCATTAGCTGAGAGTGTAAGTGTTCAATTGGATGGTAGGATTATTGGATACTGCTCGCCTAAGCAGGCGCGCGCAATTGCCACCACTCTCAGACACTGGAAGGTTTCCGGCGCCCATGATGTTCCTCTGGACCTGGAAATTGGATATGTTCCCAATTCAGCTGGTGGTCAATACCCTGGGGTCTACATGTTTTCACAGGCTGCTCGGATGTTCCGCCCCGTCAAGTACTTGCCGCTCGATAAACTAGACTACGTCGGCCCATTCGAACAACCATTCATGGAGATTGCCTGCTTGCCGTCAGACTTGATCAAGGGAGTTTCGAGTCACATCGAATTTACCCCCACAAACATTCTCTCAATCGTCGCCAACATGACTCCTTTCTCAGACTATAACCAATCTCCACGTAACATGTACCAGTGCCAAATGAGCAAGCAGACCATGGGTACGCCAGGTACAGCAATCGACTATCGCACGGACAACAAACTCTACCGGTTACAAACCGGTCAAACACCTATTGTGCGACCACCGCTCTACAACGCTTACGGCCTAGACAACTTCCCCAACGGCACGAATGCCGTTGTCGCTATTATTTCATACACGGGTTACGACATGGATGACGCTATGATTATCAACAAATCCTCTCACGAACGTGGCTTCGGTTATGGTACAGTCTACAAAACAAAGATTCACGCTCTTGATGAGAAGGACTCAAGGCGAACGAAGTCTCGACAGGCAATTCAAAAGCTTTTCGGGTTTGCTCCGAATGGTGAAGTCCGTGCTGAGTGGCGTCAGACTCTCGACGAGGACGGTCTTCCTTATATTGGTGCTAGAATCACCAGCGGCGACATTGTTGCTGCGTACCACACAGTACGATACGATGCAGCCTCAGATTCATACGTCAATGTGGACGGCGTCACGCAGTTTATGAAATACAAGGACGACGAAATAGCATACGTCGATAGCGTCCGTGTCATGGGTTCTGAAACTGGTACCGAGCCTGTACAATCACTCAGCGTCAAGTACCGCATCCCCCGAAAGCCCATTATCGGTGACAAATTCTCTTCACGTCACGGTCAAAAGGGTGTTTGCTCTCAACTTTGGCCAGCAGTCGACATGCCCTTCTCCGAGAGTGGTATCCAACCAGACCTCATCATCAACCCTCACGCTTTCCCCTCTCGTAAGAACCCCCAACTCATACCTTTTCGTTATTCAATAAAACTAACAGGCCTAAACAGGAATGACAATCGCCCAAATGATCGAATCCATGGCCGGTAAAGCTGGCTCGCTGCACGGCCACCCACAAGACTGCACACCCTTCCAATTCTCCGAAGAAAACACCGCGACAGACTACTTTGGCGAACAACTCCGCAAAGCTGGATACAACTACTTCGGGAATGAGCCTCTCTACTCAGGAATCACTGGCAAGGAATTTGCAGCCGACATCTTCATCGGCGTCGTCCACTACCAACGTCTGCGTCACATGGTCAACGACAAGTTCCAAGTCCGTACCACTGGTCCTGTCAACAACCTCACCGGCCAACCCGTTAAGGGTCGTGCAAAGGGTGGTGGTATCCGTGTTGGAGAGATGGAGCGTGATTCGCTGATTGCGCACGGTGCGGCCTTCATCCTCCAGGACCGATTGATGAACTGTTCCGATTCGCAGCGCTCTTGGATCTGTCGCGACTGTGGGTCCTTCTTGTCGACCCAAGTTGCCGTTTCATCGGTTGGCTCGAGCAAGGCGCGATTGGCGGCTAAGGCTTCGGGTTCTGGTTCATCGTCGTCGCACCAGGCCTCTGGTGCGCTTGGTGGGAATGCCGGTATTGTGCGGTGTAGGCGGTGTGCCAGGGAGGCTGTCTTCGATGATTCCCGTGCGGTTGTGTGGGAGGATGGAGATGGGAAGCGCTTTGTTGGTGGTGACAATGTTACTGTTGTTGCCGTGCCAGGTGTGCTGCGATATCTGGATGTGGAACTTGCGGCGATGGGCATTCGCATGAAGTTCCGGGTTGATAATTAATACTATCCCCACCTTCTACTACTAAAACTTGGAGGGGAAGGGTGTACACCATAAAAAGCATGTTTATACATAGATGGGGAGCGATTTTCTTGTCAGCAATGCTTGTATTGATGTTTTAAGATATCTTTTGTATCTATTGAGTTCTTGGGGATATCGTTTATATCATTGTTGGCAATAGCATTAGTTCTTTTCATTACATCAGGGCAATTCTGGTCAGTGAAGTGTAGGTTGTGTCATAAGCTCTTGTTCGATGAAACCCGATGAACCCAGACAGACATGAGTCGGTAAAATTCATTGGATACTTAGAGAACAAGAAATCGCAAAGGACGGTAATCCCCTATCTAACATAACAGCCTTTAGAAGTGCGTTGTAAGCGTCGATGTAACGTTGGAGAATTCGCCCTTCTCCAACTTCGTCTTCCAGAATATCGGGTTCATATCGTCGAAGCCGTGGTGGACCCATCCCTCTTCCTTCACGTGGTAAAGGTTGATGAAACCACCAGAGTAGGCATCACGGTGCATGGCAGCAAGAATACTCCTCCGTCCGAGCTCAAGAGCCTCCTCCTCAGTCAGATCGTACCGGTAGTTTGCGTCGAGCACACCGTAGGCGAAAGTCTGACCGGATCCAACACAGAATAGGTTTCCGGGAAGGCGGGTACCGTCGGAGTCGATGTAGTACAGAGCAGGTCCTTCTTGCGGTGTCACCTACATCGCAGCAAGTTAGATTTAGTTTCAAGGATCAAGATATTCGGGAACGTGTTTAGCTGCACGTACTCCTGCCAACATTGTTCCCATACTCAGACCATATCCCTTGTATGCGTACGTAAGATTAGCGAGAATCTTCGAGGCGGCGGCAACTGTGATGCGGCGTTTGTGGCGGATTTCTATTCCATGTCAGCATCGCGCGATGCGATATGCGAGCGCGACCAAACTCACCATGTAGTGTGCATTGTTGACTCAGATATCTAAGCCAGTATTGACAATCCTAGGCAATAAATATCAGTATGGCCACTCTTCCCGGGAAAACACATAATAACAATGCACATACTGCGGCACCACCAGCCATGGTCCCCAGAAGACCAGGAACGGGGTCATTGTTGCCCGGCTTATCCTCTGCACGGCTCAATCTCGAGACCGGAATGACCTTCTTCACCGTCTGACTAGCAATCCAGTTTCCAGCCGTAGCTCTGGAATCTGTGCAGACAATCTATTTTACGCCAGTCAGCGGGACACCTAGTGATGAGAAAAACATTTTGACCGGTTAGAGCGACGTACAATTCCACCCTGGAATCGGAATGCGAGTGTTGTTGTTCCGTGAGCGAGTTTGATGGGGCAGTTGGGGTTCGAATGGTCATCGGTCATCGCACGGAGGAAAGCAGAGTGCTAGACAGAAGAGAAGCGGTGTTAGTCAATGTTCTCAATACACGGATATTGGCCGGCCCAAAAGGCCAGTCTCCGCGATGCTGGCCTCGCCGCTGCTTCGTCACCAAACGAAATCCACCACAAGTCATCCCACACCGCTAGAGCAAAGATCAAATGATAGAGCTTACGTTTGCAACCGGAGGAAGGGCGAATTTCAGAGAAAGAGGAGGCAGACCCTCTACCAGATCATGCTGCTCTTGCTCCGAGTAGAACTCGTTCTGATGCGGCGCCTGGGAGTATTGGCGGACTAATTGATCCATGATGTGCAACTGACTGCGGCGGTGATATTTATTCTGGTGGGGTTATGATACAGGAAATGAACGAGAGGGAGGATGGAGTGCGAAGAGATGGAGGACGAAGATGGAGCTCCAAAGCTGAGCTTCTGACGCTGGAGCTTCCCAGAAGGGCCGCCGCCCGCGTCGTCACCTTGGAGCCTGGGTCACGTGTTGCAGCCTCGGGCTTCAGGCATGAACTCATTACTACAGCACTCTTCTACTCTTCTACTCTTCTACTTTTCTACTCTTGTATCCTGTATTCGAAACAATACAGTAATCTCAATTCAAGCAGACTATTAACAATTACTAACGGGAATACAGACAGTATGAGTATTAACACAGCAACAATTCCTTGGATTACAACAGTATCCTCTTTAAATGGGAACTGCAACACGCTGCACATGGGCATCTAGAGGAGTCCCAAGGTGGTCTCCTTTCTTCGTTGGGCGGAAGGTGAACTCTGGGTTGTCCGAAATGCCGCCGTTGACGCCCTCCTTATTTATGGCTGAAGTCTTTTGCTTCTCACCCAGGCCCTTCAAGCCATTAGCACCTCCCATCTGCTTACCTCTGCCCGAAGCAGCAACATTTCGTGCCTCCAAGGCGTCGGCCTCCATCATTGGAGCGGCCATGCTATGGACTCTTCCGCGAGGTGCTGCATTTGTAGGCGAAACCTGGGAGTAGTCCTCCCAAGCAGAAGTGTCCTCTGCCTGAGTATCTGCTGCCTGGACGTCTTCAGATTCTCCCTTCATATACTCAGCCTCACGAGACTCCATCTCTTGACGCCTCATTGCCTCAGCTTCCATCTCACGGCGCCTGATTTCTTGGGATTCCATCTCTTGACGCCTCATTGCCTCAGCTTCCATCTCACGGCGCCTGATTTCTTGGGATTCCATCTCTTGACGTCGCACTGCCTCAGCTTCCATTTCACGACGTCTCATCTCTTCAGCCTCAATCTCTTGGCGTCTCATCTCCTCGGCTTCCATGTCACGACGTCTCATCTCTTGGGATGCTATCTCCTGGCGTCTCATTTCTTGCGCCTCGATCTCTTGACGCCTCATCTCCTCAGATTGCAAGTCACGGCGTCCCATGTCCTGAGACTCCACGGCCTGAGGACCCATTGCCTGAGTTCCCACTGCGCCAGTTCCCATTGTAGCTCCCAATGCCTGAGGCTCAAACTCACGAGTCTCTGCTCCCTGGGATTCCATGGCCTGGGAGTCGGTTGCAGTTGTCACGCGGGCTGCACGGCCAGAAGAGGGTGGCGAGACTCCCGTGGGGAGAGCTTGCGCTCCAGAGTCTTCAACGTGGACGGGTTCCATTTGAATCCTATAAGAGCGAATGTCCTGCTCGGCCTGTTCAATTATTCGCTTGGCCTCGGCGCCATGCACATACGCCCTTGCCTCATCTCCGGGGACCACGGAGGTGTCATCGATGCAGTTTAGCAGACGACGACCATGATGGGCAAGTAGAGCCTGCTTTTCGCTTCGCTCAATGACAGCAGCCAGGTGAAGGCTGTATGCCTCCTTGAATCTCTGCCTGGTCTATAAAGGCCCACTGTCAGTATCTAAAAAGTGAGCCCATCACGTAGAAAGTATGACCTACCACATTGATCAACTGTGCTTCAGCGACAAGATTCTGGGCCTCAGCTCTAACGAGCTCCTGTTCCAAGGTGTCTATTTTGTGGCTATTGGGATCCTTCAGCTTGACGCGCTGGATCTCGTCCGAAATCTTAGCTCGCTGGTCACGGGTTGGCTGAACAGAGCCCTCCGTATCGCGAATATGCTTGAGGACAGTGCGATATTCATCCAAATTTTGAGCAAAAGCGTCCTCCTCCTCGCCCATCTCCGCTAGCAGAACACCAAGCTTGTCCGAGATGTCCGAGATGGTCTCGTCTTCAGTAGTCTCGCCCCAATCGGACACCTGCTCTCCGACGGCGATGCGCTGTCTGCCTGCCGACTCATGGGCGGCGGCGGCCGAGTTCTCGCTCTTGATCACTCGGCTCATTTTCTTGCTCAACAAGGGCTGCTGAAGACTGCGGATGCTCCCAAAATTGAACCGGCTGCGGCCAGAGCTGCCGGTGCTTCTTCTTTTGCCGGAAAGAGTTCGGTTCCTGAGTGCTAATTAGCTACTACCCTAGCTGTAGGTTTGCTCCCAGAGGCCATACATCTTTGCGACCGCGGTGTACCGAAGACAGTTATTTGTTTTTGGTTATAATATGGTGGTGGTAAGATCAATTCAACAACAAAAATAAACTATACATATATATGGAAAGTTTAAGGAAGCTTTGGTAGGGTTGCACCTTCCTGAATAGGTCGGACTTAGGATTATCAAACTTGTCAAGGCCAATCTGATAATTATGAAACAATTGTGCTTTAGATTCCCTAACACAGGGTTATAAGCCTGAAAACCCCCCATACCGTCCATGCTCTCTTTATGCTGAGCTCATGGGCATAGCTCGTGACGTCACGAGGCGAGCTCAGAATCCTGAGGTCATTCTGCAGTATGCAAAACCGCAAAATGAGCAGGTGATTCATGTTCCAGATGGGATGTTCCGCTGGAAAGACGATACTCTGGGTAGTGGTATCCAATCTGCGGTGGTGTCGGGGGTCTCTGTTCCCGTTTTCGGGTAATGTATAGATCTCGCGTGGGGTGCGAACAATAAACCCATGCTTCCCATTCGTTGTGCTATAAAGCTTATTGTTGGGCTGCTATACAACTTGCTGCTTATCGGATGGGTATATATTTGATCTCCCCGTTTTCCCATGCTCGTCGCCGTCGACCGGGTTCTATGTACTCCACTAGTGGCGGTGACTCTGGAGGGCATTTCCTGTATGCACTAGAGAAGAGCGTCATCCGCCCAGCGGGATATATTGTTTCGCGTCGGATACGGACGCGCCTCCTAGTAATAGTGTAGGAAGCCCGCGGAGAATGCGGCGGGCTACAGTGTTGGGAGCAGTCGTAGTGGTGAGGGGGGTAGATGATGGCCGTTGATGTACTGGGACAATGCACCATAGGAGGAGATGGACAACTTGAACGATGCCGCAGTGGAAAAGGCACTCTGAGAGGACGAGAGCGATATTCTGTGACTCGGACAGAGCGGCAGTCTTCCTCGTCGTCATTATTGGAGAAGCACATGTTTGCGTCGTTGTATGCTTCAGTGTTTAGAAGAAATGGTAGTACTGCGTTGTGAGTTGGATATATTTCCAAAGAAACGACTATAAAAAAATCCACTAGGAATGTTCCCTAGGCAATACTTCATATACTCAAGACTTGTGGGTGAATCATTTGACCTGCGCAGGTCTAGACATCTGGCAGATGATCGCTCCCGGTGATGGTTTCCAAGCCGGGGCAGGTCAGCTCGGCGATGCGAACACACCCTGGCAAAAGCCTGACCAGGATGGGGCCATTTATAGACATTAATTACTGGGTTCTATTGTCGATGATATCTTCAGCTGAGGCGAATCCCCAAAGTGCCTAATGCAAGCTCAGCTGAGGAGCATGACTGTCGCAGCGCGGGGACGACAGCTGAGATCACCTGCACTATCTTTATTATAAGGGGCGAGGAGAGAGCATTAGGCCCGCTGCATCGAAGTAAGGTAATCAGATAGGCGATATGATGTCAATAAATTTTATCTGCCTGCCCTGCTCTATGCGAAGGGGCTACCTAATACGAAGAAAACCTTGGAAGAAAAAGCCCGCGCCGCAAAATGGCCAAATCCAACACCACCGTACCTTACTAGTAAAACATAACCACAACTGATTAAAAGAAAAAAAAAACTATCCGACATCCCGCATCAAGCCATGTCGTCCGCATCATGATGGTGCGTGTTTTCGTTATCTGATGCGTGGAATGCGTCCCCAAAGGCAGAGTTCTCCAAATCAGGGAGATCCAGGCCATCATTCTGTTCGGTGTACGCAGCAAGCGCGTCGCCGGCACTGTCCATGTTGGTGAAGTCAAAGTTTGCACCATCGAGTCCGGTATCTGTGCCTGTATTTCCGGGCGTTAGACCCTGGATGCCGCTACCTGGAGTGTCGTCCTTTTTGTCATTCACCATGACCCAATCACCAGTCTCGCCGGAGGCGGTGCCCGCGGGTTGAATGTTTCCCAGGTCCATATCAATATCTAGACCCACCAAAGATTGATCCTGCTGCGTGACGCCCGTAGTTGGCTGTGCGACAGATATGGCTGGGGCTGTCGTAGCGAGTGGTTGGCCTTGAGTAGTGAACTGGTCAAGCAGGTTGGTGTCCCCATGATCCATATCGACATCAGCCTCTGTTGTCTTCTGCTCCGGTTCAATCTTTTCCAGCAGACCACCCTTTTCAATGCAGGATACCTTTGGCTCTGGTACAATTTGCTTCTGCCATTTGTCTTCTACCTCCTTGACGATATCGCCAACCTTGTATTTGGCCTTGTGCTCTATCGGCGCAAGAGGCACATTATCTTCATCGGTAGGTATTTCAATACGCCCTTCCAGCCTCCACACCTCGGAACCAGTATCTGCTGGGTCGGATGCAGCATCGCGCAACTTAATTTCGGCGTCTTTTAGTAAAGAAGTACGGTTGAATTTTTCCATCCGTCGGGCGTGTCGCTTCTTCAACTTTTCGATCTCCGCTGTCATATCTGCGACCTTCTTGGCAACGCGATCGGCAAACTCTTCAGCCTTCTCCGGCTCCAGTTTGGTCGCCTGCTTTGCTTCGTTGCCGTCTGTCGACTCTCCGTTGGCAGGGCCGACAGGTGCATCGAAGAATCCTGTAGTTAACGACTCAAGTTCTCCTTTCCTACCTAAGCCCAAGGATACTGGAGTGATTTGACTGATAGCGTACGGCGAGGCCAAAACTTCTTCCATCCATTCATGATGCTGCTGATACCTCATTTTGCTCACTTCACGAGGCGTAAGAAGGTCCATGATGTCGCCCGCGGAAACATCTTCGTCTTCTAGAGCAAAATCGGCGGTGGCCGCATTAACCGCCGCCGACGAAGCGCGATGCCCACGCGGCGCTTTTGCCTGGGCCGGACCAGCGGGAGGCTGCGCACCTGGTCCGGGCTGCGGGTAAAATGGCTGCCGTCCGACCATTGCACTCGGAAATTGCGCCTGGGGTTGCTGGTAGCCCTGCTGAACGCCCATTTGGGGCGGTAATCCAATCGCGGGCCAGTTATTCCGGTCATGCAACATGAAGTCCTTGCGCGCCAGTATACCTTGGCTCTGTAGGAACCGACGCTGGGCCAGCATGCCTTGGATTTGGGGGAGGACTGGGATTCGGTTTGCGGGAATGTGGTCCGTAGGAGGCGATCGGGAATAGTGTACGATCCATAGCGAAGGATCAGGCGGAGGCAGGTTGGGGTTTGGGACTTTGGTTGGTAGGAGCCGGTATCGTCTGCGAGAATGGATTGCGAGCGACTCATTGGGAGGATGATAACCGCTGCGGTGCAGCCACATTTCCACGACCTGGCGCGCAGATATTAGCATCGATTCCAGTGGCTATGCCAACTAGCGAGTGGGAAGAAGAAACATACGTAGCCTCGAGCCTCAAAGGTAAACGCCTGCTCGGCGTCGGCCCAAACATAACCATCGCTCGCAAAGTTGGTCCCCAGGTGGTTCAGAGGTTGCCATGTAAGCATAACGGTGCCATCTTGTGGGCCGTCCAGGAACGTCCAGTGCATCGGTTGTCCTTCGCGGACTATCTTGGGCGCGGAGAGGAGGTATTCGACGACGGTTTCGGTAGGCATCATATGCATCAGCGGGTAGCGATTGCGCGACACGAGATGCATATGGGGCAGCTGTTAATTATAACGAATCCAGGGTCAGCGAACGATTCAAGGGATCATGATTGAGCTCAGGTGAGGCTATACCAATTGCCCGGGGACGCGACTGGCTGGGTCATCCATTGTGACCAGGGACCGCAATGGCTTATGATCAACGGATACAATTTGGTCGCGAATGTAGGTCAGGAAATAGCCACGAGGGCCGATAAGGTATTTCGAGAGAGATGGGGGGGGTGGGTTTGCCCGGGTAGCTGAGCAGAGGCAGTACTGGGCTGCTTGGAGCGACCGCGAACGCGAGGCGGAAATTTGAGGTGAGGTTTCCTTAGCAAGCCACAGTGGCTGACGGAAGCATGCGCCACTAGGTCTCGACACCTCATAGTTCAGGCAAGAATCATTACCCGCTAGCCTGGGTTCGAAGCGGGTAGCCTGGTGCTTAGCACAAGGGCTAACTGGGCTTCCCCAGCCATTGCATCCCGAGGTCGATGATACTCCAACTTTATCTCCTCACTCTTGCATGTTGGGAGTAGTTCGCGACAAAACCTATCCAGAGGCAAGGGCCCTTGCAGAGTCTCAGTCTCCCCTGCATCCCCAGCCTCTCTGTCTTTGCCCTGACATGAAGCGACGTTTCATCGACTTCTGTGGTCGGACCTAGGCTTTCTCCAAGCTTTGGCCCTCCCGTGGTGATTGGGCTTGTTCTCCAACTCCCGGGGTCGCCCAGAGTTTCCCCGAAGATCATTTTGCAAGTTTTGCACGTATTCTCCATCATTATTCGCTCTCTTCCATTCGTGAATGTCCTGCGAGGGCTTTGACACCCGGCGAGAGCTTTCTTTTCCGACAATTCTTTGCGTCCCCTTTCCCCGCCTCTGCAATAATGGCGTCACCCGTGGGCTGAGCTCGACCCAGCTCGCGCGTCGGTGAGTGGCCGATAGCGGTGGTTTGGTGTGTAGATCACCCCCAATATTGATCACGCCCGCGATGGGAAATCCTCCGTTGCTGCGAGTGCACTTATAAGATCGTTTGCCCTCGCAGCTTTTCCTCCACATCCTCCAGCTCGTCAATTTTTCATTCACCCAACCCACCATGCGGTTCTTCGGGAAGAAGCATGCAGCTGACAGCGGCGCTGTGACTGAACCTAAAAACGATACGCACAATGATTCTATGCCGAATGATCTTGCGCCAGCCAAAAAAATCTCGGACCCGGAGAAAGAACTAGCTGGCTATGCGAACGAATCCCATACTGCCCTACCCCAGATGCACTCCCCACGCGTTACTATTGACCCCGAGCTTGAGGCTCGGGTAGTGCGGAAACTGGATTTGCGGGTTCCGACTCTTCTGGGCTTCTTGTGTAAGGCTTCATACTATGGTGGCAGCACATTTAGTTTTATGAACCCTTCTAATCAATGTGTTTCTTTTAGATCTTCTTGCTCTCCTGGACCGAAGTAATATCGGGTTAGTCACCCCTTCTTTTCATTTCCCTCGAATTAGACGTTAATTCCCTACAGAAATGCGAAAATTGCTGGAATGGAAGAGGACTTGAACATCCACGGAAACATGTATCCATGGCTCCTGACGATATTCTATATAGCTTACGTATTGTTCGAGCCTCTTGCGTTAATGTGGAAGCTTATGCCACCGCATCGATGGGCTGCGATCACTGCTTTGACTTGGTGAGTCAGAGACAACACGACTTCGAGGTGTTTCTTCAAGCCCTTCTGACTGTTAACCAGGGGCATTGCCGCAACGTGCCAGGCGGCTGCACAGAATTGGGCTGGATTAATGGCCCTGCGCTTCATCATTGGTGCAGCAGAAGCAGCTTTTGGGCCGGGGTCCCCCTACCTGCTATCCTTCTTTTATGGCCGTCGGGAGTTAGGGTTACGCTGTGGCCTTTTTGTAAGCGCAGCACCATTGAGTAACACATTTGCTGGAGCCTTAGCCTACGGTATCACGTCAGGTCACTCCAAGTTGGCCAACTGGAGGCTATTATTTTTAGTTGAAGGAGCCCCGTCACTTTTGGCTGCTGGCCTGGCCTATTTTTACCTCCCAGACCACCCTTCTTCTGCGCGGTTTCTAAATGAGGAGGAGAAGGATGTTGCGAGGGCTCGAAGCCTTCGTCGCAGTGGTGAGGCTGAGCGCGTGAGTGGAGTTAACTTGAAAGAGCTCGCAAAGACACTGTTAGACGTGAAACCCTGGATTACGGCGGTATGTGACCATTATGTTCGTTAGCACAGGATATGGCTTAACTAACGCCACCTCTCTCCAGCTCATGTACTTCAGCTGCAACGTGAGCTTCTCCTCGCTCCCTGTATTCCTCCCGACAATCCTGAAGGATATGGGATTCGAAGCAGTCGATGCTCAGGGCCTTACGGCCCCGCCGTTCTTCATTTCATTCCTCTTCAGTATCCTGACTACATGGCTCTCTGACCGACTTCAACAACGGGGCCTGACAATTGTCCTCTTTTCTTTGGTGGCTACAGTCGGATACGCTCTGCTTGCAGGTTGCACATCCGTCGGTGTCCGCTACTTTGGCGTGTTCCTAGCAGCCGCAGGAGTTTTCCCATGCATCGCAAATATTCTGCCTTGGGTTCTTAGTATGTTGCTCCCGCTATCGTCTCGAAAACTTACTAACCCGCAATTTTTAGATAACCAAGGCTCTGACAGCCGACGTGGAATGGGAATCGTCATTCTCAATTTAATTGGGCAATGTGGGCCTTTTCTAGGAACAAATATCTTCCCCGATAGTGATGGGCCGCGCTATATTCGTGGTCAGTCCGTGTGCGCCGCATTTATGTTTTTCAACGCCATTCTCGCCTTGTCTTTGCGGTTCCTCCTAGTTTGGGAGAACAAACGTTTGGACAGGCAGCATGGCCCCCAAAACGGATCTGCGGTGAACGATAAGGGACATGCTGTGGGAGAGGAAAATTATGGTGCCAGTTTTAGATATGTGCTGTAGCCATGTTGGGCCATCCAAGACGCGAAATATAGAAAATAAGTTAGTTGATGAGTCTAAATTTATGACTAATGAATCTGCTGTCTTAGCATCCGGCCTAGCGATTACGTATTTTGTAGATGAACTTACTTTCAAGCTGTTTGATTGCAAAAATTAGTTCCAACCTACCAAGAGCACATACACGTTGATGTGTCCCTGATCTAAACCAGGGAACTCCCCAAATTGGTTCAGCAACAACCGCACTCTCAACTCCCAAAGGGTCGCCCACCCCACCTTTAAGTTTTCGACCGCCAGCCATTCTACACAGAGAACCAAGGCGCCGAAGCATCTATGCCCTAAAAAGCAAATATTGGAGACCATATTCGCCAGATTCTACAGAATTAAGAGAACCAAGTGACGCCATCCACCCAGAATGGCCCAATCTGGAGACAACACCCACCTCTATGGCATTGTGGACATGGGGAGGTATGTCAATAACTTCTAGTCAACATCACACGATCCGAATCCTTGATTAGACAGAGCTAGAACTAATAATTGCAGCAACGGCATCCGATTCTCCATCACTGACACTTCCCCACCAACCGCCCGAATTATGCCAACCGTCTACCAAGACAGGGCTGGGATCTCTCTATACGATGCGCAATTCTCCGGCGGCCCCGGCACCAGGCTTCCAATCCCAGCTGAGATCGTCGAGGAAGTAGTGGAGCGACTTGTCCGATTCCAGGGAATCTGCGAGGACTTCCAAGTTCCGCGGGGTAATGTCTACGTTCTTGCCACCGAAGCAACACGTACAGCACCGAATTCCGAGGCTTTCAGGGCTCGGATCAAAGAGCAGACTGGATGGGAAGTGCGTCTTCTATCGAAAGAGGACGAGGGGCGGATTGGTGCTTTGGGGATTGCGAGTAGCTCGCGCGTTGTTGCTGGGCTTGCGATGGATTTGGGCGGTGGAAGTACGCAGATTACGTGGGTGATTGCTAAGGATGGAGCTGTGACTACTTGTCCCAAAGGGTCTTTTAGTTTTCCGTACGGGGCTGCGGCGTTGAGTGCAAGGTTAGAGCAGGCTAAGGCTGCTGGGAAGAAGGCTGAGAAGGCATTGACGGAGGAGATGAAGGAGAATTTCCGGAAGGCTTATGAGGAGCTTGAGATCCCGCAGTCTCTGATAGAGAATAGCAAGGCGGAGGGGAAGTTTGATCTCTATCTTTGCGGCGGGGGGTTTAGAGGTTGGGGGTATGTGTTGATGAAGCAGGCTGAGGTTAGCCCGTACCCGATTCCGATCATCAACGGGTTTCGGGCCAAGAGGGAGGATTTCCACAACACTGCAGCCGTTTTACATGAAGTATCGGGTTCGCAAAAGATATTTGGGGTGTCGAAACGCCGTGCATTGCAGGTTCCGGCCGTTGCTGCGTTGATAGACGTGCTCATGGATGCCTTGCCAGCGATTACGCATATCCAGTTCTGTCAGGGAGGTGTCCGTGAAGGCTTCCTGTTTGACAAACTCCCACAGGAAGTTCGCGCCCAAGATCCCCTCCTTGCTTCGACTATACAGTATGCACCTCCGTCCGCGGATGACAGCAAGAGGCTGCTTCTGTCCGCGTTGCCGGAGAACGCATCTCCGATTGAGTCCTTCTACCCACCTTCGTCTTTATCCCCACAATTTCTTGCTGCTATTTGCAACATTCTATTTGCTCATTCTCGGGTGCCTAGAGAGTCTCGTACTGCAGCCGCTTTACACAGTACAACTACAGGTTTACTAGCCTCCACCAACAGCATATCCCACGCCGAGCGTGCAATGATGGCGCTCATACTCGCCGAGCGTTGGGCAGGGGACCTGGCACCAACAGAAGAGGCGTACCAAAAGAACCTGATGCACTGTATCTCCGCACAAGAAGCATGGTGGTGTCAATATCTCGGCCGGGTTGCAGGTTTAATTGGAGAGGTATATCCAGCAGGCCGCGTGTCAGACACACATTGGAGGGTACGGCTGGAGACCGAGTGGGATCATGTCATCAAAAAGAAAGAGAAACGCGATTTGCTGCGACTCAAAGTCCAATGGAATCGAGACACAGGGACGATATCGGGAATCACAGAGAACTGGCTGCGGGATCGGGTGGAGAAGGTCGAGAAAGCTGGGAAGAAAAAGAGCTGGGTCCGGGCGTATGGGGTCCGGTTGGACGTGGTCGTGTGTTAGACAACCTAGACTTAGCAATCCATACAAAGTTCTTGGAGAGAGCCACAGTGACTTCATCTGTTGACTCACCGGGAAGCGTTCCGGGCGGTTTCGGAGAGAAGATCAACCAGGCTGTCAGTTGTAGGTAATGGTAATGTCAGGTGAAGGTCACTATTTAAACTACCCCTCCTACCCCGCCATACCATTTCTTTTTTCTTTCCCTTCTACAATCACAATCCATCAGTCAATCTCATCGATTTATCCATCTCGAACAAGTCCTCCTCTCTCGGATGGGGTTGGCAATTATGGAATTGGCTAACAATTTGTACAGGGAATAACTTCCACCGTACAATGTAAACAACCACACCCGTTGACCCTCCCGGGTCGTCAACGCGGAAGTCATGAAATGCCTTTGGCTGGGCATTTAATCAAACGATCAAGGTATCTCAGGTAAATTCTGTGCGTGGGCCGGTGTTCGTTCCTATCCTTAGCATAACCCTTCTATTCTCGGTGATGCTGGTTTCGCTCCAGCCGAGGAAGAGGACTGCGAAAGGATGGGTTCGTTCTGAGATTATACGGTCAAAACTTGATCTGGATAATACCAGCGAAAGGATCATGCCTTCCCTTAGCTTTTCCCCCAGTTAATGGAATGGCTAACAGTTTATAGTCTCGCACTTGAATCAAAATGTCTCCCCCAGCTGCTATCTTCGAGCCTGCTGTCGCTCCTACCGGCATCAAGGGCAAGGTTGTGGTCCCTGAGACTACCACTGCCGATGGCGTCTCCCAGACCAAGCTGCTTGACCACTTTGGCGGCAAATGGGACAACTTCAAGTTTGCTCCCATCCGCGAGAGCCAGGTCTCCCGCGCCATGACCCGCCGCTACTTCCAGGACCTGGACCGATATGCCGAGAGCGATGTCGTTATCGTCGGCGCTGGTTCATGTGGTCTCAGTACTGCGTACGTCTTGGCCAAGGCTCGCCCTGACTTGAAGATTGCTATCATTGAGGCATCTGTCTCTCCAGGTTAGTTAGTCCGAGTGCCCTCAGCGGCAGTATATCATACTAATACGGTTTAGGTGGTGGTGCTTGGTTGGGTGGCCAGCTCTTCTCCGCGATGGTCATGCGTCGCCCTGCAGAGCTCTTCCTGAACGAGTTGGGTGTGCCCTATGAAGAAGACCCCGAAATGCCCAACTATGTCGTCGTCAAGCACGCATCTCTCTTCACGTCGACCTTGCTCTCCAAGGTTCTTCAGTTCCCCAACGTCAAGCTCTTCAACGCCACCTGTGTCGAGGACCTGGTGACCCGCCCCGCCCCTAGCGGAAGCGCACAGGAAGTCCAAATCGCTGGTGTCGTCACCAACTGGACCCTCGTCACCCTCCACCACGATGACCACTCGTGCATGGACCCCAACACCATCAACGCTCCCGTTATCATCAGTACCACTGGCCACGACGGTCCCTTCGGTGCCTTCTCGGCCAAGCGACTCGTCTCCATGAGTACCATCGACAAGCTCGGTGGCATGCGCGGCTTGGATATGAACACTGCCGAGGACGCGATCGTCAAGAACACCCGTGAGGTGGCTAAGGGCCTCATCATTGGCGGAATGGAGCTGTCTGAGATTGATGGCTTCAACCGCATGGGCCCTACCTTCGGTGCCATGGTTCTCAGCGGTGTCAAGGCTGCTGAGGAAGCACTTCGGGTCTTCGATGAGCGCAAGGCCCAGTGTGCTGAGTAGACTATTAGTTGGTCTTCTCAACGACAGTCCCAGTCGCTCTTTCTCTGCCGGGGCTGAGGATTAGTTATGCAACTTGTGTTTGTTCGCAACTGAAATTGAATATGAAATGATTTCCCTACTATTATTTGTTTGTAGATTTTATTACGTCGTAAAAAATTCTTACATTCATTTTACTGTGAAGGAAAGTTGAAGCAAAGCATAGTTGGACCTAAACTTATACCGGTTGAACTATATAAAGACGTCGCGACGTATTACCTTATAAATATTCCGTAGGCAAATTAAAGAATATTTGGTCAGTTTCTAGCCCCAGTAGTATCAAAGTTATAGTATATATTACATATAATCCACATTAAACTCGGCTTTCCAAAAATTTATCTTGGAGTTGATTTAAAGACTTGTAACAAGTTGTTGGCAGGCCCGCGGGAATGACCGTTGACGTCGCCCGCCGCTTTTAGCTCTCCGCAATTTTGCCCGATCGCGCGACAGCTTCAATCTTGAATCCGAACAACGACCCTTCTATCCCACCACAAAACCACGTCAAATTCCTCGTTCCTCAACATGTACAATTGAACCACCAACCCAGGAAATTCTTTTTAAACTAAAGACGCCAATACACCCCCTAGACTCTTTAAGCCCGCCCGCGCAAATTCCTATTCCTAGGTGCCTCTCTCACCATGAACAACGACCAATTCCGCCGTCTCCTCTTCGTCAACGATCAAGCCTCGAAGCCCAAGGGCGCTAGCCCGACGGGCCACTCTCCAACAGGCGATCATGCCTCACCGAAGCGTGGTAGTAGCGGTGGGCAAACGCCAGCCCAGGCGACACTAGGTTCAAGGATGCGATCGAGTATTCCCATGACGCCGTATGTTTCCCCTCCCTCCCTCCTTTCTTCTCTTGTCTTCTCTTCTATATATCGTGATTGAATTATACTTTAATGAGAAGCTAACGAGTTCTTATCCTGTCTATACAGCCGCAACCTAACGGCGCCTAATTTCGCACACCAACTGGCCGAGTATCGCCGCGATGGACAGAACCCGCATCCATCGAAGAAATTCAAATCTTCTGCTGCACCGAAGGGGACGAAGTTACCTGCGGGTTACGAGGATCGGGCTGCAGCGCGTTTACGGCAGAGCGAGGAGGAAGAACGCAAGAGCGCGAACGAACAAAAGTTGAAGGAGCTGGAGGAGAAGTTCAAGAAGGGTCTTATTGATGAAGGGACGCTTGCGAGGCTACGCAAGGAGTTGGGTTTTGGAGGGGATTTGGGGAGCACGCATATGGTGAAAGGGCTAGATTGGGATCTGTTGAAGAAGGTTAGGGCTGGGGAGGATATTGAGAAGGTGGAAAAGGAAGAGACTGAAGTGCAAGGGGATAGGAAGTCGGCCGATGAGGGTGAGGGCAAGGGCGAGGATGAGGAAGTAGATGTGGACGAGGAGTTTGACAAGGTTCTGGAAGACAAGGCGGACGGGGCACTTCCTTCTGCGCCGAAGGAGAAGGAGAAGAAGAAAGGGAATATGGCTGCGCCGCCAGTTCCAAGCCAGAAAAAGACACGAAATGAGATATTAAGAGAGTTAAAGGCGAGTCGGGCAGCCGCTGCTTCTGCGGAGGAGAAGCCCCAAGAGCCAGCCTTGGGCGCCCGGTTCAAGAAGATTGGGGACTCCAAGGCCGAAAAGAAACGGTTTATCGAGCAGGATGAAAACGGCCGTCGCAGAGAGGTTCTCCTCATTACAGACGCAGAAGGCAAGACGAAGAAGAAAACGAGATGGTTGGACAAGCCTGGGACAACGGCACCTCCCACCGCTAGCGTTGCCGCCCCTGATAAGGAGGCAAAGCCACTCGGGATGGAAGTCCCAGCTGAAATTGCCGCTAGGAACAAGGCCGCGCAGAAGGAGGAAGAGGAAGAAGAAGACGACGACATTTTCGCGGGAGTGGGAGATGACTACAATCCTCTGGGCGACGCAGGGTCCGACGAGGATTCATCCGACTCAGAAGAAGATGGCGAAGTGGCAGCGAAGGCACCCCAGGAACCCAAGAAGGAGGCAACAGGTGAACCCACCAAACCACGGAACTACTTCGCCACGACCACCACGAAGGAAGAGGAGAGTGCGGAGAGTGACCGTGCAAACCCGCTAACCAGAGATCCTACTCTCCTTGCTGCCCTCAAAAGAGCCGCGTCTCTACGACAAGCGGGTGCCGCAGAGGATAACCCCGAGGAAGAGGGCGTCGACAAAGAAACGCTCCTCCGGCGCAGGAAGTTCATCGAGGAGGCGCAACGCCGAGGAGCACTCGATGCAATGGACATGGACATGGGATTCGGCGGCAGTCGTAATGACGATGACGAAGACGAGGAGGCTGTGCTCGTGGAGCCGCGTGGCGGCACGAAGAGGAAGCGCGGCCCCAAGAAGAAGAAGGGCGACAAGGATAGCGCGTCTGACGTGCTGCGTGTGATGGAGGGGCGGAAGAAGTCATGAACGATCTATTCTATCAACTGATACCATTTAAAATCTATGCGCATATTACATAGACAAGTTACAGAGTTGTCATTAGCTCCGGTTGCGGCCAAATTGTCCAGCGGCTTCTTTTGCATGTTAATGCAGGTTGCCATACAATCCAGGCTCATCTATGAAGCAACTTGCAGTCACCAAGCGCGGTACCGCAATTCATAGACCAGTGTCGAGTGTCCGTGACCAACCCTAAAGAATGCTACGACCACGCCCTTGACCTGTGGATACTGCCATATTAAGCAAAACGCTCTCTGGCTTCTATTGCTCTCCAGATGTCCGCAAAATCAAAGTCCAGGTTGGCATAGATACGTAAAGCTTCCAATGTTGGGATATATCATGCGAATGCAGATGTATAGTTGATTAATAACAATATTCATTTCTAGAAGTAAGCAACCCCCCATCCAGCCCTAATTCATTCTTCGAGGTAAATGCCCTGTACTACACACCACTTGTTTCACTTGCAACCCGGGCAAGCCGTCTATAAAAGGCTGCTCGAGGCACCCCAGAGTTCCTCATTTCCTCCTCTTTTCATTTTCTTTATTCCAGGGCTTGGCCTTCCCTGGTATTGCTCTATGCTATTCCACCAAGGGAGTGTTTTTTCGAGAGCTTCGTGGTAGAGTACGCTACCAAGGCCGACAGGAACATGATCGGATGTACAGCACAACCATCCAGTGGCTCGAGTCACGGATGGCGGACAGCGATGACGACGCTCCAGAGCGCCTTACTGCCTTCCCTCATCCGCCCAACTATGGCTGACGTGTGTCGACGCAAAAGCACTGGTGCCAAGTCAAATGAATATGCCCATGGTGGTATTAGTGGTGACTATATAGTCATATTCGACAAATGTTCCTCCTGGATAGAATCGAGGCTAGTAAGAATATCCACGCCACTCCCTCGAAACACTTACTCGGGCGATTCTAGGCAACTCTCCAGATCGGAACACGCCTACAGCTGAGCATGTACCCGATGAATGTCACTGAATTTGTTAACTCCAAACACAAATTCAGAACCAACAGGACATGGTTGATGACCTACGGGGTCAGCTTACTCGGCAGATAGCGTTGAACAACCAGCTCTGTCTAGCGATGGACGTCCTGGCAGGATCCCTACAAATCACCCCGCTATAGTAGCATTGATTGCTAAACGGAGATTGCTTATTCACTGTCCTACCGTTCTTTGTTCTGATGCTTTACTGTTTCTAACACGATCCAAGTCCTTCATAAGGAATGTTCTGGTGGACACTGAAAATGTTGAGAAGAGAGAATCATTCCCATTTCTTCCCTACTTATTGTAGCTAGTTCCTCTATCCATTTACCATTATCATCGCTTCTAGTTATGGGTTTGAACTAATTGAGATATCGGCTGCTTATCCATTGTCCATGAAGTTCTACCTGTTTACTAGAACTCTTCAACCATCCGCTACGAAGCAAGCATCATTACTGAAGGTCTTACTCTATCAATATTTATGGAAAAACCATTCTTGAAGTCTTTCTTTAATTTGTCCTCTTTTTTATCCAAAGTCGTAGGTTTATACCATCGGAAATTCCCCTGGCTACACACCAAGGTTCGCCGGTGAACCATCTCTTCGTGATAAAACTTTGGCGGACGCAATGGAATCCCGTCTAACACGAAAACGAGCCAGCCCACTGACAACATTCTTCTCCGAGCTGAGAAGAGTCCGGGCACGGCAGATGACAAACATAAAGCAACTCTACAGGAGTGTGGCATTGGAATCCATAATATCGCAACCAAAAGTATCTTGTAGGCAGCTCATGACATGCATGGAAATAGGATGGTGTACCTAAATGACAGAGTCCCACATTTGACCAGGGCCACACGAGGAACGTGACTAGTCTGGTCGGATAAGCAGGGATATCAATGACCTAGCTTGACTCGTATAGCTTAGTTATACCGGGAACACCATCGTTCTGCTTGCCCAGCCCAAATGGCAGCTTTGAGCTCTTGCCACTATCATATTTTGTCTGTAGCGTCTCCACCACGATCGACAGCAGCAAGAGAAGGTAACTGTCGGGTAAAAACGGTGTGCTCTTCAGCCGTGGGCTTCCATCGGGGCTCTCTACCTGCCCAACCACATCGAGACGATGTTATGCACCCAATCAAAAAGGATAGTCGTAGTATATCGATGGTAGAACGCCACTGCAACAGAATTTCGATGGCCAATAGATGTGTTGATGATGACCCAGAAGGCTTTGCAGGCCTCAGGCCTGATAGAAATAGCAACCAAATTGGGTAACCACCTCACCCATCGTTCCTTCTTCAACTGTGCCGTCGACTGGGTAGCGCCTTCCCAGTATGGTGAATGACGACACGCTTGGATTGTTACTGCAGGGAAAGAGCGGTGGGTTGGGCAGTTTCCTCGCCTCGAAAATCAGCCCTTGCCTCTTCATCATCAACCCCCGTCTCCGGGGCCTCTATCATCATGCCCTATACAGTTTAGTAGCTAATACCACCACTTAACAATCCTTCTAGAGCCCTCCGAGCGCTCATGCCGCTTGGATTCTGAGTCGCACAGCATAACTCCGTAAGGGCCACCTGTTCGTCCATGCCAAACCTTACTTTTGGGCAGCCAGCATCAACCAAACTCAATGCCGAGAGTTCAACAGCCCATGGGCCATGGACTGCCTAGCCTGGGAGACGGCGACGTGGACCGACTCCGACCCTGGTTAGGGAGGCGGCCTCGTGCCAGCAACTTCCATCAGTTGGTGAGCCACATTCTCGGGAGTTGAAGTGACCAGTGGCCCCAGCTGGCCCCAGTCACACAGAGTGCCAGTGGGTATCTGCAAGGCAGTCGACTCGCCGAGCCATGGCCAGAACTCCACGACGACCGACAGGCCGGATTCTGGCTCGCGCCTGCAGAGTTTGACTGACCGTCGGACCAGTCAAATAGGCAGAAATCACTCAGCGGGCCGGGGGATGAACCCTGACGCTGCTCCAGTCAAGTCCAGAGTATAGCCGACACTCGGGGAGTTCATGGGTGGAGTGGAACCCAATCGGGGTGTTCCTAGGAAGACTGACAGCCAGTTCCTTACATTGGTGTGTGGTGCCCAGCGCGTAGAGACCTCCCAAGAACTCACCGGAAAGCCCAAGAACCGCTCAAGCCGGCACAGAACCCACGCATTGATCGCAGTGATGGACGAAGATGGAAGCGCTGACCACGTCATGCTGCAGGAACAAGCAAGAAGATGCGCTGATGGCTGATTTTAGTGTGTTTCAGGCGGCGGTTAATGGGCCGCCTGCGGTCTCGACCAGTCGTAGCAGCACAACAAAGACAGCCGCTGGCCACAACCCGCTGTGGCTGAGGATATGAATATAATTGACGGGCATTTATTGAATAAAGACAATAAACGAAGGACCGACGGGAATTGGAATATTGATGGACGGGTTGTGGGAGAGCCCAGGGTTGTGTGAGAGGGACCAGGGGTGGATCGGCAGAGTTCTGGCCATGAGCCAGTGGAGTTCGGCACAACAATTGTAAGATCGCTTTTCAACAGTGCAACGCTTGGCCTCTTAGCGCCCCCTTTGCACTGAACAGTCGTTGACATTGTATGCGTGCCAGAGCAGACAGCCCGTTTCAGAATTAAATGTAGAACCATGAACATGGGCGACTGTTGACAACAGCTTGCCCCCCCTTCAATGGAGGCAATGAACGCCCTGCAACCCCGTCCCCTTTGTTGTCCCCATTATGTGACACCGCTGTTCCTGTGGAACAAGGAATCGATCCATCGGATAATCGCCTCGTCAGCATCGCTTCTCCAGTCTCCACTCACTGACGTCCACGGCTCTGGCGCATCGCCGTACCCAGGCGCTGTTGCCCTGTGGCACCAACCAGAAAAAAGAAAGTAAAGAGCAAATAATAGAATGTTCCTGAGTGAAAAGAGGAAACACAATTGTCTGATTGATCAGATTGCGTTTCACCTCCCCTTGGTGGTGGGGAGTGGGCCCCTTCTGTACTACACTTTTATACCTCCTCCAACCCCCCGACCATCCTCCCTGCTTCTCTCCTTCAAGCATCTTCAGCCCATCTTCAGCCACTCTCTCCTTCTCGCCTTTTGGCCCGAGTCTTCATCCTGTGCCGTGCACGGATAGTCATTCCTTTCTTCTTTCTCTGAAAGGCATTATCACATTCTTTTTCTAGTCCTCGAGACTCAAGAGAACCGGTTTCTCACCAATCCTTTTCTACCAAAAGAACATCCAAAGACACCCAAAGAACATCCAAGATGGTCTCCTTCAAGTACCTTGCTACCGCTCTCATGGCCACTGCCGCCATTGCCGCCCCTCACGGCCACCGTCACTCCCACTCCGCAGTCACCAAGCGCCAGTCCTCCACTAAGCGCGGTGCTGCCTACAACGACGCTTCCACCGTCCAGTCCCTTGCCAACAGCGGCTCCGTATCCTGGGCCTACGACTGGAACATGTACACCATGGGTGACCTTCCCTCCGACGTTGAGTTCGTCCCCATGCTCTGGGGTAGCAAGATGTTCACTGGTTGGTTCGCCGCCATCCAGACCCTCCTCAACAGCGGCAACAGCTATATCCTCGGCTTCAACGAGCCTGACATGGAATCCCAAGCCGCTATGTCGTCCTCCGATGCCGCCAACTACTACCGCGAGTACATCTCCCCGCTCAGCGGCCAGGCCAAGCTCGTCTCGCCCGCTGTTACCAACGGCGTTGGTGCTGACAAGGGCCTCGACTGGATGCGCAACTTCCTCAACTCCTGCACGGATTGCAATGTCAATGCCCTGGCGGTGCACTGGTACGGCGAATCTGCCGACGATTTCAAGACCTTCGTCCAACAGGCTACGGACCTTGCCGATGAGTTCGGCCTGGCTGAGACTTGGGTTACCGAGTTTGCTCTCAACTCCGATATGTCTGGCTCTGGTGGCAGCGACCAGTCGACCGAGTTCTTGAGCGATGTCCTCCCCTGGTTGGACCAGCAGGAGAAGGTTGCTCGCTACGCCTACTACATGTGTGCCGACGGTTACTTGCTTAGTGGAAGTGATCTGAGCATCAGCGGCAAGGCTTACACTTCTTCATGATCGACTCACGTCAACTTCATTTCACTTTCTGCCTTTCACTTCTCTTCACTTCATTTCACTTCATTTCTTCCCTTCTCTTTTACTATTCTTCAACAACATTTTTTTTACCAATTTTTGTCCATTTTCTTTACCCATCTTTCAAAGTACCATGGGTCCGTGGTTCGTTACCGGTGTTAGGTAGCGAAAAGCAGAAAGCCAAAGAAAAAAAACAGCAATTGAATCAAAAAAAATATAAAAAAGTGGATCAAACTCCATCCATTCCATTCCATTCCATTCCAATTCTAATTATCTAGACCAGTCCAGCCGTCTGCGACAAAAGGGACAAGACGCTAAACAATAGCGCAACGCAGTTGAGTGTAGAGTCGTTGGAGACGAGAACAGGCCGTTAGATTATAGGGAGGGGTCAAAATGTAGCAAATGTACCTGAAAACCGGCCGTCGAACCACGGGCCGGCAGATTAACAATAACTACTTGGGGCAGGTTGTCCTGTCAATCGTTCAATCGGTGAAGACAGCGAAGAAATAATCGTCTTGTCCATGGTTCACATTGTTATATTATATGGAGATTGGCTGGAGGGGAACAATGAGAACCGTGGTTCAGTGTGCGCGCGTGACTTGTTTCTATGGATAGGTACACTGCTAGTGCGCTGTAACGTCTGGGCAGTGGGCAATAATGGACATCGAAGTATTTGGGCGGCCTTCGTTAAATTCATGTCTGATTATTTCTATTAAATAACGCGTTGAGGGTGGATAGGATAGACGGAGTGAGTACGTATTAGGGTTTAGGTGGGATCTCTCGCTTCGGGATCCAACTCGGTAGCCTCGCCCATTTCCGTATCCCCATCCTGGCCCTCACCCCCCTGGCGATCTTGGTCTTTGTCTTGGTCGCGGTCTGGACCTTCCCGCGCCTCAGACTCAGGTTCAGGTTCAGGTTCAGGGTCAGGGTCAGGCACGCCCGTCTCCTCTGGCTCGGGTCCAATGACCTCCTCCCAAACCCGAACTGTCATGTCCAACCCACAACTCACGAGATACCTCCCCTGACTCGTTGAGCAGGTGTCCACACCGAGAACGACACCCGAGTGGCCCTCAATCCGCTGGAGGACCTTCTTACTCACGACATCCCAGCAGAGCACAGCTCCGTCCTCGCTACCACTAACTGCGAATGCATACCCCGGTGTTCGCGGCGTCACTTGTCCGTAAACCCCAAAGCCACCGGAAAGACTGTACTTTCGGTTCTCGTGGCCCTGGTACGTCTTTAGACAGCGGCCCTCCACGTAGTCCCACAGTCTCACGCAATCGTCCAGCGTCCACGCGAGCACGTATTTTCCGTTCGGCGAGAATTTCACCGCCGATACAGGCGGGTTGTCTTCGTGTACCAGGGTTCGAAGGCACTGTCCTGTTGCTGTGTCCCAGATACGGACTAGGCCATCCGTTGCGCATGATGCGATGAGAGTGCCGTCCCAGACGACATCGATGCCGCTAACGGGGTCGGAATGGGCGGGGAGCGATTTCATGACGCGCGCGGACCGCACGTCCCAGAGGAAAACGGCTTCGTCGTAAGAACCGCTGACGAGCATGTTGCCTTTGGGGGAGAAGGCGATGGAGTAAACGTAGTTGTGGTGCCCGATGAAAGGTGTCCGGTGTGCTTTGCCCTAAAAACAACATTAGTTCGCTTTTCAAGACAGAGAGGAATGAAAGGCATACTGTTAGGACATTCCACAGCCGGATGGTCTTGTCGTCTGACCCCGAAGCAATGGTCGCACCGTCGGGGCTCCATGATATCGTTGATATACCCGCGAGATGCCCTTCAAAGGTATGTATCAGCTTCCCTGTATTCGCACCCCAGACCTTCACTGCGCCGTCCGCTCCTACGCCAAGTTAGCCAAGGACACCCCCAATGAAGAAATACGAACCTCCACTGGCAATCATGGACGCATCTGGCGAATATTTCACGGCCGATACCCCCCGTAAATGCCCTCTTAGTAGGAACCTCTGTCGGTAATTCACTGAGTCTGGTTTGGGCGGCGGCGGCGGCGGCACAGGCGTCGGCGAGCGATCTGAATATCCTCCTCCTATCTCGCCGTCATTCTCCCCCGCAGTCTGCATGTCATCAACTTCACCATTCATTTCTGTGTCATTGTCGTCATCACTTAGATTGTCGTTCGCATCATCATCATTTTCTTCGTCCGCCTCGTTCTCATCATCGGAGCGTGCCCAGGGTGAATCGCGCCCCCGATTACGAGAACGCCAGTACTCGTCCGCGTCCATAGCCAATTCATCAGGACTCTCGGAGCTGCTGAAACTGCGGGATCGAGGGTATGGCCGTTTTGGCGGGTATGCTGTAAGACTCACGCGACGGCGCTCCTGGTCATGGTCGGAGCCAGCTGCGAGTTCGTCGGAGGAAGTTTCAATGGGAGAGGAGATGGGAGGCGGGGAGGGGGTCAAGCGGCGGCGTTTGGAGGCGTGGGCCATTTCGGCTATCGCATTTCACAGTATCCCCTCTATCTCGAATGCGATTAGGCTTTGTTGTTTGTTTGCTTGCAATGTGAGTTCATGAATCTGGAGGGAAAGATTCCGCGATGGAGACCCACAATGGAAGGCGGTGAGCAGAAGTCAATTATCTCATAGATCATGAGAGCTTCATGGACCAGGCCATGCTCCTCCACCTCGTCCTCTTTTGCAAGATCATGTACATTTCGGAATGGCAAGCCCAGAGTCAATTCGAATCCTGACCCTCAACTGTTGGGGTCTCAAGTACCTCGCCAAATACCGCAATGAGCGTCTCTCCGAGATAGGTCGGCAGCTCGCCGTCTCCGACCCGCCCCCCGACATTGTCGGCCTCCAAGAATGCTGGACACAGCAAGACTACGAATCGATCCGCTCTCAAATCTCGCACGCCCTCCCCTATGGTAAATTTTACTTTGGCGGAATCTGGGGCGCTGGCCTGGCCATCTTCTCAAAATGGCCCATCGAACAATCCTCCATGTGCGAGTACCCGCTCAACGGCCGCCCAACAGCCTTCTTCCGCGGCGACTGGTTTGTCGGAAAGGGCGTGGCCTGTGCCCGTATACGGTTTGGACAGGGGAGTCATGATGTCGCTGAAGTGTTCTGTACGCATCTACATGCGCCCTATGAACAGGAGCCCCACGACAGCTACCTCGCACATCGAACAGCACAGGCGTGGGAAATAGCCAAGCTGATGCGCGGCGCTGCGGAACGGGGCCATTTGGTCATCGGATTAGGAGATTTCAACATGCTCCCGTCGTCCTTTGCGCATAGACTTATCCGTGCGCATAGTCCAGTTGTTGATGCATGGCAGGTGATATACCCGGACTCTTCAGTAGGAGCGGCGAAGGATGCAGTCGAAAAGGCCCGCGGGAAGCCTGTTCCAGCGGCAGAGTTCAACCTGCATCATAATGGGGCCACCTGTGACGGGCCATATAATACCTGGCGCTGGTCAAAGAAGGACCAGAAGCGCCTTGACAAGGGCCATGATATACCTGTCAACAAAGACGGCGAGGACATCTATGGAAAGCGGCTTGATTATATATTTGTTGGCGACGAGGTGGGATGGTCCGTTAAGGATGTCAGTATTGGAATGACAGAGCGACATCCCACACTACGATGCTCGCTTAGTGACCACTTCGCGGTCGAAGCTGTCGTTACTCGTGACTCTACGTCGATGGATAAAGAACGAGGTAAAGATCTTGAAAAGTCAACCCGTCTAGCTCTCCCCGCGGAGACGTACACGCATATTCTCGACATAGTCCATGCCTACATGCGTCGAGAGCGCACCCAGCGACGTTGGCGCCTAATCCATTTCATTGCTTCGGTGCTGGTCACTATAGGATGTCTTGTAGGTGTCTGGTGGAACGGCGATCGCCCATACATACCGTTTATTCTCATGCTTGTGAGCACGCTTAGTTTCGGCGCAGGTTTGTTGGATGGATTAATTGGAGGGCTGTTTGTCTCGAGTGAGTTGAGGGCTCTCAAGGAGTTCGAGTGGGAAATTCGCAACACGAAGCGTTTAATTGAACAGGGGGAATTTCAGTCCTAGCGACTGAAAAATCGCCTAAAAGTGTATAATACTTTCTTACTTATTATCTATATTCAGATTGAGTAAATACACAATAATTCTGTATATCTCCAACGGTGTCTTTAGAGTAGGTATATCCATAAACTACTGAAATCGTGAAATCAACTTTTGCACGCAAGAGAACCACTATACTACTCAGGAAATAAAAAGGAAGACTGAAAAGAATAGATACAGCGAATAAATACAGCAAGCTGAAATCGTCATAGTCTATTTTCAATAACCCCATTCCTCGTTCATGCCCATATCATTTCATTAGTCGCTCTCGGTCAATCATATCAGATAGTCTCCCACCCCCCGTTATTAACATCAGATTCTAGTCGACGACTAATAGTCGCGGGAACATTATGCGCTAGCCAGACGTCACGAATAAGTCTGTCGTATCGCTTCTGGTTCAGCATGAGCGGCCTACTTCGTCGGAGACCTGGGTCGACTTCGCCATGGCGATCAAGGTATGGGGCAAAGTGCCACGAGCCGCTGTGGTTGTGCAAATAGAGAACGGTACATTTGCGGATGTTGATGAACAGGCCAATATTTTTGCCGCATCTGTGGTGAGTGATCAGCTGGCAGGAACAGTAAGTAGAGTCAAGGGTGTTGCTTACTTTAGAACATGCTGGTTACATCCGCCCAAACCGGTGCTATCCATGCAGCAAACAGCCTGCGAGCAGAAAATGTCTCCACAGAACAGGCAGATGCTTGGATCGGTGAGTTCCTTTTTCGAGTTTGGACAGCGACGTCGGTTGGCTAACTCGATGAGACTATCGAAATATTTCGGTAGCCCAACCAGTTCGAAAATAGCCGGGTGCGAAAGGCTAGGCCACAATTTGTGGTCTGCAATGCGAACGCCGGCGCGAGAGGCATTCCAGTGGAAGATCCAGCCCGAGACCATAGCATCGAATGGATCGCCACTTGCACGAGCGGTTTTTATCGATGCAAATATATCATCAAGAGAACGCATGCGTAGAGTTTTGGTTAGGCGGTCTAGCTCCGACGCGTCCATATCACCGTAGCCGGTACTGGGGAACTCAACTCCGTGTTGCACATGGAGCAAAATGGCTACCTTTCGCAAGAAAGTTAGAGCATAGCTCGAGATAAGACGTCGCAGAGCTATTATAACTCCAGGAGTGGCAGAGCCCTCTCCCTCCTTGACATAGCCGAGTTCAGCAGGGAACGAAGAGCCCTTTGCTCGCCCCACGGAGTTACTCTTGAGTTCTGCAACAACTGTGTTGAAAAACTGTCGAGTAACTTCAAATCGTTCATCTGAAAGCTCCATCTCCAAGAGGTAGTGTGCGTCACCGTTCTCGGCCAATTCTTCCTTTAGTCCCATCGGCCAGAGTATGTACGTCGCGGCAACCTTCACGATCTCAGCCACATAACACATTTGCACCAAGTGACGGACATCAAAGTCAAGGACTGGTAGAAGGGCGACCGAGCATTCAGCCAGAAAAACGAATGTGTCCTTCGCAAATAGCGGTTCGATTTGGTGAACATCATTTAGAAGAGATAAACCTTCGAAGAACGGGTGACCAACAAACAGCTGACACAGCTTTTGGCGGTGCATTTCACGGAATTCATCCAATGACCGGCTGGTATGGCCTGTTTTGCTGTACAAACCACCGACTGATGCATATGTTAATGCCGTCTCTGCCAGGACCCGGAGGTGAGTCAAGGTCAATTGGGGGATCTTGTCTAGAAGCGTCGAGCCCGGCTCAGACTCCACGCCACGCTGTGCAATCTCAACCGCAGCGATACTGAATCCGAAGGTCTGGAACAAAGAATCTGTATGTACTATGTCATCGCTGCTGGCAGTATCAGGCGGGTGACTGAAGGTTGAATGGATCTGATTCAGACGGAGGGTTTGCTTCAATCGTGAGTAAATCTGAAGAAGTTCAGACATGGGGCTGTCACTCGAGGAAGTCGGGACCTGCTGCGGGGAACTGAGAGAAGCAGACTCTTCGGTCGGTGGGAACAAGCCGGGCATAGGTAACCTAGCTTGTGGGATGAAAAGGGAGGTCGATGGAAGCGAAGAAGACTGTAGCTGACCCACCCTACCAGCAAGCGGAGGTACGAGAGTCCTGGAAAGGTAGTTCCGGAAAAGCCCCTGGTATGCCTGCTGTTGTAGTTCGCCATTCTCGGCAATAAGCGCGTAGTTCAGTTTATGCTCATGTGAAAGAACAGACTTGACTTCATGATCCACGAACTCATTAAATGGCAGTTTTGTCTCCAAGGGACCCGGATACAGCTCTTCCTTGCCCTTCCAGGTAATGGGGAGGAAAGCGTTCCCCAGGGCCTTGCAGAGAGGGCAAACGAACTCTTTGTGAGTCAGGCGCTCCGGGTGGTTTCGGGCGATTTGCTGTGTATGGCGCCGTTGGGTTGCTGTGAAGTAGACTTCGAAACATGTATAGTGCATGATATGCCCACAGCCCGTTGTTACAGGGCCGCGCACAGTGTTCTTCGGATTGAAGCCTTTGCTCAGCCCAATCTTCTCGCCGGTAACCTCTCCTCCCGAAGAGTCTAGTCGTCGTACTGTAATATGGTTTTCACCAGCAACACCAAATGGGCGAATATCTTCAGCCGATCTGTCAAGACTTGGTGGTGTCTTGAGCACCTCTCTAATCAGGTCCGCATCTTGAATATCGGTCTGTCTCATAATGTTGCTATCCTGAATAAGCGCAAACGTGCCGTATAGTCTCGAGTCATTTGTTTCTTCCTGACAGAGAATGCAAGTGCCGCTGGGGTACTTCCAAAGCTTGGCCTCCGGGACGGCCTCAGGCTCTGACTCCATGTCACTCAAGTCGGCATCACCCCAATCAATTTTGCCTTCATGGTTACTGAGGAAATTCTGCTGTTGCTGCTGGAATTGAGCCATCACCTTGGCCTGGCGTTCAAGAGCTTGCTTCTTCTTCAACTCCTTTTCACCCTCCGCATCAATGGCGGGTGAGTTTGTGTCGATTCGGTCGAATGGGAACATCAATGAAGCAGTGGCATGGTTGTAGGCGCGGGGTCTCTTCTGCCAGAGGCGCTTCAGGATGTGTCGAATCTTCGGGCCACATGCAGAAAACTCGTTCATGCTGGATATCTTCTCCAGAAGACCAACAATGGTCAGGTTGCCCATTTGTGTAGCCCTGGCCTTGGTTAATGCGTGAGAAACGAATGAATCCACGGAATCTTCATCGAGATTCTCTTCATCGGTATGGTCCTCGAGGATAGCCGAAAGGACCAAATGGAGAACAACCTGGAGGAAAGTTTCGACACGCGTGGGGGGAATTGCGGGCGTTCGATCCTTGGAAGACATCACATAATCCAGACACTGGTGTACAATTTGAGCAAATAGAGGTGTCCGAGTAAAGTGAGCCAGATCGGAGAAGGCACCGGAGGTCAGAGGCCGCAGCTTAGGTTCAAAAACAATATCAGAAGCGGGCTTTCCTGTTTGCTTGGCCTGCCATTCCCTGTAAATGCTCTCGGCCTCATCTCTCTGGTTCTTGGTATAATGCGCACTGTATGGGTCTATTAAACTGATGAATTCTGGTTTGAGCTCGAATGTACCAGAATCGTTCAAACCCTCAGGAGGCCGGAATCGTGCAATATTCTCTAGGACGTCCTGGAAATCATCCGAGTCTCGCACCTGGTCGCTCAGACGGGTGGATAGGTCAGAGAATGAGAGCGGCTTAAAGCATAAAACGTGGGCGATTTCGCGGCTCATATTCTGGTGGATTGAAGAATCACTGTCCCCGTCGGTGGTGAGCGAGTGTCGATCGGTCAAAAGAACAATCAACAAAAGGACAAACTCCTCAACAACATCAATAATCTTTGTATCTTCGTGACCGGTACGCGGGATATAGTTCCTAGTCATCCAATCCACGACTCCGAATCTATCTGCGATGGAAGCAAGGACTCTGCTGGGGTTGCATGTCACCAATGACGCCTGAAGCAAGAAAATGTCACGATAATAGCCAAGTTCACGACAAGAGACTCCGCGGTACTGTGACATTTGGTGACGCAAGCTGAGGCCATTACGCACCCACATGCCAGCTTTCATCTGCGCCAGCCAGGCACATACCCTGAGGGGATAGTCAAACATTGCAAGCAGTAAGTCTTCCGGTCCAAGCTCATTGTCAAGAATAAACTTATCGTTGGCGACTTCGGCGGCGCTGAAGAGAACCTCACGCAATAACTCACGGCTCATGCCACGAGCGCAATCCAGCAACCATGAGACAGTATAATGGAGGGCATGGTGGAAACTCATTGCACCCTTCTCCACAACGAAGTCCACCACACGATGGCGGGAGAACTTATCCGGCTGATCAACCTCAAAGTCAAACGGCTGGAGCGTCTTGAAACGAATATATTCCTTGATTTCAGCTTGTTCAAACCTCTTGCGTTCGCATCCAACAGAGTGGACTATAGTAGAGATGGTAGCTAGTGTGATCGCCCGCAACAAATTATGACCCTGGTCAATTTCGGGATTTCTGAACGCTTCGCGGAATGCGATACACAACCGGTTGATTTCGCGCATCAGAATCGATGCGCTGATCCATGCATCATTCTCGTACTCCACGTGCTCTCCTACAGCACGGATATTGGGGCAGATCCCCTGTGAGAGCTTGATCAAATCGAGGAATTGCAAAAGGTACTGTTCCTCGGTTCGCACCCGACTCTGCACATATTCAGACTGTAATAGGTAATGTAGATCGCAGAAGAAATGATAGAGACGCCGGTTGTTCACGGACCCCGCATCAAAGGACAAGGTTGCGTTGGGATTGACTTCGTACGGTTCGCCCACTTGCCTAGTGGTCAGGAAAGTATATAAAATAGCCATGACCTTGGTCAAGAAGTTGCCACGCAGGACAATCTCTTCTGTAATCGACGGGGTGGTAAGAAGCTGCAAGGTCAGGTTGATGATCGAATGGTCCGGTTCTCGATCTGCGATCAGATACAGCTGAGCAAGCGCGCTGTAGAGAGAAGACAGACGTAAGCCCATAACTCGCTTGAACTGTGGCACGTTCACCACAGTACTGAGATAAAGATCGCGAAGGTCAGTACGGGCCTTTTTCCACAATCTCAGATCGAACAAAATCATCCAATCAAGTCGTGTGCGCTGCCACAGGTCTTCATAAAGAGGCACATTTCCACCCGTTACAGGAGCGGACGGACGAACTTGCCAGTGGCTCGGTGTCTTTGCAGAGGGAGGACGTCGTACGCGAGAGGGAGTCCTAGGAATCGGCGTATGATACGAGCTTCCCTGGGTATCAGTGTCCTCATGGGTAGCTTGGGGTTCGCTACGCGGCGGCCCGCCAGATTGAGGGCCTTGTGGCGGATGATTTTCTGGTGCGACTGGCTCTTGTTGTTGCTCTTCTTCCTGTTGCTCCTGCTGCTCCTGCTGTTCAGCCCGCCGTTGGGCGAATGGCGACGCGAATCCAAGGATAGCTTGGGCCATTTGTAAAGCGTCATCTGTACCGCCCATTACCATATCGGCATCATCATCAACAATGTCTTCGCGCAGCCGAGTGATCTCGAGTTCCATTTCATCGTCGCCGTCATCAGCGTCTTCCTGTGGCCCAACAAGGGACTCAATAAATTCCTCGTCTTCGTCGCCGTCACCATCACCATCACCATTGGCTTCGTCGTCTCCATTCTCAATGTCGTCCTCATCATCCTCATCCGGAGGAATTACCTCGCCTTGTGGCGTCACGCGTACCATAACAGTGCGAATTCTCTCTACTTCCACTCTGGCATGATCGTCAATTCCTTGTCGGCCAATGGCGGCGTTGAAGGCACCGCTGCCGCGCTTCCATGAACCCAAAAGCTCCTCACAGACTGTCTGGCGCAGAATGTTGTTGTCATCTGAGATACTACATCCAGCAATATCGGCCAACCACTCCACAATAGTTCCGCACATCTGCTCACGGAACGTATCACGCGCGGAGCGGATTGTGGTTGTGACTTTGATCTGCTCGATGATTTTCGAAACCGCCAGCATCCGCTTTAGGTCCTTTCCGTACTTCACGACGCTTCGTCCCATATCGTTTGTCTCGTGGGCTTTCTCCCTTCCGTATATCGCTTTTTCCCGACAGGCTCGACTAACTTGTTCGGAAACGTCTCGGATCGTGTGTTTCTCGTCGTTCCAAAGGGCGAGGGCGAACTCTGGCTCTTCTTCTACTTCATCCCCCTCACCATACCATCCAGCGTGAAGGCGAGATGCCTCCTCATCCTGTCTAATACCTTCCTCTGTCTTCGGCAAACGCAGCTGTTCCGGGGAGCATGAAATGACATCACAGAAGTAGTCAAGCGCACGGGAAACAGTCATCTTAATATTATTCACCCAGTCTTCCGGAAGCTGAGTTCCTGCCCGCCCCTTGCCCTTATCCTCCCCTGTATCCGTATGGATCGCACAAAACATAGGGGTCCGCCAAGCCTCTTCATCACCACAATCACAACAACCAGAATTCCCCGGCGACAAGTACACTTGGTATTGATGCGTGCTGTGGTCGGATGCCTCAAAGCATCGGCTGCAAAGACAACAAGTCTCGTCTATCCCGCAAGTGGTACATCGATATGTTGCTTCCCCAGTACGAAAGATATGTCCGCAGCGTTTACCCCGCGCAGCTTCTGTGTATTCCGCACCTTCCACGGCACCCTGGGCTTCTGCCAGCTTCCATGAGCCATTTGAGAGTCCGTTCGGAAATAGCTGTGCCAGTCGTTCTTTATTGTGTCCGGTTAAGGAGTGAAAGAGCAGCTCTAGCAGGGCTTTCTCCGCTGCGGGCCCATAGCGGTAGTTGTGTTCGACGGGAAGTCGTAAAAGCCCTTGACCAAGGAGCTTTTCACATTCCGTAAGCATTATTTATCACCCTAGTCCTGAGACCACGACGATCATAAGTTTACTGGAGGGAATAGAGGGGTTGTGGATAGGACGGGGTGGGAGACTGATGTGGCGGTCGAGCAGAATGTATATCCCGCCTCTCGGAGAGGGGTTTGGTCTAACGGAATCAATCGGCGTAGGGCGTTCAAGAAGCGGATATGTACGACGACAGTAATTTTTTAAAAAGACGAGCAGACGCCGAGAGTTATAAGGGGGAGGAGGAAAGTTCTGAAGATTGACTGTTTGATGCTTAGTTATCGTTCAGTAAATCGATGTCACAGTGGGGAAGGGGAGAGCTGAGGGAAACCAACCCACCACTAGCAATGAATGTGCGTGCGTACTGGGGTATTGAAGGGACCAGTTACAGAAATTTATGTCCACCCGTAAGGGATCCCAAGCTTAATGGGGGATGAGAAGAAAGGAAAAAAAAAATCAAGCATTGAGTTCTATGTTCTCTGCGCTTCTGGAGCGGGATGACATACCGTTCCTTTGCCAGAGCGGCCGGGCTTGGCGTTATCACACCACAGCAGAAGCTCCCCAAGGAACTCCGCGACGGGGGCAATAACGGCGTGCTCGGGTATTTGAATTGCTGAAGGTGTGACAGAAGCTTTACAGAAAGCATGTTCAATGTCAAGTTACAAAATTCGAAATTCTATTTGATACAGACACACTGAGCTATAGCACATCCATCCCCATGTAATCGGTGTATAAAAATCAGGCTTGACAATCCCCTGGATATCGTGGCATTTTCAATCGGTGTTCAACTTCTGGGGCCCATATTTACTCATCGTCATCCTCCTCCTCGGCAGCGCCGAGGTATTGGTGCTTGATGTCCTTCCATTGACGCTAGAGGTGAAGCAGAAATGTCAGCATTGGCCAGTCCGACAAGGGTGCATATATTGTCACGTACGCCGCGGTTCCAGGTATCCCACAGCCTGTTGGTGGAGGTGTCGAAAGCACTGTTTCGCGAAAATAGTTAGAACGTCGAAGGCGTAAAGGTTGCTTAGGATTATGACACGCACACTTCGAATGCGAAAGCACCGGCGAAGATGGAAGTCAGGTAGACAGCATTCCGGCGGATCAGAGTCCTATATGTCGTTGAAAACTCGACTGTTAGTAAAGCCAGCAAGACAGCGACCAACATCATCCGCCGAGGACGGGGAAAGGGGAGACATGCTGGTAGATAGAAGCAGCGAACTAGAACAGCGACCCTGCGGTTAGCCATTGAACCCGGATGTATGTAATTTCGTGAAAGAACTTACTGCGCCGGCCATTGTGACGGATACAAGCAGCGAGAGATAAAGAGAGAGGATGCGGGGACGCAAAGAGACTCAGATGCTCACGACGGAACGGGCGACGGGGAGGTTGTCGGATTTGAGGTTTGAACGAAAAGCAGCGGGAATCGCCGACTCGCTGATTGGCCAGTCGGGTCATAATGTTATGCATGCATAATTACATAATTTCGGTCATGAATGCGGCATTATTACACTACGTCTTTTGGTGGGATGACATCCCGGTGAATAATAACACTTTTGACTGCTGGAGTCAACTCCTGCTGGTCGGCCACAGACGACCGCGACCTTGGCCTATTTTTTGGACTATTCAGAACCGTTAGGATAGTCTGTCCGCCCGTTTACACCACGATCCCACGATCCCATTGAAACCCCACTCGACTTTTTTCCTTTCAAGCATCGCCGAATTCCCCCGATCCCTTACAGACGCTCCTTAAAACGAACAATGGCGTCGCCTAACACATCAAACTCTGTCACTAAGTCCGGAATCACAACCGACTCAGTCACCGGAGAACGCTACATCCCATCCTCGGTCAGAGCCGATGGTTCGAAGCGCAAGGAGATCAAGGTCCGGCCCGGGTACCGTCCCCCGGAGGATGTGGAATTGTACAAAAACAGAGCTGCAGAGGCCTGGAAGAATCGCGGGAAATCGGGTGTACCAGGAGCCGTGCCCGGAGCTGAGAGCTTGAAGGACAATGACGCTACAAAACCCGCCAGCGCTGCCAGCAACAAGAATGCCAAGCGACGAGAAGCGAAGAAGAAGGCGAAGGCTACGCAGGATGATACAGATACTCCGAATGGCAGGGATATTTCTCAGATCGAGAACTGGCGTGCGGCTCCATCTGGGGGTGATGCAAAACAACTAGATGGCTCGGAGGCCTCCGCAACTCCTGTCGACCCCGAAGTAGAGCAGGAGAAAAAGGCTCGCAATTTGAAGAAGAAGCTCAAGCAGGCTCGTGACCTAAAAGACAAGAAAAACAAGGGTGAGGCCTTGCTACCGGAACAGGTAGAGAAGGTGATCAAAATCCAGGAGCTGATTCGCCAACTCGATTCGCTTGGGTTTGATTCCAACGGAGAAAAGAAAGATGGTGAAGAGGAGAAACCAGAGAAGTAGGAATTTTCTTCGGCATTCGGCGACGTTTTCTACGCGGAACCATATTCATCCCACACCATGGCAACTTTCGTCTCATGGTCACGGCAAATCGCGAAGCCCGCAGTCGGCAGTTATATCGATGTCTGTGCGACCAACTATAACACGAGACTCAGCGGCTACCGCAGAGCAGCCACCATTGTCTACTCCAGCTTCATCTACGTGGCTCATATGTACTATGGTTTGAGCCAGTACCCCCCGAGATCACGAAGCACACCAGTTCCCCAGAGCTCTTGCCGACAGAGGCTCTATTTCACAAGAAGGATAATCTATGGCGTAAAATCAAATGAAAGCTGAGTTGACATAAGAGTGATGAAGACGACGGACTGGGGTATATTTGAGCTTGCTATCTTTCTAAACTACGTGCTCCAATAATAATGTTCTCTAATACAAATACTATCCTGAAGCATTAGGCCGTCGACTACAACGAACCAAAGCTCATTTTGTCACATTTTCCAAAGCGACCACACGATCGTGAGCAGTAATAATGCCGCCCTCCTGTTCCCAGTGCATTGGCGCAGGTACAGGGCGCGTTTCGTCAGGGTTAAAAGGCCTGACGCCGTATGCTGCAGCGAGATAAGCCTGACGGACGCTGTCCACTACGCCAGTGCCGCCCATTGTATACCAAGCCCCAGCAAGAGTGACGCGCTGGTCGAATTCATCCTTGATCGCACGTGAAAGGTACTTGATACGCTCGACATGTCCAACGGTGGGCTGTGGAATGGCCTCGCGCTGCAATCGAGAGCGGGCCACAGTAGGAGAGTTTGTAATGCCGAGGTGTCGTTCGAGCAAGGATTGAGCCATCGCAACCGCGGTGTCGTGGTCGGGGTAATCCGACTCCTTCCAGCCATCCCAATAATGGCCGCCCATCATGATCGTAAGTTTTGTGCCAGGAGCTGTATCCTGGCCCACGCTAGATTCCGACGCGAAGATCACGCCTAGCGCTCTCTCGGGGTTCTGAGCATAAGGTATCGTCTTGGGAATCAAGTATCCGAAGCCTCTGACAGGCAACAGATCGGGATCCGGGTAGTAAAGGTTGACGACCATAGTAGTCACTGCGTAGTTGTGCGCTTTCAGCGCATCGATTGTGCGAGTAGGTTTCTTTGCGTTCTTGTCTCGACCATTGTATTGGAGTTGTGTCGCAAGGCTAGGTGCTGAGTTGGTGGCAATGAGACGGTCATGCCAGTGTGATTTACCATCACAATCAACCTATAGATACAATCAGGCTGGATACACAGAAATGCTTGGTCCAGACAAGCTTCTATTTTGACATACCGTGAGCCTGGGGTTCTGGGGACTCTGGCGAATACTTGTCACGTTCGCATTTGTCAAAACTTGCACTTTATTGGATCGTTTCAGGGCCGTGACTAGAGTGTCTGCGAGTTGGCCAACACCATGTCTCAAAGTTAAGGTACTGCCGCTTCGCGCAAGATCTTCCAGGCTGCTTATGTATCCTAGCGGCTTTTTCTTGCCTATTATAAGCGCAGATATTGCGTCGTCTGTGGCGACAAACTTTCTGCCAGCCCTCATGTTTTCAATGGCCGCAACGAGCACACTCTTCCCCTTTTTCTCATGAAGCCGAATCGAACCAAAGAGCGCTTCCGCACTTAGTTTGTCGATATCGCCAGCCAATATACCATGGTACATGCTAGAAACCAGATTGTCCGCTACTTCCGGACTCCACCGGCGCGATATGAAATCTTTAACTGACTCGTCTTCAGGCATGTCTGTGAAAGGTTCTTTAAAGGGCTCGGCAATGAAGCTCCACAGCAAAGTCTCAAAGAGGGGTTCCCGCAATAGAGTTGACAATAGTGATGTAATCTGAGTTATTGGACTGGCACCTTTCTGAGGCGCTGGTACGCGAACAAGGTGATCGGGATAGTAGATATAGCGGTTTCGGGCTGCGGGCGCCGCCTTCGACGTAACGAGCATATCATCTTCTAAGTCTAAGTCGGCTAACTATGGGAATCATTCGACATCAGCGCTGTAATTGAATCGTTTAAAGAGTACCCCGCGGGAGGGGGGTGGCCATACCAAATCCAAGAGTGGAAGTGAGGAAGGGCTGAGTCGTAATGTGCGGGGGCCATACTCGAAGACAACCTGACCCCCATCGACGTTGATTGTTTCGGATTGGAGCCAGCCGCCCACACGGGGCGCCTTCTCGTAGAGCGTAATCTTGGAGCATAATGGGTCTTGAGAAAGTCGATACGCTGCTGTCAGACCGGTGATTCCACCACCTATGACCGCGGCGTCGAACATGCGAGCGCGATCATGCAACGAACGTCGTGGACCATTGCGGAAGAACAACGCCAATGGTGCTCCGGTGTCTTTTAATGCACGACGAGAGGCATATGGAAGACGCATCTCAGCAAAAATAACGAGCTCGAGTCATTGAGAGCTTTTCAAAAGTTGGCGGTTGGGTTAACGCAGTGAGATTCAGAGGTCACGCAACTCCGATTCTCCAGACTCCGCAGATGCTCCGAGATGATGTAATGTTACCGTTATTATACACTAAATTACAAAACTCCAGCTTCCAAATAGCCTACGGTGTATGCTGCGATAAAATGGGCCATAGCAATATACTACCCAAGCAGCAGCCCTGCTGTACCTAGGATAATTGGTCTCAGTTGTCTACGGAAAGACAGTGGTCGTAGTAGTATCATGCGACGAAGAGCAACGTCTTCGGCTCCACTTGAAATTTTGATCCAGACTCTATTTACAGGCATATCATCTCACTCAACCATTCCCAGTGATATCAGTTATTAAAAAAAGAAACTACTGCTAACGCCTAGCCCATCACCCGACCATCACCCTCGACTCGAAATATAGGAGCAGATAATACACGTTAAATGGCACGAAGAAGAACTGTTCGTGAAGTATCGAATTTTGAAACAAATCATGAGGTCGTGATCTCCTGTGAAGAGCCGTCCGCAGTAGATTCAGGCTTGATCAGCTCCTCGGGAGACCCCTCATCATTGACAAACTTCCGCTCGCTGACACGTGCTTTGCCCTGCGCGGAGTCTGCGGTCCAGACTTTATCGGAAAACGAACCTCGTTGACCTTCAGCGTGCTTGTAAGGACAAGTAGGATTGAGACAAGGGTTAAATTTGCAGGCAGTCTCGATGTGTGTGAATTTGCAGTCGGTGGCCGTGCAATTGGCACCGTTGCGGCAAAGCGGCATAGAGGGGTGTTTGAAGTGGCAGTGGGGGTTCGTGCAATTAGGGAAGAATCGACAAAGCTCTTCGGCCTGATGAGCCGATTTCACAGCTGGTGAGGGATGCCGTCCAGTACATTTCCGATTTTTGCATGCCGCACCATAGGAGCATGGGTCCGAAACGTCGATCGGAGTACCTTCGGGGGCTGCGGGGGATTGATGCGCAAAGGGGCAATCTTTCCGCGTACACCGAAGGTTGAAGTGACAAACATTGTCAGTGTTGTTTTCATCCTGGCCACCATTTTGCGTTTGCTGGTCGGGACTTGTGTCCATATCAGTGTCAATGTTTTTCGAGTCCGCTCGGTTTCCGAAGCCTCCTTGTTGACGGGGACCCCTAGGGCGTTCGACTCGGTCAGACAACGAGCGTTGGCCGCCAGTTTGCTGGAAGGCTGGGTTGATTGCTGGAGGGACAAAGCCTGGCATCAATTGCGACATCATCCTGGCTTGCTCTTCAAGGAGCGACATTAGGTGCATCTGGTCGTTCGGGTTCATGTTCATCAGATTACCCGCACCACCGGCCATTGGATTGTTGCTCATGCCCATGCCGCCCATTTGTCGTCCACCAAACGCTCGTCCGTTACCGTTCTGGTTGAAACGTCCTCCCCTCATCCCGCCACGACCGTGAGTGTTTATTCGGCCGCCGCCAGACTGGTCGCGAATGCGATGCAAACCAGAATCCCCGCGCTCCAGACTTCTGTTGATTTGGTTCAGCATCCTACCCCTTCCACCTCGGCTGCCTTGGCGACCGTCGCGCATGGATTTTGGTCCGGTCGGTCTGTTATAATATCCGTCAGTCCCAGGCGCATATACATGACACTCGAAAGGTGATACATACATTCCATCTCCCGTTACGTCGCCCATGTTCATATCAGAGGACTGAATGCCATTTTCAGGCCCTTGCGCCAGAGGGGTTGAGGTCTCTTGATCATTAAAGGAGGGAATTGCTTGAGGGTTCTCATTTGACGTCGTCGCGGTCTGGCCATTGATTTGTTGGTTGAGGGTCTCGACCTGCTCAAAGAGCCACCTTGAGAAGTCCAGCGCCTGTGTGTCTCCCTCGCCGAGTCCGAGAAGATCGTTGGAAAGTTCACTTGCAATTTGATCCTGGGTTTTGCCGTTGACGAGCATCAAGATGACATACTCCGTCAAGGCCAAATCACTGCTATCAGAGCTCCACCCCATCTCAACCAGTTTTGGCTGAATAGCATTGCTCAGAGCCTCCGCTAAAGGAGAGCCAACCGCAACAGTAGCCATGGTGATTTGCGCCGGCGCGGAGATCGGGGAAATGCAATAATAAGAGGCAAAAAAAAAGGTCTTGAGAAGATAGGGGGCAAAGTCCTGCGTTGCCTATGTGTTGAATTGCAGGAATAGGACCCGACAGCCGATATAAATGAGCAGATTCACAAAGAGCCTGCAAGGGTGGAAGGTGATAAAGAATTGTTGTCTGTCGTGTCAAAGCCCGAATTTGGGGATGATGAAAGATGCGCCAAGAATCCTCACCAGCTGCATTCGGCACGTGATCCAACCTCGGTGGCGTTAAAATGCTGGAATTTTAGGCTCCTGATTACTAAGGTATGCACTTGCACGCCTTTCATCCAATGTTTCCAATCCTCCCACCCATTCATTGTCCACTGGAGGCCCAAATCATGTTGTTGCAGTCTTTAATAAAGCGCTGTTTCTAAACCATGGCTTTGCCAAAATAATAATCTGGGAGGCTCCAAAATAACTTATGCTAAAAATATTTCCATTAGCTGTTTAAAACATCAGGAGAAGGGATATATATTCGTTGTTAATTACCCAGTTCTCAGCATGGTCATAAACCCTTTGAATTGAATTTAACCACAAAGCTTTCCGCTAACTATCCATTGTATTGGAGTGCATATGTTTCATCTAAATATGGCCGTCTTTAGGAAATAATTGGAAGATCATTTCTCGGTTCTATCGACATCATCGTGACTCGTTTCTATATATTAGAGAATACCAAGGCCTAGGGTCCGTAAACAACCTCCAGGGGCAGAGACAACAAGTTCACACCAACCAACTAATTGTATACACCTGTATACACTTGTATACACAAAAATTTGGGCAAAAGTCTGGTGCCTGTTATGTAGGTAATACCTATCACGGACGTATTCGGGAAGGTCCAGAACCTCCAGCCCCGTCATAGCTTTGTCGTCCGTAGATCGATTATCCGCCAGACTCTCATCACCTTTTGGTCTGAAAGGACAGTTAGACAGAGCTGCTATAACGAGGGCCACATAAGTCATTGTTGCATCCTAGAAAACACCGCCGAAAAGTTACACCGTAAGTCCGAAAGAGGTGCATCGACCAACATATTTGGCCTGCATTGCGAATTTATGGAGAGGCTGGTGAAATGTTTTCCATCTTAATTTATTCTTTTGCAATATATCTCTCCGGCATCCCCCGAAGAGGTCGTTTATCTAGCATTACAAGCACCCTCCGGTCGCCTATTCATATTCATATCGGTATTGTTTGTTATTGTTACCGCCAAGCAAAGGGACTCCCGAGCCAAGTTGTCACGCGAACTGCCCGATCGGAGTCGCTGGAGTCATCCGGTCCGCTGGTTGAGCTTCTGCTTAAGCTCCATCCAATAACCTCGTCTCTCGTCTTCACTGCCCCTGAATCCTTGAGATCCATCCATAACATCTTCATTCTTATCCAGTATCTTTATTGTCAATATTGTTAGACCGTGGTAGTCATTCCGATGAGGTCAGTGGCAGTCTCTCTGGGGCTGATCGGCGGCATTTCCGCCCTGGGGATTCCCCTCCCCGAGACTCTCGAACAACAGACCCTCGCCGGTGATGTACAGAAAGAGCTGGTGAGCTCCTCCGGGTTACAAGACCAAATCGACGTCAGCAACCTCCTCGATCGGGCCAAAAGTTTGTATAGCATCGCAGAGCGCGGAATAGACGAATACAACCACCCGACTCGCGTTATCGGTAGCCAGGGTACGTCTGAACATTAGAGTTTTGTCAGTTATAAGCACTCATATATTAGTATTCAGGACATCTGGGAACGTTGGATTATATATACTCGACAATAGTTGGGCTGGGCGACTACTACGATGTTGCAAACCAGTCTTTTCCCGCTGTCTCGGGCAACATTTTCGAGTCTCGTCTCGTTATCGGGCATGAAGTGCCAGCGTCTGCTCGCCCTATGGGGTTGACTCCACCAACAAAGAACAAAGAGCCCGTCTACGGCGCACTGAAACTTGTCTCTAACCAAGGATGTGAGGAAGCCGACTATCCCTCGGACCTTTCTGGTGCAATCGCCTTGATTAAACGCGGTACTTGCCCTTTTGGCACCAAATCAGAATTAGCCGGGAAGGCCGGGGCTATCGCCGCAGTAGTTTATAATAACGAGCAAGGGGAGGTGAGCGGAACACTGGGGACTCCGTCGCCAAACCACGTTGCTACCTTTGGTATATCCGATACCGACGCCGCGCCCTTCGTCCAGCAGCTGAAGGAGGGAAAGAGGGTTGATTCGATTGCTTATATTGATGCGACAGTCGACACGATTGAGACCACCAACATCATTGCGCAGACGAAAGGAGGCGACCCCCAGAATTGTGTAATGCTTGGAGGTCATAGTGACAGTGTCGCGGAAGGACCTGGTATCAATGACGACGGTTCTGGCACTCTGACCCTTTTGGAGATTGCCACTCAACTTACCAAATATAGCGTAAACAACTGCGTACGCTTCGCGTGGTGGGCGGCTGAGGAAGAGGGCCTGCTGGGTTCAGACTATTATGTATCTGTTCTCAGCGAGGAGGAAAACTTGAAGATCCGCCTCTTCATGGATTACGATATGCTGGCGTCCCCCAACTTCGCATATCAAGTTTACAATGCCACCAATGCCGTTAACCCTGCGGGTTCCGAGGAGCTGCGTGATCTTTATACCGATTTCTACACCTCCCACGGACTTAACTTCACCTACATTCCGTTCGATGGAAGGAGTGATTACGATGGCTTCATTCGGAACGGTATTCCTGGCGGTGGTATTGCGACGGGCGCAGAGGGAGTGAAGACCAAGGAAGAACAGGCGATGTTTGGGGGCATCGCAGGCGATTGGTACGACCCCTGCTATCACCAACTGTGCGATGACCTCGGAAATGTCAACGCCACTGCTTGGGAGATCAACAGCAAGGTATGTTTTGATTATCTTGATATTACATGTCACACAAACTAACACATTTCGGCCTCACAGCTGGTTGCCCACACTGTTGCCACGTATGCAGTCTCGTTTGATGGATTCCCGAAACGGACGGGTACCAGCAGCAACTCGATGGAAGTCGAGAAGCGTAAATATCATGGCCCTAAGCTCCTCATGTAAAAGCTAGTCAGGCGGGGTATCAAACAGATAGATATTATTAGAAACCTCAAATCTCTCTCGATTGCCTCTCGGATTCCTTTTTTCTCTTTCTTATTCTCTCCTGCGGCGGCAGGAATCTCACGCGTAGTTTCCCCCTTCACTGAGGCTGCTTTCACACGCAAGCACGCTTAGTCGCTCTCCCACCCACGACCTTCTCATCCCAGCCAGGAATATTTCTGAGAACAGCACATTATACAAGTCGCAACAAGCCATAATTTGAAGAATCATTACTGGTATTACATTGCCTTGATATGGATTCCTCCAAGCACTCTGTTCCAGCACGCCCATTTAAGTTGACTTTCAAATGCACACAGTGCCGGTCGAAAACTTTCAACTCCGCCGAAGCATTGGCCGCTCACCAGGCTGCATTGGGCCATGACCAGGAAGGCTATGAACGTCGCGAAAAGTTGAATAGCCGGAACCTGACAATTGTAAACCGATACTATACGGCCTCGAAAAATAGCACCAACGGAGACAAACATCTTGGCCACAGATCTGCACGAGATAGAGATGCTGGCATTCGACTGGACCTTGCTACTCATAAGCGAAATTTTACGGTCCTTTCAGAGGAGGAACATGGTAATCTTCACGGTAAACTCTTAGCAGCATGCCACTTATCTGCACGCCTTAAGACACAGGGATACAGACTCACAGTTGAACCCCCTGAAAGAAAGCCTCGTAAAGAGAGGCCGACAAAAGAGAAGTCGCCTGAGGATAAGGTGAATAAGAACTCTGAAGTGAAGCAACTCGATGCGACGTCGCCCCAAAACAAGCCACCCGACAAAACGACCTTGATGAGCTCGTCCAAACCCCCCAAAGACAAACCTCGAGAGCCCATCCGTTTCTTTCACACGCCACAGTCAGTCCCTGGATCATCCCAGACAAGAAAAGCAATAGCTCTCGACTGCGAGATGGTTGAGGTAATGGGTGGTCAGGATGAGGTAGCCTTCTTTAGTGCCGTTGACTTCTTCACGGGAGAGGTGCTTATCCATAAGTACGTCCAACCTACGAAAAGAGTTGTCCACTGGCGAACACGGGTGAGTGGAATTACACCGATGGCCATGAATGAGGCAACACGAGCTGGCCAGGCGTTGTCTGGATGGAAATCAGCTCAACAAGCGCTTTGGAAGTACGCCGACACAAACACCGTCCTTATTGGACACAGCCTCAACAACGACCTCAGAGTTCTTCGAATAATTCACCCAAGAATTGTGGACTCTGCAATCTTATCGAGTGAAGCGGTTTTCAACCTGGCCCCCGATGTGTCACTCAGACGGATCTGGGCGCTGAAGTTGATCACGAAGGAGTTCCTTAATCGAGCCACTCAGACCGGAGGTAGAAGAGGGCACGATTGTCTTGAGGATGCCTATAGCGCCCGAGATGTCGTTATCTGGTGCCTAAGGAACCCTGGTAAGTTGACGGTTTGGGCACAGAACGCCAGAGCCGAGCATGAGGCCAAGATGGAGCAGTTGCGCAAGGAGCGTGAAGCTCGGGCCCAGGAGGAGAAAGAGAAGAAGGAGAAAGAGAAATCAGAGAAGGAGGCAAAAGAGAGAATGAAGGAGTCGGAGATGCTCGAGCAAACTGGGGATGCGAACTCGAGTGCAAAGGTTGTGCCACCGGAGAGCTGTCAATTGCTGGATAACCTTGAATTACCAGCCGAACCAAGTTGCCTTGCCTCATAGAGGCGCCAGATGGTTCACCTGGCCGGGAGTATTCCCATGATAGGGCTCTCTAAACTAGCCAGCACGGAGCCAGATTTATTCTCAATCAATGGATTTTCGTGAGGCGTTCGTTACCAAATAGGCAATATCAGTTTCTTATGCATAAACCCGCATAAAGTTTATGCCCGGCATATACTCATGTCAATGAGAACCCAAGCGCAAGGACCAATCAGATTGAAAGTATTGATCGGCTGATGTTGATCTTTGTGAGACAAGAAGACAGCCAGAGAGGGCCTGCACGAGATCTTTGTGCGACTTCATCAACACTCTTTCCCGAAACTCCGACCGTCCTCAATATTTTACCTCGCAACACTGGCCAGAGAACCTTTCCCTCGATCATCTCGCTCTTGGTTGCAACAAAATGATACCACTGATATCATTATTACCTCGGAGCCGGTCGCCGAGCGCCCTCCATGCCGCTAAGACAACGCGGGGTTCGCAAGAACTCCCAAATAGGGTATGGAGCTGCCTATCCTCAACATGTGCCAAACGAATTATTTTGCAATTGTGCCAGCGCTGAATGGCCGGTTTCTCAGATTGTCTTTGCCGTCAGCGCATATGACTCAGTGATCTGATAGCATGTTTTTTTTCGTGTGGATGAATTTCCCCTGTTCCCCGCAATCCTGGAGGCATTGAAGAAGAGTGGAATCCGCCCTCCCGTCTGAAGCTGAACACCGGTTCATTCAGTTTTGACAACCCAACCATGATCGAGGAGCTCGTCAACGACCTGACGCCAGGACAGGCGGTCCTGTACTTCATCGGTGCCTTCTTCTTCGTCTGTCTGGCGCGGAAGATCCAGGTGCAATGGCAACTTTCGCGACTGGGTGCCAGGGCTCCCAAAGTCCAATTCAAGCTTCCATATGGTGTGTTGAGCCTCTCCAAATCCTTGAGAGAGGTGCGCTAACAAAATCCATCAGCTATGGACTTCATCCACAAGTCCATGCAGGCCAACAAGTCTGACCGAGACCTCGAGTTCTGGATGTCCGCGATGAAAAACGCCAAGGGTGCACCTTTGGTGGAAGATAAGAAAACGGCGGAGTTGGATGCTGGAGTATCGACTCGTATTATACTCACTCGAGACCCGGAAAACATCAAGGCCTTGCTCACTGGGCAGTTTTCTGATTATGGCAAGGGCGAATCGTTCCACCGCGATTGGCGTGAGTTCCTTGGGGATAGCATCTTCGTGACCGATGGCGAGCAGTGGTCTGCCTCGCGACACCTTATCCGACCCATGTTTGTGCGAGATCGTCTTGTGGACACAGAGATCTTTGAAAAGCATGTTCAGCATCTCATTCCCTTGTTGGCTGGAGACAATGGGTCTAAGGTTGTCGATGTCACGTCTCTCTTCTTCCGTTACACACTGGACGCTGCCACCGACTACCTCCTTGGGAATGGAACCGACAGCTTGCAGAACCCAGAGGCAGAGTTTGCTGAGGCTTTCCGCTACGTGCAGCGCCGCCAGGCACTGTACTTCCGACTAGGGTATGTTTACTTCAGCCAGCGTGTTACGGGGGTGATACTAATTACTTAGTGTTTTCAAATTCATTCTCTCGCGCAAGGAATTCCGACGCCAACTGAAAGTGATGGACGATTTCATCAAACCATACATTGACCGTGTCCTCGCCATGTCCCCCGCCGAATTGGACCAGAAGCTCTCCAAGAACGACACCTTCCTCCATGCGCTCGCCCGTTTCACCCGAGACCGCCGCGTCCTCCGCGATCAGCTCGTCGCCATCCTCTTGGCCGGCCGCGACACAACAGCCGCAACCCTCTCCTTCTGCCTCTTTGAACTAGCCCGCAACCCCAAGGTGGTCGCCAAACTCCGCGAGGAGATCGCCCCACGCCTAGGCCTCGGCGCCGACGCGCGCAAACCCTCCTACGCAGACCTCAAGGAAATGAAATATCTCAACGCTGTCCTCCACGAGGCCATGCGCCTCTACCCCGTCGTCCCTTTCAACGTGCGCTTCTCGCTCAAGGATACGACCCTCCCACGCGGCGGCGGCCCCGACGGAATGTCCCCCGTCGCCGTCAAGGCCGGATCCCGAGTCATCTACTCCACGATGATCATGCAACGAAGCCCAGACAACTACGGCTCCCCAGGCTCGCCCAACTACTTCGATCCTGCGAAATGGATCCCCGAGCGCTGGTTGTCCGGATGGCAGCCTAAGCCGTGGCACTTTATCCCGTTCAACGGCGGCCCACGCATTTGCATTGGGCAGCAGTTTGCGACTATTGAAATGGGATACACGGTTGTGAGGATTCTCCAGGCTTTTGAGCGGATCCAGGCGGTTCCCGAGATGGGGAAGAGCGTTGTTGAGGATCCGAAATTGAGGTTTGAGGTTACCCTTACGCCGGCGACGGAGTTGAATTGTGTTTTTGAGAGGGAGGGTGAGGGCAATGAGAAAGCGGCTGCTTAGTAGTACGGTAAATATATACTTATGTTGCTTCGCTGTTAGGGCGTTATTTGATTGTCGGTTGGCTGAGGTTAGGTAGGTATATATTACGAGATTTCTTACTCCTGTACCTAAACTGGATGACTGAATGCGTTTATGATATATAATATCCTTACTCAACCCAAAAATGACCGTTATATTCGTAAATTCGTACAGCCTAGCCAGAGTACAACCAAGGATTGAGCTATGCTCAAAGATAAGTAACTTTCACCTTCCCCAGCCGTTTCAGCCTCTGTAAAATCTCCAGCTTCCTCAACTCAAGGAACAAATCCTGGTCGTCGGCGTCTCCCAGGTCCCCCGAGATATTAATCCACGGTGCCGCCTTGGACAGCACCATGTCGCCATTCATCTTTGTCGATGGAATGATCTCCGTGGGGGACGCTGCATCAACAACGCCGCTACCGCCGTTGGTCAGACCCACTGTGTGCCCGTTGGTTTGTTTTGGGGTAGTATCTTGGTCGCCTGGACGTGGTTTATCGCCGACCCAACCTTGACACATCCCGACAGCCTTCTCCCAAAGGTCAAACTGCTCGCGACTCTTATCGATGCTCATCTGCGGACGGAAGACGGTGCCACCGGCGCGGTTGATATCGCGGAGTTCGGCAAAGCTGCGCCAGAGCCCTACAGCTAGGCCTGCGGCTATTGCAGCGCCAAGGGCGGTGGTTTCGCGCATTTTAGGCCGGTAGACAGGGATGGAGATGAGGTCGGCTTGGATCTGTAAGTTTATAGACAGGAGCGCGGTTAGCATTGGTTGGCGCATATGCATTGAAGGTGGGGCTGGGGTTGTGCTAGTTGGGTAGCTTCTGTACCTGCATGGAAAGATCAGAGTTGCTCATTCCGCCGTCAACGGCGAGCTCGGATAACGCGTGACCACTATCTTTCTCCATAGCGTCGAGAATTGCCTTGGTCTGGAAACAGGTGGCTTCGAGAGTTGCTCGGGCGATATGGCCCTTTTGGGTATATTGGGTGATTCCAACTGGTTTCAAACCAGGTTAGCGTATGGGGATGGGACTCAGTCAGTTCCGGCTTACAGATGGTTCCTTTGGCATCATCGATCCAATATGGAGCGTAGAGCCCGCTGAATGCGGTGACGAAAACGCAGCCGCCATTGTCTTCCACGGTTAGGGCTAGATCATTTACCTCTTTAGATTCCTTGAAGAACTCAAGGTTATTTTGGAGGAACTTCACTCCTGAGCCGCCAACTGCAATGCTCCCTTCAAGAGCGTAAACCGGTCGTCCGTCGAAATGGTATGCTATGGTTGCGAGTAGGCCATGTTTGGAGATCACCGGCTTGTCTCCAACATTGTACAATAGGAAGCAACCTGTGCCATATGTATTTTTGGCCAATCCCGGAGAGAAACCCTTTTGTCCTACAAGAGCTGAGGACTGGTCTCCTAAGCATCCCATGATGGGAACACCTGCCAGACTCCCCGAGGTAAGTGCCCCATAGGCTGTCGCATCTGACGAAGGAACAATTTTTGGTAGATGCACTCGTCCTTTAATCCCGAAGAAATCTAATAGGAAGTTGTCATACTTCAGAGTTTTGAGGTTCATGAACATTGTTCGCGATGCATTGGTAGAGTCAGAGACAAACACATTGGCTCTGCTTCCGCCGTTGAGTCTATAGACCAGCCAGGAATCAACGGTACCGAAGGCCAGTGTGCCCTTCTCATATGAATCTCTAACCTTGGGAACGTTTGAAAGCATCCAAAGAAGCTTGGAGGACGAGGAGTAGGTGGAAAGCGCCAGGCCACAGATTTCTTGCAGTCGCGATGCCCCGGTTTTCTGTTTCAGCTCGTCGACAACGGCTTGTGACCGGGTATCCGTCCAGACGATTGCATTGTAGAGTGGCTCGCCCGTTTCATAGTCCCAAACCACTGTGGTCTCTCGTTGATTGGTGATACCCACCGCTTTAATGCACTGCCGATCGTTTCCACTGCTCTCGAATTGTTTGACAGCTTCTTCGACACATGTTTCCACAGAAGAGACAAGCTCAAGCGGGTCATGTTCATGCCACCTGCCAACCCCGTTGGTACGCAATGTCGCAAGGAGATAGCTGGGAATGAACTGCTACTTACCCTGGGTTTGGGTATATTTGCGTAAACTCGACCTGATGTGATGCGACGGGTTCTCCCTCACGATTAAAGACCAGAAACCGGGTACTGGTAGTGCCCTGGTCAATAGAGCCCACAAATGCTTCTGTTAGATCCATGACCTGCTAGTCCCGGACTCGGAGTGGACAAATACGACAGTCTTGGGGGGAATCAGCTGATTAACCCCGGCGATTTCCACCAGCAAGCAAAGGGCTTGGAAGAGATGGGAAGGTGAATGCGTATGGGAATTTGCACGTCACTGGAGACAAGATTGACGAGAAAAAACCTCGAGTCCCCATTACGCCTTAAATATTTCTTCGAGAGAAACGGCGTTACGAGGACTGGTGTCACAATTTTTCCGTCCCAGTTGGCCATCGTCTGCGGGGGAATCCCTCCCGAGCCAGGAGGGGCAGCCAGACAGCTGCAAGCCGAGATATTAATCTCACCTGGACCGATGCTAGTGTCGCAAAAAGGGAAGGCGGCATTCCTCGAGGACACTGGCAGTCGCCCGTTTACCAGTGAGCCAAAAGGAGAGAGTGATGGAGGGAACGAGAAGTCTTGGCCCGGCCAGCATGGGCTTCGGCAGTCAGCGACCGAGCTTATCGATCCATATCCTTCTATCCCAGACCAAAACTCAGTATATGTTCGCTTTCCATGAACGGTGTATACGCACTGTGAGTCTGCCCCAACAGGCTGGTTCAGTGCGTGGGGAAAGCGTGTGTAGTGGAGTAATCGCCGATCAGCTATCGCAGAAGGCGGATGCTTGACCATCGAAGATTCGAAAGTACAATGCATTGTCATCAAACCCTGCGCTGGAAGCTCTGGGGTCACAATGCACATGGGAAGGATGATGTCGAAGCTGCAAGCACGAACCCCGCTCGATTATCGTGACCGTGTTCATGCTGGCCTGTTGACATGGAGAAGTGTGTGCCAGTCCCTCAGTGCTGCCCCCACAACTCCACATGACAGCCAGACGATGGACGAAGACGCATTATTATTGGACCATGCTACATAAAAATATATATCTTACTTTCAGGACTGGTAGTAAGAAGATTCCATCTTAAAGTAGAAATATAAGTTGGATTTGGCCCTCCTTAGATAGTTCTGAGCATAGTGGCCCTTTCTTATGGGATGGTGTGAGATTACTTCGGTATCCCGACGCGTCGACAATCTACGAGGTGCGTGGCTCGGGTGGGACTAAACGTTCCAGCTTGGAAGGCAAAAGACCTTGCAATATCTCCCGTGGAGATGTTTTTCTGTAAGGGGCCCTTACAAGGGGCTGTAACGCCATGGTTGGTGAAGGCAAAATTTCCGCTGAATGGAACAATGGCACAGTGAAGGAGGCGGGCTATGACCCGTCGTGTCGAGTGGATAGTTAAACTTACCGAGAGACAAATATCATGGAATTCTAGAAGCAGTACTGCTGAAGAGAGAGCCTACCCTCTACTTACCCCACTACTGCTCTCTAAGATATATCAATACTGTCCGAACATTTTTCAGTTCTTTAGACCAGCTTTTAACATAATACTAACACCCCTGTCTGGGAGACTAAACAGTCAATCACTTTGGATACAAGCTGTCTTTGAATACCTGCATTGCGCTATATTAGCATTGCGGGTTCACACCTGATATGCTCCCGGATGGAGGCATTTTTGGCCCTCACACTTGCGGGAGGAAGAGGCACACTCTAGAATGACCACGTCTGAAATACCACGCGCAGTTGGCTCCAATAAAAATAGTGAAGGCTGCGGGAGCAAGGAGTGGGAAGGAGTCATCTGCCTTGAATAACATCTATAATCCCTGCCGCTGACATGTCCGAAGGTAACCCAAGCACAGGTTGCACACGGTAGACCGACTTCAATTCGACGGCCAAGATGCAAGTGTCACAGGAGTTTCAGCTCGATCTCGGGGGTTGAGAGTTCTACAGTCTTCTCAGCGTCTTTCTGGAGAAATGTCAGTACCGTATTCTGATGTGGTAAGGACATGCAGGCGAGCTTTCAGAACAATGAGCTACATACCTTACCATTGGGAGTGGGTTCATTTAACAAGTGAATATAAAGTTGGAAATGGGAGGGGCAAAGTGAAGTGAACGGTGAATTTCTTTCACCAAGTTGTCCGTTTGCGCTGCCTCATTTTTCTCCTAAACTCTCTCATATTATCTCTTATAACTTCAACAATTCCTCTGACTATGTCACTCCATTTCTGTCTTGCACCATCGCTAATCTATTCAACTACTGTTATATTATACCATCTCTATTCTGTACTCCACTGCCTTGTCAAGTGGCAGAACATCGCCATCTAGCCAGAGTATCTGAGCAAGACTCCCTGCGTATCCATCCCTACACACCACGGCCCATAAGTTGGGCAGTAAGATACGTCAGGGAACGTGACACGATGCGAGCTTGTAGAATACGTTGCACAGCTCGCATCACTGTCTTCACTATTTGAGTTTATACCCAGACTCCGATCCTCCCGTCAGGAAGGACATACCATAATCCATACGATATTTCCCGACTCTGAAATGGCGACGCCTATGCCCGTTGTTGACAGCATCGAGATAGAAGCCACGGTTCCTCCGCTAACTAGCGACAAACGAGACGCTATACTGGCACTGAAACATGTTTCTGAGACAGAAACAGGAGAGCTAATAATACCCAAAGAAAATCCAGCATCGACACCCTTATGGTGGAGCAGGATAAGAGCGGATTGCCGCCTGGCCTTTTCAGAGTTCTTCGGCACACTGGTACTGGTTCTCTTTGGCAACGGAGTAGTTGCCCAGGTCGTCCTTAGCGAGAATAAGAAGGGGGATTATCAGTCTATTTCTTGGGGTTGGGGGTAAGTGTTGTCCGATACTTCATTTTGAATATAAGTGCAAGTCTAACGCATACCTTTCGTCCAACAGCCTCGGTGTCATGCTAGGCGTCTACGTCAGCGGCATATCCGGTTCTCATATCAACCCTGCAGTGACATTCGCGAACTGCGTCCTTCGAAATTTCCCCTGGCGGAAGTGGCCCCTATACGCCATCTCCCAACTCCTGGGAGGCATGTGCGCCGCAGCCATCGTATACGGTAATTACAAATCGGCCGTTGATACCTATGAGGGTGGACCGGGAATCAGAACTGTCCCTGGATACTCAGACACTGCTTCAGGAGGCATATTCTGCACTTACCCTGCTGAATTCATGACCCGGACAGGTCAATTCTTCTCAGAGTTCGTTGCCAGCTCCATTTTGATGTTTGTAATCTTTGCCCTGACCGACAATGGCAACATGGCGGCTGGCCCTTTCATGCCAATTGCGATGTTCTTCGCCATTTTCGGCATAGGTGCATGTTTTGGATGGGAGACAGGATATGCCATCAACCTTGCTCGAGATTTTGGACCCCGGCTGGTCTCATATATGATTGGGTATGGTCCGGAAGTATGGAGAGCAGGAAACTATTACTTTTGGGTGAGGCCCTTCCATCATTCGCTCCCCTAACATTTAAGTTTTAACGTATTTTCCCACAGGTACCAGTGGTGGCGCCCTTCTGTGGGTGCACATTCGGCGGCTGGCTGTACGATATGTTCCTCTACGTCGGAGCAGATAGCGTAATAAACACACCTTACCTAGGCCTACACCGATTTGTGAGGCCGTTGGCCCAAAAACACCAAGACGCCCAATGCCCCGTTTGAATCTTTAAAAAAAGCTCACGGTACAAAATATATTCTATATTCTACAGCGATGAAACGAGATCTATGATTACGGCTACGCGATGACGATATGCGATTCTAATATCACGAAGGAAACGATTACCCTATTATTATTATCCGAATTTGACATTTTCTATCAATTGGAAGCGAGGGAGACTGGAGTACAATGTTAGGTTACAGAAAACACTGTTTGTTATTTAAGAAATGTACAGTCTTGTGACAAAGATCGCCCACTATTATAATCGAATAGATCTACACAGCAAGTAGTGTTGAGGTCCTGCATGGATAATCCTAACTCGGTGTCCTCGATCTCGACCGCGACCGATCCCCTCTGTATGACGATTGGGCATCAAAACCGATCTTGGTCCAGTTAACTAGATTGGTATCTACCCTAGTGTGGTGACGTCTACCCCGGCTTCCGTATACTCCCCGATGCACTTATGCAGCATACGACAGCAACATCAACTCCACCCGGGTCCAGACCAATCTTCAAATACCAAATCAGTCAACTGTTATAGAAGTTAAAGTTTCTGTTTTAGGTAGCCAATTCACGCCAATCTGGCTATTTATGTACTCTAGGCCGGAGGATGCGAAAGTAAATTGTTGGTTCACTCGGTGAAGGACATATTGCTACTAATACATTGTGTTACAGCCACGAGGGACTCACACTACTGCCGATAATGACATTCAGAGAGCCGACAGCTATGTAATGATAATTAATTCGCTATCAATAGTCCTAGGCATACTGATAGAAGGATCGTTAGGATTCTCGTCAAGAGAGGGTTGAGTGCAGAATTAGATAGACAACATGAGCGAAACAAAGGCCTTCAGCGTCCGATTTCTCGACCTCACACAACGCCAATTAATGCAACTAAATAAGTAGGAGTCTATAGATAGTTTCGGAAGAAGATGGATATAGTACAGGGAGAAGTAGGTTCCGGTGGTAGTGATTGGGGAATGCACTGGTGCCATCTGGGTCTCGATCTGACCCATTTAAGATTCCCCAACAGATTGCGGGACTAGGCCATAGGAACGGAAAAGAAAAGGAAGGTCGATCTATATGATAAGCAAACGCCGTAAGAAAAGTCATACCCTCGTGAATGTTCGTCGCATATCTCATAAAGTAGTGGTGGTTCAACCGCAGGTGCGTGAGCTTTGAACGTTGATTTCGGTGGTACTTCGTAAACCGGCTGAGCTCAGACAGTGACCAGAAAACTACTGATAAGCACAGACAGAGCACCAAAAGCCAAGCGCGCATCACACAGGGAATTCGCAGCATTGGTGGTCGGTGCAATATAAGCGGTATCAATGTAGTCCTGGTCTCGACCGAGCAAAACCCGTTCGAATTTTGCAGTCGCTGTGTTAGACTTTTCTGCCGACTCCGTTTCGTAGAAGCCCGATTGATGAGCTGGTAGTGGGGACTCAGGGCCGGAAGGGGAGGACGAAACCAGCCAGGAGCGATGCGAGACAGATGTAGACGGGGGTGTATACTGTGTTGTAAAAAGACATCGCTTTAGCAAGAAGTTCGACGAGGGTATAAAACGGGATTGCAGGCAATGCTCACTCATAGAGGATCGACTGGGCGGCTGCACATGTCCGGAGCCAGCAAATTGCCAACCACCTGGCAAATCTGTGGATGAGGAATCGCTCGAGCCACCATCACTGCTTGGGTTTGGAACCCAGGGGAATACATTTGGCGGGGTATAACTAGTGGTCTGACGGTGTGTTCCTTCAAATGGAATCGGACCGCTGTCAGCTGTTGCGGTAATGGAAGGCCCCGGGCCAACATCCGTCATAGTTTGGGCAGCACTGTTTCCATTGACCTCGCCACCATCTGCTTCGATTGACTGCCATGACCCGCTGTTATCACCGTATTTATAAGAGTTGCCGGTTGAATAATCGGTCACTTTGAGAGACTTCAGGTACATTGTAAAGGGACCAGCAGTATAATCGGTCTTGCCACCCGCCCATTCTGAAACTTAATTAGCAAGGTACGCTCAATATCAACTAGAGGAAAGACTTACGGATTGTCCCCTCGGGATTGTTGGGGTCACCACCAGCCCAGACACCAATCCTGACCATCATGGGCGTCTGAGGGTATTGATTGGACTCTGCAGAGTCGGGGGTGAGTACACGAACGGTTTTGCCATCAATCTGCCACACGATGTGGGACTTAGTCCAGTCGATGGTATAAGTGTGGAAGCTATCGTGGTTTCCTGTGTTGTCATGGGTAGCTGCGCGGTTGTACGTGTCGGTGTTGCCCTTTCCGAAGTAATTGGTTTGGACATGTTCATTGTTGCCTCCCAGCCACTCCCAGTCAATCTCATCCAAGTCGTCTGACTGCAATACTGCGCTGCTAACGATGCCCACTCCTGGTGCAGCCTTGATCACGAATTCAACATGTCCGAACATGATGTACCAGTTGGACTGGAGCAATGGGGCATCTCCTTGTTTGGACACAGTAAAGGCTGCCCCGTCGTCACCGTATGTCGGGGCCATAATTTCGGTGAACTCATCGGAAGATCCCTGGGTGAAGTCGAAGTTTGCTGAGGTTCCGAGTGCTGGATTTGGAGAGCAGGCTTCAAGAGATTAGTGCTACTCGCTGATGGTGGGGACGGGAGCCATACATTGTTCCAGCGGATTGCAGTCCGTGTACGTTTGAGCTGAAACCAAGGTTAAGCATGAGAGGAGACTAATGGCCACCGGGCCGTTGATACGAAACTTCATGACGAAGGAAGGCTGAAATGTAGGGAAACACAAAAGCAGTCAAAAAGTAATGTATGCACGAATGGTCATTCAAGAATAAGAAGTGAAAGTTGCGGCGACTAGGAAGAGTACCAAGATAGAAGAGCACGTCGATATTTGATTTCCTGAGGAGCTGGGGGGTTGTTGAGCGTTCAGCGTCCAAGATGCAGCAACGTCGGCAGCCGGTCACAGAGGAGGAAGGCGCGAGTCGAGCGACCGAAAACGGGTTTGCAGCGGAAATCATGATCCCGGGCGAGAAAAGACTGAGCAAGCTATTTAAAGCGAGCAAAACGAGACGGCTGATGTCAAAGCCAGAGATGAGCAGATTCGCCCAGCCACCAGATTCAAGAGTCTGGATCAGGCCGCAGTGAAGTTCATTGTTGACTTTCCCTGATCGGGCGGATCTTGGGCGTCTCCACAAAAGTCACGAGCGGTGGCTGGTGGTGGAATTACCACCTACTATTGGCCAGAAGAGCTGTTGGACCCACCGTGATCGGTCCCTCTCTTGGATCTGACGTGGTTGTTTCATCCGCGTGGTGATCCAGAATTCCATGCTGCCATGTGTGATGCAAGGAAACAATGCCGACCAGAATGACGATAGTCTCTCAGGGATGATGCACAAACCTTATTAAGATCAAGGTCTTCTCTCCTGCCACTTTATTTTCATTCTAATATGGCCAACGCAGACGGATGCAAAGGGTCCAAGCTGCTCTTTAGAAGCGGTCAACACAGCCAATGCTCAGCAGCGTAAGCCACCTACAGCAACCTGCACTGGGCATTATGACACATGACACCCAAGGCGCTGCCTCCGGTGCAGATGTTTTTCTTTTTCCACGTGACAGTCATCAGTGCCGAGACAGGCAGCCTCGAGAGGCTACCTAAGTATGCTTTGGTCCGTACTCTGTCGCACGTCGTTTGTTTGTATGATCAAGAGAGAGCCTACAAATATGACAAGCGGACAACAGGGAGCAGGTGGGATGTAGGATCTGCCTGATATTTGCCATGGAATGATTTCCACTAATATACAAAACATTAGGCACAGAAAATACAGTAAATATGGACCAAGCGCGATGTTGACCATGCTTCGTGGTTAGAGGAAAGCTGGACGGCCTCAATTCAGCACCATCGAGCGGTGGTACTTATTACCCTGTAGAGGGCAAGGTCGGACACATACAGAGGATCTGGCCAGATGATCTCGGAGAAATGTACTTTTGCCAGAACGCCACCCTCCAGTGTTATCTACCTATGCTCCAGACAGCCTGGTTCTGTCAATATGAGTTCATGCAAGCAAAGGTCCACGGTTTATGGCCTTTGTAAGGTGACTGGACCAACTAACTACCATACTGCTTATTGGACTTGCATTTCACAGCCATCCCGTCTCAAAATGGTAGAGGTACTGTCGACTGCGACATTGAAATCGCTAAGTTAAGAGCTCGGGCTATGGTCCTAAGGAGGTGTCTCAGTGTACCAGGCGCCCGAGCCTGGCTGCTGCTCTGCAATAGCAATGAGGATCAACCCGGCTATCCGCCAAATGAAGGTTGCCGCTACCCACGAGAGCCATACTGACATTACTTGCTCAAACTAACCGGGTAGGACATTGCCTTCAATTACTACAACCATGATCAAGGGTGGAACTGCGGCTATCGAGCCCTTGGCAAGGACGCTTGCCGTATATCCGATTGCAAGCGTTCACGGTTTCTGGTGGAAGGGGAGCTGAGTCGGCATTACAGTGGCCATAGCCGCTGAACTGACTTGAGTATTTCTGGTCATCAATAAATACACCGCACAGCTGTTCCAACGGAGTACTCCATTCTATAGACATTGACGAGGGTAGTCGAGTTGAAGTACTGCAATAAAAAAAAGGCCGGCTGCTTTCCGCTTTCCGCCTCCCCGGAAAGAATCCGCGGGGAATTGTGGCAACCCTCAACTCTGGAATGTGGACAGAAGTCACAGATGCCAGCATCGGCAATTGAATTTCCTTTCTGCTTAAACCTTAAAAAGCTCTTTGGAACATCTGGGGATGATCTAAGCGGACGTTATCCCACATGGCCATCCGACAGGCGTTTATCCAGCGCACCAGCCTGGACAGCCGACAGAACCACGCCAGTCACAAGAACAGGCGATGCCGGGGTACTTTACCGGGGAGAAGAAGCTTGCAGCCGGCCTCTGAGTCGCCGAGTGCAAAGTCCCCGCCGACAAAGTGAGTGTTCGGCCCACTTGGCTCGGTAAAACGGGCATTCGAGTGGTCGGCCCATTCCCCATGGGCGTCACATTGGCCCCTGGAACCGGCCCACCTCCACGATCCTGTTAACAATTGACGGGTCTCTCCGGACCGCATTGGTGCTGCCAATTGGTGGATGCGGTTTATCCGAGCGCAAGATCGGCATATTGAGTCCCTATCTGTGGAGGATCAATTGCCGACCGGGTGGATGGATGGGGTGTAACCTGCCTGGCCCTGGGTATAAAGCCTAAGACGCAGCGGTTGCTGTTGGGGTTGCGGTGCCTTCTTTTCTGTTTGGACTTTTACCCATCGTTACATCCTGCGCATTGCTCTGGACGGGGCAGTCTATTCATCATGGGGTCGTCATTTTTTAAGAACTCGCGCGTGTATATGCTCAGTGCTGTAGCATACATGGGCTCCTTTCTCTTTGGTAAGACAGAAACCTGCAAACTTGCATAGTTAAACATCAGATGTGCAAATGTACTAACTGGTGACAAGGTTATGATACCGGAGTAATGGGCAGCGTGTTAGCCCTAGACAGCTTCAAGAAGGACTTCAACATCCCCACAGGCAGCACCGGGTTTGCCAGCAGTGAGAACGCAACCATCTCATCAAACGTTGTCGCCCTTTTGACAGCCGGGTGCTTCTTCGGCGCCATCGCGGCCGCCTTCGCCAACGACCGATACGGCCGACGCAATTCGCTCCTCGTTCTCTCCGTTATCTTCATGGTCGGAGCCGCCGTGCAAACAGGCGGCAAGGGAACAATCGCCTACATCTACGGCGGCCGAGTCATTGCCGGGTTCGGCATTGGAGGCATGTCCGCCATCACCCCTGTCTACGTCTCAGAGAACTGTCCCCCCAAAGTGCGCGGGCGCATTGCCGGGCTGTTCCAAGAGTTCCTGGTCATTGGTGTCACAGTCTCGTACTGGCTCTGCTACGGAGTGGACCGCAACATCCCCTCGTCTACGAAGCAATGGCGTATTCCTGTGGGATTCCAGCTCGTCCCTAGCGGGATTATGTTTGCCGGCCTCTGGTTCCTGAAGGAGTCACCCCGTTGGCTCATGAAGCAGGGACGTTACGACGAGGCCACCGCCTCTCTAGCATTCACTAGGAATGCTCAGCCAGATAGTGAAGAGGTCCAGCAGGAACTATCCGAGATCCGTGCCTCCATCGAAGAAGAGCTCCTGTCCACCGAGGGCCTCACCTGGCGCGAGTGTCTCCTCCCAGGGAACAGACTCCGTTTCATCAACGCCTTTATCATGATGTTCTGGCAGCAGTTCAGCGGAACCAATTCGATCGGATACTACGCCCCGCAGCTCTTCCAAACAATTGGTGTAGCTTCTACAGACACCAGTCTCTTTACAACCGGTATCTACGGTGTCGTGAAAGTAGTCGCCACGGGAATTTTCCTCCTGATTGGTATCGACAAAATCGGCCGCAAGTGGTCCCTTGTGACTGGTGGCATCTGGATGGCCGCAATGATGTTTGTTCTGGGCGGTGTTCTAGTCTCTTATCCCCCCGACCCTGACGCTGGGGGTGGGGTCTCCTCAGCATCAACCGCCATGATCGTCATGGTCTACCTCTACGTTATCGGGTACGCATCTAAAACGGAAGAAGGAACTCAAAATCGAAAGAAAGCTAACTTGTACAACAGATACTCCGCCTCCTGGGGCCCGATTCCCTGGGTGTATATCTCGGAAATTTTCCCGACACGCCTGCGCTCCTACGGCGTCGGGATGGGATCAGCCACCCAATGGCTCTTCAACTTTGTCGTGACGAAATTCACGCCTGAGGCAATCAATAACATCGGGTGGCGTACGTTCATCATGTTCGGTGTGTTCTGTTTCGCCATGGGCATCTGGGTGCTCGTCTGCGTCAAGGAGACCAAGGGCCGGTCGTTGGAAGATATGGACGCACTATTCGGCGGAAATATCCATGAGCAGGCCGTTGCGCGGAAGGATGTTGAGAGGACCGCTGACGGTGCAGAGTTCCCTGAGGGAGAGAAGGAAACCTCCAAGCATGAGGAGCAGGTGCGTTGAGTTGGTCGGGATATGTGGGGGACTCGGGATACCAAAAGTGGTATACAAGCTACTAAGTATTGAATAGCTTTATGACTAGCTATATTAGGAAGGCGTAATCCTATTTTAGATTAGTGTGAAATATGGATCTCTTGGCATTTCGAATACTTTTGTCAAACCACTGTATGATACAGCCAATCAGTGCGATCACCGAGAACCTGTTAAGAATTAAGATACTGCGGTAAAATTAAGGCTCCACCAAGCTCCTTAGCAAAAGTTACTATCACCGGAATTGAAATATCCCACCAATGAAACTGCGGCCGGCTATATTAATTGCAGCCCTGTATCGTCCACCGCTGTGCACCATTCAATTTCCAGCACATCAGTCTATATGAGGTATTTCCGGGGTGTAAATTAAGACGGTCAATTAAGCTGAGCGGGTTAATTTCTATTTACTATTTAGCGGCCTGGTTTCGGAGCTTTGAGGGAGAAATATATCCAGGCCGAGGTTAATGCCGATGATGTGAATACCCAAAGACACGGCGAATGAGCCAAGTAAACAGTCCAGCAGCCGAGTTCATCCATTACGTAGTAGTTGTGGTTACATGGTTACTAGCCCTAGTCTCGTGAATTTTGCTTTCTATAGTCATAGCTAAGTATACTTTACATTAGGAGAGTCTTCCATCCTAAGGCAGTCTCCTGTACCCGATGCCGCTCATCAAGCCCTCACCTCCAGCTCCCCGCCAAACACGCACTCCCTGGTCCCATCGCCCGGTGTCAGGGTGGAGGGCAGGTAAGAGGAGTCTGACTTTACTAAACTAGGATTTCATATCTGAGTCTCCCAGCGAGGAAAGAGCGATTGCCTATTTATGAAGGCACACCCCCCGTTCCTGCATTGGGAAAGATGCACCTTCCTTGCAAGATAGTTAATCAATATGGAAGGTGCGATCTATAATAGGGTGTATAAGACCTAGTTTCGAACCCCTTCATAAATCTGTTCTAATAGTTAAAGACTTCTAATTAGTTAGATCAATACTCCTTTACCTAGACATCGCCTAGTATCTGACCGCCGGCATCTTCCGGTGTCTCCCTATATGACACCAGCTTACCGGTCAAAGATCTTGCCCGGGTTTAACAGAAAACTGCCCAACGTTAGCGCTGAACAATGGGAAGGGTTAGATACTTACTGCGGGTCTAAGCTCTGTTTCAGCGTACGCATTACGGAAATAGTCTCTGGCCCCAGCTCCTCCAGCAGACACTCTTTCTTTCCAAGCCCAATGCCATGTTCACCCTGAGCCAGGATTAGCAAAAAAAGAATCGAAAATGGAGTTCTGATGTAGACAACTCACTGAAACTGTTCCCTCCATATCAACCGCACGATGAACCATCTTCTGAACACACTCCCGGACTGCCTGTGTCTGGGCTGGATCGCTGGGGTCGTACATGACGGTCTGGTGGAAGTTGCCATCTCCGACATGGCCCAGCACGCTAGAGAATAGACCCAAGGCCCCTGACTCTTGCTTTGAGAGATCTAGCTAGTGAATTAGTAGGATCTACTCGACAGGGAGGTGAAGTGCACTCACCGATTATCTCGGGCATCCGCGACAGCGGGACAGCTACATCGGTAGACCACATCTTTGTGCCCTCTGGACGCTGGGAGCTCATGGCCCAGACGGCCTCTTTGCGCGCGGACCAGAGATTGTGCATTTCTTGCTCTGACTTTGCAAATTCAAAGGCACTTCCGCCTCCCTCGGATGATATTTTCTCAACCCTTGTAATGTCTGCTGCGACTGATTGTGCAGGGCCGGAAAATCTAGGACAGTTAACAGGAAACTATATAAGATAGAAGTTGATGGCATACTTGAAGAGTATCGTGGGCTTCTCTTCCCACATTCTTCCTCCCGCGCCTCCGTTCTTATTCAGGACTGCCATCTGCACCTCGTCCATGAGTTCAACTGCGGCCATGGGAATGCCCTGGCGCATTATCTTCGAGACGCATGTTACTGCGCTCCGGACAGATGGGAACGTGGCAACCGCGACGCTCAGGGTTTCTGGGACAGGTGCAAGCTTCAGCGTCACCTCTGTAATCATCCCAAGCGTTCCTTCTGAGCCTGCGAACAGGCCAGTGAGGTTGTACCCAGCCGAGGTTTTTCTAGATCCTGTTAGTATAAACGATGTACGTGGGACTCAACACCACCTACCGCGGTCGCTGCCGGGTTTTGATAATGGACCCATCAGCCAGAACAACCGTGAGGTTTATGATCCAGTCCTTCATTGTGCCGTACCTGACTGCGTTTGTTCCACTAGAAGGTAAGCAAAGTAAGCAGACGTCGCTAACAGCACTGACGGAACACATGCCTACAGTTTGTGGAAACCATTCCTCCAATGAGCGCCTGGGGATAGTATAAGTATTGCCCATCATATGGATAGAGAACCTACAGTCGGGCTGGGATCCAGAGGGAGAAAAAGGCCACTGTCCTTGATGGTATCATTGAGTTCCACCCAGTTGACGCCGGGCTGGACGACCACATCCATACTATGTATGCCATGTTAGCGAGCGATCTAAGAATTGCCACGTTGGTTGGCCTACTCTTCCTCATGAAAGGCGATAATTTGGTTCATCTGGGAGAAGTCTACACTAATCCCCGAGTATGGCGCTGTGAAGTTTCCCTCCACGCTCGATCCTCCAGCAAAGGGTACTAGAGGGTAGTCAGCCTCTATCCTTGATAGATAAGTAGATAGATAGAGTACCCATGGGAATCTTGTATTCAGAGCATATTCGGGCTATGGTTGAGACTTCTGCCGTAGTCTTCGGAGTGACAACAGCCACCGGCCGTGCCGTGCAATGCGAGGTCGAGATCTCTGAGTATCCGTGGAAGTCCAGGTCGTCTTCGTCCGTCGTCACTGAGTCTGGACCAAGAATATTTGCAATTGCTTGAACACCCTGAAAGTAACTGTTAGCAGCACCGAGGTGGATAATTGGGCTATAAATACCTTCAACATTGTTTCCCGATCGGCATACTTGTTCTCGATGTCTGTCGCAGCTGCAGTCGGCTGTATAAGATGCCATGAGCTAAATGCCAATCCAGTCAGACCACTCGCAAGCGCAGCAGACGACCAGGCACTGAGCAGAGTAGTCCGCCGTGGCCCTGCACGCCCGTGAACACATCTGGCCGGCCAGGGACTTTTCAGGGATGCATCTTTCCGAGCCAGACGCGTCAGCTGGCGAAGTCCAAATGAGCGGTACATTCTGATCTGATTTGTCTCAGCCTAAAAGCTCAAGCGTTGTGTTGCACGGTCATTTATGTCGCGTGTCGGAATTTGTCCGCCTGATCGGATCTTCCCAAAGTGGACATGCGACATATCCGACACCCCTTGATTCCCCGCAATCTTCAGCCATCAGGGGCCCAATTTATTTATATGTTTATATATATATATATATGTGTGTGTGGGTGGAACGGCTAGTACGGTTGAGTCGATCAGATCCACCATGTCGTACGACAAGAAACCCGTTGAGCACGCTGAATTCGCTTCCCAGGACAACAAAGATGGCGACGTCGAGCTATCATCTGAGAGACCAGTTCTGGATGAGGAAACAAATAAAAAGCTGCTGCGGAAGATTGACCTCCGATTGATGCCGGTTGTAAGGCTGCCTTCGTCGAGAAAAGATAAGGACTCACTGTTCCAGATGTGCTTCACCTACGGCCTTCAGTACTACGACAAGGCGCTCCTCAGCCAGGCGGCCGTCTTCGGACTGAGAGATGATCTTGGGCTTCAAGATGGTCTGCGATACTCGTGGGTGTCGCTGATATTCTACTTTGGCTATATGGCCGGCTGCTATCCAGTATACCCTTCACTGATTCTCGTCTCGCCACAGCGCTGACTTGGCAGATATCCTGGCTATCCCAGACATACTCTGTCCGCGTCGTCTGCCCCATCATCTGCTTTCTATGGGCCGTGATAGTTCTTTGCACACCGGCCTGCACCAACTATGCCGGCATCCTCGTCAACCGCTTCCTGCTGGGCTTGATTGAAAGCGGCGTCTCTCCTGGCTTCATGCTCTGCACGGGCATGTGGTATACCCACTCTGAACAGGTCCTCCGTTCGTCTCTATGGTATTCCTTCAGCGGTGGCTCGAACATCATCTCACCCCTTATTAACTACGGCCTCGGTCACATCACCAGCGGGGCTATGCAGCCCTGGCAATACATGTATCTGATTGCGGGCCTCGCAACCCTCCTCTGGGCCATCGCGCTCTGGTTCATATTCCCCGACAGCCCGCAGGTCGCCAAAGGATTCACTGCCGAGGAACGGACCCTGCTGCTTGAGCGTGTGCGCAGCAACAACGCTGGCTCAGAAAATCGGCACTTTAAATGGTCCCAGATGCGCGAGGCGCTGCTCTCCTACCACTTCTGGTGCATCTTTCTCCTCTCCACGCTCTCCAGTATCGGCAGCGGAGCAGTCACTACATTCGGCTCGATTATCTTTAATGGCATGGGCTTCTCGACGTTCCAGTCCCTCCTGCTGAACATGCCCATCGGTGCCCTGGCGTTTATCTGCGTCCTAGGGTCCGGATATATCGGCCGCAATGTGCAGAATTCGCGGCTCCATGTCGTCAGCGGAGCCTGTGTTCCTGTTATAGTTGGGAGCTGCTTGATGTACGCCCATGCAATACTTATACACCGTACCTAAGTTGCTAACCACTGCAGATGGCAACTGCCCGATTCCCAACGCGCCGCACGGATCATTGGCTTCTATCTCATCAATTTCTTCTCCTCGGCCTGGGTGCAGTGCATTGCCATGGGGACCTCCAATGTCGCCGGACACACAAAGAAAGCTACAATGGCCGCGGGGACATTCGTCGGGTACTCGCTCGGCAACATTATCGGGCCCTTGACCTTTGATGCGTGCGTACCTACCACTCTAACTGGACAGTCTTCTAACTTCGACAACAGGAATGACGCCCCCCGCTACGACCCTGGCTTCCAGGCGACTGTTATATGCTTTGGGATTTGCTTTGTTCTGGCGCAGGTGTTTCGGGCGCTGATGCTGGTGCAGAACAAGCGGAGGGATCGCGAGTATGGTGCCCCGACGAGCGAGCATGGGTTGGAGGACTTGACGGATGGCGTGAACAAATCTTTTCGCTATCCTTTGTAAGTGTCAGTTTAAGCCGTTTGCAATGCACTGCTGTAATGTCTGGCATTTGCCTGGGCAGCGGATAAGTATCCAGCAAATGTTATGGATTTACTCAATACAATCAAGCTTGTATATTCTGTATGAACTATAACTTTCTCTCTAGCGCTCGCTTGAGAAATTCTTCGTTTGAGAAAGAAATTCTGGTTACTTAAAGAGTATTCTCAAATCTTATATATCCTCAAACTGCCTACAAGAAGTACATATTGTATAACCACTGGCATGCAGCATATGTACCATAAGTAACCGCCACAATGCTTGATTATCATTCAGTCTACAAGGAAATATTCATATACAAAACCAGACGACAGCGACCAAGACCCCAAGTTAGAGAATGCACTCACTTCCCATTAACTTTGTTCCGCTCATTAATCAAATCGATTTGTGCCTGAAGCCGCCAAGGCACATCCATCTTGTCCATCATAACCTCCAACAACTGAATCGAGCTCGGCTCCACGTATTCCGGTGTTGAAATGATCTTCTCGAATTCTGCCTTTGTATACACGCGGCGGCTGTTTCGTCCGCCATCCTCTGCACCGAAAGCACTGAGGAGCAGCTGGTGGTTCCAAGAAGCGATGTCGTTGTAGCCTGGAAGTTTTCTGGAGTTAGTTCTGACTGTCCCCTGATGGTAGGGCTGCTGAGGCGTAGGTATACCTTTTGTAGGACCATGAATAGCCCTCTCAATCGTGTAGCCGCTATTGTTAATAACCAGTCTATGTACGAAAGTCAGTCAGTATTTTTTACCCCACGAGGAAAGAACATGGAATATTTTGGTCCCATACATAAGCACATTCTTCAACCCCAACTTAACCATCGTCCCAATTTCCTGCACCGTGAGCTGCAGACTCCCATCCCCAACAACAAGTATTATTCTCCCAGGTCTTCCAGATTCCGATTCCGATTCCGCCTGTGCAACTGCAGCTCCAAGGGCGGCGGGGACAGAGTACCCGATACTGCCAAAGTATATCTGTGTGATGTACTGCACGCCCGGGGCAAAGTGTGCGTCGGAGAAGCCGAACTGGGCGGTCCCTGATTCGCCAATTACAATATCTCCCGGTTTGGTCATTGCGCCTATCCGCGTCCATATCCAGGACTGGGTTATGTGCGTTGCGGCGTCGGCTAGAACGGGTGGCGGTGGTTTCGGAGTGTTGTTGTTGTTATTGCTGTTGTTCAGGGAGACAGGCTTGATGGCAAGGGCTTCTGAGAGGCGAGTAAGGACTGCAAGTGTTAGAAACTGTCACTAGACATGTATCTGCAGAGGAACCCTACATTCAACAATATGAACATTACTGTACCGAGCATGGCCAACCTGGACATAGTCCGCTGCGATCAAGATATACTGTTCCCTGTCTGTGAGATTTCTAGAGTGCCCGCCAGTATTTGAGTCTGAGTGGCACGGTCCAACGTCGATAACCAAATCACTCTGGTTCTCGATGATATCCAAGACACCTGGGAGTGAGACCCGGCCGTTATATACACCGTGGAAGTAGGCCTTGTCCTCGTCAATGATGGACTTGCCCATTGGCGTTGTGAATGTCGGGATTGCAAGCTGATCTATAAGCTGGTTGGCTATTGCTGCTGCACCAAATCTGGCGACGAGCGCGTCAACAATAATGGATGGTGCCAGGGAGGAGTGTAGCTTCTTTACAACCATATCCACGGCGGATCTGCAGGCCTCTCCGTCTGTGGTAGGCATTACGCCTGGAAGTCTCTCGAGCGCGGCGGAGGAGACTGGCTTGTGGACAAAATCCATGGGTACAAAGATATATACCGGCAGGCTCTGGATGTAGCACTCTTTGATCACTCTCTGACACAAATCAGCTCTGGTTTAAATGCAAGTCGAGTAGACATACGTCTATCTCAGAAGGGGCGGTCATGGCGTTGTCAAGCCAGCAATGTGCAGCTCTAACAGATTCTGATATCTTTGCGTATACCTGAGTAGATCAGCAAGAGAACTGAGGTTTCAACAAGACGAGATTCAGTACCCTGTGATCTGGGTTCGGCCCTAGAGAGTGATGGATCATAGCCCGCGTCTCCTGCGCCTTCATCCCCGTTGTCCCAACAATATGGATCAGCTTCACATTCTCAGTGTACGCGCCAGCTACACCGTTGATAGCGCTTAGCTCGCCGACTCCCATCGTCGTTACAACTAGGGTAAAAGGGTTAGCCGAGCTGATGTACTAGCAGTAGCAGAAGATTCACACACAGACGCCAGGACACCCCTTAACCCGACAATATCCGTCCGAAGCATATGCTGCATTTAGCTCGTTGGAATTTCCCACTGTTGTATCCCTTGGTCAGTGGCTGCTCCGTAGCTATGCTTCGTAAAGTGAAATGTACTCGCCCCATGTCAGTCCGTCAACCTCGTCGATGTAATCAAGTAGTTCGAGGTTCATGTCACCAGGAACGCCCATCACACTACGGACGCCCAGCTGCCGGATCCTGCCATCCTGTTAGAGCCCTAGAGTCCGGTATAGAAGCTGCGCGATGCAAAGATAGTACCTCTGCCATAGATAGCGGGCGATTGGCACCTCGGTGCTTCCTGCGATGGAGCCCATTCTGTCTCAACGTAGTGAAACGATCAATAGTGTTTTTTCCTAGGTCGTTCAGTTTCTGATTTTTGAAGCCAGAACGTAGCGGCGCGGGACATGCTTCATATATCATCGGGTGCCCCTCCGCGGAATGGAGCCGCTTGCTGACAGCAAACGAGAATGCCATCCTGCCCTGTAAGCTCGGAAAGAACCGAGCTGGAAAGATGCTGAAATAGCCGCTCTGGCCTTTGTATCCTATGACATACTAACTGGCAGTAAGCCAATTACCCGCCCTACTGTGCGGGGGATTGTCGGGGGTTTTCCTTTCGAGAATATCCGACATGGCGGATTTGTCGGTTAGGGTTTCTGCCTCTACCCTGACGTGCCATGGCCAAGGTACTAAGGATGAGACATAAAAGAAGTCAACTATTACCCCAGAGCTGGGGATGCAGATGGTCGCCTACAATATACCGTACAATGAGACCTGTTCAATTCATCCGCTTCCTCGCCCTCCTGCCTGCCGCATGCAGTGCAATGGCACCCTTGAACGAATTCTTCAACGTCACGACATTCCCCAACGAACAAAGCGCCAACGTAACTCGGTACCTAAGAGACGCCGCAGCGCTAGCCACAGATAGCAGCATCCACCAGTACTTCCAAGACCAATGCATCGTGCAGCAGGTATACCCGGTCCTCTTCCAGTTCGACCCCGGCTTCGTAACGCCGTTCTCGCCCTTTGATAATCTCTACTTTGTCGGACACAGCGGCGTGTCTGCGTGGGCGTACAAGACCACCGACGGTATTGTTGTGATCGATGCCCTCGACAACCAGGCTGAGGTTGAGGCTATTCTGATACCAGGACTGGAGAGTTTTGGACTGGCTGCAACGGATATTAAGCACCTAATTATCACGCACGAGCATCTGGATCATTACGGCGGGGCCAAGTATATTCAAGATACATTCGGCGCTGCTGTGTACGCGTCCGAGAAGGCGTGGCAGGCGATGGAACAGATGGGCCCGGATGCTGACCCCCCAGTTCCCAGCAGGGACAGAGTGCTAGGAGATGGTACCGGCCTGGCGGTTGGAAATGTGACGTTCCATGCTGTCCTCACGCCTGGGCACACAGCCGGGACATTGTCACTTATTTTCCCTGTTGTTGACCGTGGAAGGCCGCATGTAGCTGGTCTGTCTGGCGGCACTGGGACTCCAAAGGATGCAGCCATGCGGGAGCAGAAGATTGGTTCGCAGTATCGGTTCGCGCGGATATGTAAAGAATCAGGTGTTGATACGTTGATTTCTAACCACCAGGTTGCGGATCATGCGTTGTGGCATGCTGATATGCTGGCACATCGGGAGCCTGGGGCTCCGAATCCGTTTGTGGTAGGCGTAGACAACTTTGAGAAGTATATGAAGATCAACGCTATTTGCAGTAGGGTGGTTGCGGCGCGTGAAGGGCAGAACTTGCAGACCTGATTCTCGCATTTCCGTATATAGAACTCCCTGTATCTGCGGAGCAGAAATGTTGTCTTACGTGGTTCATATTACAATCCAGATTTGTATGTCATTCAAATACTGGCATAAACAGGTCAGACACGTTATTCAAGCCGATCATGTCGGGTAAGGAGTCCCAGAAGTGCGGATCATAAATAGAATCGCCTGTCGCAGTATCCAGGAATTGGCTGTCGTAGGGATTTGCCAGATAGTCTGCATTCGCAATACCAGACGTCCGATGTGCTTCGTCCTGCGTGACGTCATGTGTCGCATTGGAGGACGAGCGCGTTGCTGCACTCACAAGGATATCGAGTAATGTGGCATAACGCTGTGCCATGTGGATGTCATCAGGAGCATTTTGCTTGATCGCGTCAACGGCGCTGAGGATTCGAAAGATGTGCGGGTCGCTGCCATCTAACCGCTTCTCTATTTTGAGGGTCACCTGGGAGCTTTTAGTATAGCTTTCAAGTCGTGCTGGTATAATGAGCGGCGAACCTTCAAAAGATACAACGCAGCGCAGACGATGTAGAGCCACGTCTTGACTGGGGCGTACTTGAAAAAACTGGATGGTGCAACATTGTGGATTACAGAGTCGAGTAGGTCAATAGACGCTTCGGTGGCATCGTCTGCAAAACGTGATAATGAATGCATGGCGGGCGAGTCATGACTTACTGTGGCGCTCTCAAACATGTGTGCAGCTGGGCTTAACCCGCATATGCGTACATAATAGTATTCAATATCAAGGCAGGCGTCACGTAGGGAGATATCTGCATCCAGGATTTAATATGGGACTTTCTACTCAGGAACCAATCGCACCTCTGCTATTGAGCTGCCGTTGTCTCTTCCAGCGGTCAAGGCTCCGTCTGAAACTGTCCCACGCAGCGAGTGGAATAGAAGGACCGGCAGCATGTTGGCTCTTCCTCCAACTACGAAGGAGGTCTCGGGCCTTGCCCATCTGAGTGGCCAGATCTGATGTGCTCTCCCAGAACCCATCGGCTGCTAAGGCGGAGGGAAGACAATCAGCGATCTCGACGGAGCGCAGACCACGTAGCTGCGACTCTAGACGTAGCCGCAAGGATAGGCTTTCATCCGTGATCCGAAGAAATGTGCGCAAGATATGGGGCCAGTCAAGGTGGACAGAGTCTGGGGTCCGACGTTCTGCAGGGACGCGGCCAGATGGATCCTCGAAGCAACCCATCTCCTCTGCTAAGGAGATGCTGGTTGACAGCAATATCCTGGCGACATCAGCTACGCATCCTGATAAAGAACAGAACCCTCACCAAGACATCCTGTTACTCCTATGAGCTGTCGCAACTAGATTGAGCCGCTTGGGGGTGCTGTGTCCTTCAGGTGGCCGGTGAATGGCGGTAGTGTCTTCTAGACCCGATGGCTCGAACAGTTCCGGCTCGCCATAGTCCCCGACGAAGTCTTCTTGTGAGTTTATGGCCCTAGGATGCCACTCTATAGACAGCAGCAAGGCCGCAATCGCCCCGTAACTGCGCATTCCAGCCGATCCCCACATAGCAGACTGGAAGAGCCGTTGCACCCATAACCATGTGCGCCAGTGGACTCTCTCAGACCGAGCAACACCATTCAGCCCCGACAGAGAGTGGTATCTGGACGCCAGTGCCACCAGGCTAATGGCGAGGACGGGTTCGTGCCGCACCAGCAGGCCGTACCGCTCGGGCGTTGCGTACCACTGCGGAATGACTGGAAATGCCTGCCAAAGGTGGGTGAAGTAAAATCCCAGGTACTCGTGCACTTCGCAAGGTCGGGCGATGCCTTTCCGGATGAGAAAAAAGCCGTCGAGATCTGTTTTTGACGGTGGTATGGCGATCCTAGGTCCCCGCTGCGTCAAGCTTTGCCTGTCATTGAGCTGTAGTCTCTCGCCCATACGCTCTCTTGATCCAGCTACGGCGATAAGGTCCAATGCATCTCGCGCGTCGAGGAGATCAGTCGACAGGATTTTCTCTTTCGTGTTGTGGGCGCGTTGGAGCAGCTCACGACCCTCCGGCTCCTCGTTCTGGGCGTCAGGGGAACCGTCTGTGTCAATAGCCAGAGTCCCCTGATCGGAAGTCGAATGGACCTGGGCCTCCAAGTTCGGCGTGCTCTTTGCGTCCTGCCTGCTTGATGTCCATCTCAGCTTCCTCCTCTTCCGTTGCTGCGTAGTTCGACAGACCCTGCCCCCGTCTACGCATCTCCGGCACCCTTCTGGTGATATCTGCTCGCATCTCTTCTTCGTGTCGCGGCAGTTGTCGCAGGACTGAGAGCCGCGCTTTGCCCGATGTGTAGTTGGGGAGCTGGGCTCGTTCACGGGGAGAAAGGTAACTGATTGTAAGTCGCCTGGGGTGTGCAAGACTGGGTTTGGCGCTGCTTGCTGGTTCATTTCAGGTTGTTCTTGAATGGAGATGCGGATTGCAGCTCGGTCGGCTGCTCAGACTGCTCAGTTTACATACGTGGCCGAGCGCGGGCAAATTCCGCCCGCTGTCTTGTGTTGGAGCAACAGATTCCTTTCCTTCTGTTATGTCGGTCAGGCATACTTTGTACACCATTTTCTGAGAATCTCTCAGCTTTTCTACTAGCAAGCTTCTTAAAGAAGCAACGTCTGGATGCTTGCAGTTTTGGACAGTATTACTGTTTACCCACCTTCTTAGCAATCATGATCAGATCATCTCTGCAGCTCCAGACGCTCAATCCAATCTTCTAACTTTTCAAACCGGGTTTGCGACTATTGCAGGGCCAAGATGCTCATGCAGACTTCTCTGAATAGTTAGGTTAGTTCTCCACTCCGTACAGATGATGCTAATTGAGATAGCGAATGTTTTATCTCAGTCGATCAACGGACCCCTACAGGCCCACAGCGCAGACGGCGATATTCGCGGGGCCTGCTGCATCCTGGAATGCTTTATATTGCTGAGCAGCAGTCACCAGGATTTATCCAAATACCGTGCCCTACCTCCAACTCGGTCTGCAATATTAATATCTTGTCGAATGATCACGCCTTGATGCTCTCTAGCATCCCACCAGCGCCCGCCTGGACTAGTGCCTGGTCTAGATTTAGCTCCTGTCAACGCTTGATCAGTCTTGAATCCACGGCGATGCGGATATCGAGAAGCAGGTGGGCCATCGGCATATACCGCTCAGGGCTGTGAGCCAAAATGAACACGCGGAATCGCCCCAAGAACGT